AATTTGAAGCATGACACGAATCTCGTAGAAAGGAACAGTGAACACGTGGGAATTAATGCTTTATGTAAATCTTTAAATGAAAATAAAGATTCGAACTCCCAGAAAATCCCGAATCAAGTGAAACACAAAACGTCATGTTGGCGATGTGGTAAGTCTCATTCTGCCAAAGTTTGTTACTTTAAAAAACGAGTATGCTTTCAATGTGGTAAATATGGTCATGCTCAAGTATGTTGTAAAAGTAAACCAAAAGTTTCTGACCGTCAGCATAAGTCCCGTAAAGGAAATAAGATACATACTTCAAAAGTAATGCCGCATAACTCAAATGTTGTTCTGGCTACAAAAAGTGAGCATTTCTCCTCTAAAAGGAAGTATGTAACCATTTTTTTCGATGGCAAACCGGTCAAACTACAAGTCGATACTGGGTCTGATATAACATTAATTTCTAGAGAAACTTAGATTAAAATTGGTCGACCCCGATATCAACCTACATGTTATAATGCCAAGAGTGCATCAGGAACTAATATTACTCTTCTTGGAGTAATACAGCTACCTCTAACGTTTGGTGAAAAGACTATGACCGGGAAATGTTACGTATCCGGGAACTGTAATACCAATCTATTAGGTATTGATTGGATTGATAAATTTGGTTTGTGGGATTTACCGTTGAATGTGCCGAAAGCAGAATCCCAGTCATGGCCAGAAACGAAAAAGCCTTGGGTCCGACTACATGTTGATTATGCTGGACCGATAAGTGGACAATATTTTTTGGTGGTGGTTGATTCATACTCGAAGTGGCCTGAAATTTATGTGGTTCGAAGACCATCTACGTCTGAAACACTGCTACATCTGAGACAATTATTTGGTAGGTTTGGTACACCTAATGTTTTGGTTTCAGATAACGGGACGCAGTTCACGTCGTTAGAGTTTGCGGAGTTCTGTAAACAGAATGGAATCGAACACGTTAGAACTCCACCGTATCACCCTAAGTCGAACGGGCAGGCAGAGAAATTTGTTGATATTCTTAAACGAGCTCTCTTAAAGATGGGAGGAGAAGGCAACGTAGAAGAGGCTCTGCAACAATTTCTCATTTCTTATAGAATTACGCCAAGTCCAAACTGTCAAGATGGGAAATCTCCAGCCGAAATAATGTTTGGCCGACCGATTAGAACATTTTTTGATGTTTTGAACCCGAAAGACAGAATCAGTGGACTACAAAAAAATAACAAAGGGAATTGCCTGAAAATTCGAGAATTCAAAGTAGGTGACTCAGTCCGGCCTGGCAAGCCAAAATGGATATTTGGGTTTATAAAAAAACGACGTGGTACAGTATTATATGAAGTGATGGTCGAAAATACACTAATTATTAGACATGTAAATCAACTGCGAGATAGAAAATGTGTTTATGAGTCATCTAAACTCAAACCATTACCAATTGAAGTTTTATGTGATACGTTTGATATTCCACCACCACCACCACAAGTTGAAACGAGAAAAAATGATCTAGAATCAGAAGTTAGACGAAGGTCATTCAGGAAACGGAAACAAACGAAATTTTTTCAAATAGACCCCAAAGTGAAATCATACGATCGAACTTCGCGAGGGAGGTGATGTGTGGGCGAGAATGTCAATGATTGGTTGTCTCGATGAGTCAGACATTAGAGGGGATGACAGGTGTTATGTGTTATATATATATTTCCCTATCCTTATTATGTATTGACTGATTGACTGTTCCATGTGTCGGATTTTGGTGTGAAATATATTGACGTTATAGTCAGGCTAATATTGTGTTCTTGATCTGAGTTCTGTTGAAGTCCTGTAGAATAGACACTGGGTGGGAATCTAGTGTAGATATTCGTCTAAGATAAATTAACGTCCCACATACGTGTAAGAAGTAAAAGGACTGTTATAACCAGAAACCCCTAAAGTTATAACCAGCATCCTCTCTCTCTCTCTACGTTTATAACAGGGAGTCGATGACAGTCGATGTTAAGATGGTGCTGAGTTTCAGCACATTATCACTCGTGCTGTTAAGAGCACCGTCGATAACCGACCTGTCAGTATCCTTTTTCTTATTTGCCCTATGTGTTCCAGCTTTGTTAGCCGTCATGATGCTATCATTTACCAAATTCTTAGACAACTTATCTCTCAGACCTGTCAGTAAAGTAATGATAGTACCCAACATAACTACTGTATCGGTGTTGCAGGTAACACATACCCACCTACGATCAGACTTGCTGAGTCTGCTATAGGCTGCTGCTGTTAGATCTGTACATGCCTCATGGAACCAACCTTTACAGTTGTCACATTGCATGCCAGATGTAACGGAAAAATGGTAGCCAGGTCTCTTGCATGAATTTTTCATGGCTAGTGATTTAGACTGTCTTAAAAATACAAGCAGTAAATTTAGGACCGTTAAAAAAACACAGTAAACAAAAACTGGCAAAAATGTATAAAAACAGTTAACGATAAGCTAAAGCTAGCCTTTACGTGAAAACTATAAAAAAAACCGATAATGAGCTGAGGCAAAACCACAGTTAACTATTAATTTGAGTGAAACACAAAAAAAGAAGCAATCTACCGAACGTATAGCTCAGAATAGATTCTTTGGATTGGAAATGATACTTTTGTTGCGTAAGAACACAGCAAAAGTTTGAGAAATGTAAATCACGTTAGGACTAAACTTTCCGTTCGAATAGCGCGCGGTAAAGGAAAAGGAGGAGGAGGTTTATCCCTGACCTTACAAATCAGATCACTTATTACATACTTTAATTTTCTTGAAAGTTATGACTGGTTTAATGGACTTTCAAAAAATATTTTACTTTGAAAGAAATATCATCCTATGGACCCATAACTAAGAAATAGACAATATTAGTGCCACTGAGTACGTCTCCTTTAAATAGTTGGCACAAACTAAAAATAATTCCTCCTCCGCAAACGTAGGGTACTTTGTCGGTCCACCTTTCTTGGATTTATTGGCTGGTATTTAAACACCATCATCGATCCTACCAACGTCCTCATTCCTCATTTCTAGAGAATCGTTTTCAAGCTGAAGTAGTGAACGTCAATTATTTTCCAGGTTCTTTACTTTTCATAGAAATTCGGCTTCTTACGACTTGTCAGAGTATCATAGGCCATGTGCTTCTCATAGAATGATCGAGATTTAAATATCAATGTCCTGCACTCATTCGTATTTCTACAATTACTGGATCTGAAATGTCCAAACTCTGAAAAAGAGAACACGTTGAAAGGAGTTTCCGTGTGTCACACATGTTTCGCGATCACTTCCCTCATCCATATTGAGCAGATGATGCATTTGTAGGTGTTGGTCAAAGTATAACGGAGAACCCTATGGGGCTAAATGGGATTCTAACCTTGAAACAACGTCAGAAATGCAACCTAGGTTTATTCATTTTTCAGATGCTAAGCCAAGTAGATTTCCGTCTACAAAGTCAATTTCGTCATATTTTAATTAAGTAAATATATTTATGTCAGATCTATTGAATAATCTAAATCCCAAAATCATTCCAGAAGAGTTTAACTATTCTGCTGGACGACTTACTGTTTTTGTGCTTAACATATGTTTTCACAGAGAGTAATAATAATATATTTCTGCAAGGCCACGTACACACCATTTTTACAGACATGATCTATAAGTTAAAAAAATTTATTATCAAATAGTATGCATTCCAAGCCGTACATATTTCATACATTCCACTCCCAAAAAATTTTTTGACATAAGATATATTAAATAGCTTTCTACTACAACTTACTACTATCAATATTTGTGTTGTTTACCGACGAAGCTTATTAGATTCAAAAATTGTTTGACACTTAGTTCTAATTACATTTCCCACGTTTATAAATATCACTAGGCTAACTACAGCAACTTCTTATAGAAACTTTATAACTCGTCATATTTCTAGCTGAAGTCTTCTCAACGTCAAAAATATTTTCCGTTTTAGCCAAGTTATACTTTCTTAATTGTTCTCTACCTCACCAACCTACACGTTAACCTAGCCTTTACATGCATTGTTTTACATCATCAGTACCATTTAAATCTAAGAAATATTTCAATTGTCTTCAAAACTTTTCAATGAGCCCATGATAGTCGTTATTGCTATACATATTTGGGGCTATGAATTGGTCTGTCATGTTATTTACCTAGAACGACGAACATAGTTTGAATAATGAAGTCACCAAATACGGGTACTGTCATACTGCATCAGTATGATAACTAAAGTATCAGGTAGTTGTTGGTCAAACAAACATTTAAAATAAAAATTCCGAAGCCTATTATTAGAAATAGCGTAACATGGATGGACATTTTTGGATTTGTGGTATAATCAGGCAGCTCGGATTCGAAAACGCTACAAATTTCTGCCATTTCAGGAGCACATAAAACAACAATAACTATTTCCTACTGGCTAGTTCTCAGCAATCATTATAACTAGTTGAACATAGCGGTTTCAGGATACTGTCGTAAAGCGGTGCCATGACTTGACAGTCACGTAATATGATTGATAAAATTGATGAAATTATCAACAACATTGGTTCTACCATTAAATAAGGGGGGAGACATAAATGTGAGAACTATCGAACCGTTAGCCTAACGAGCATATCTTTCATAATTTTGAAAAAAAATATTTGGAAGTTGTAGATTCCGGATTCTTTCTGAAAAACAAAGTGAATTTAGAACAGATTATTCGTATCTCTCTAGCTTATAAGATGCTCATGCAAGATGGTGTCCTCTCAAAAATCAAAACTTACTCATGGATGCAGTCTAAATTGACTTCAGCAAGGTTTTTGACAAAGAACATCACAACCAGCTGTCATCCAATTTCAGTGATATCGGGAATGTTGTCAGTTCATTGATGTGGATAAATAACTTCCTATTTGGGACCAACTAAAGAGTACGAGTGAGTCCAGAGTCGTCAAGCTGAGAAACTAAGTGACCATAATGGAGTTTTTTCACTCACTCAAGCTCGTCGCAAAGATATTGAACCTTTCTGCTTGTTTAAATCACTAGGATTCAAAAAAAGCCATAACAACTAATTAGACGGAATATGATTCAGTTTTCTAGTAGCTCAGAATGGCGAAAAGAAGGAAGAAAAGTAAGAAAAGTACCCGTTCCTCCAGGAATAAAGAAAGGACTTCGAGTGTTGCCTCCAATGTTTTGTACGATAGTGAAAATTATGTAGCGCAGATTGGAATACTGAAAAAGAAAATTAAAGAGTATTTTATTCTTGTCTTTATAAAACTATTAGTTATCAGTACGTGATCGATAATTTTAAAGATCTCATTATTCAAACAACGTCTAAAGTCCACAACATCGAATCAGATGGCAAAGGACTTATCACATATCTACAAAACTGCATTCAAAGCAAAGGTTAGGTACATTCACGATTTTTCAAACAATAAAATGTAGATAAAGACATTGATGGTTTGAAACAAAATCTTAGCACTTTACTTAGAAGAATGAACGAAAAGCATAAGGAACACAACAAAATTATAGTCAGTCTGAGACTTGAGATCGAGGCTATTGAAGAAAAGTTGAACTCAGAGAAAGCGGTTTTGAGTATATTCGTTTTTCTTACATTATAATTGACATATATGTAGCGGGAAAAGTCGAGTCCCTTGAAAATTTTAGTGTTGAGCGAGCTCAGCTACAGTACAAGACAACAGCGATACAAAATTTAATCGAAGAAACGTTGAAACTCAATAAGTCCATATATCATGAAAAGGATTTAGAGCTAACTGTTTCTCAAGATCAGTAAGTTTTATTGTATTTAGATAACAACCGTGCTATTCGTTTATAAAATAGCTTCTCTTATTTCTTTGATTTCCTGTAAAACGTTCTGTCCGTATGGGTTAACTTAGGTTAGGATTACTACGTGTCCTTGTATTTTGATATGGAGATTAGCTGTTTAGCTAGTTGTAAGTTAGATTGTATTCAAAGTACCAATGTTTTTAAAAGACTCGATGTTCTTGTTGGTTGAAAAACACTATTCTTCCTTGTGTTGCACTATGCTTCGAGAGTTTCCTTAAGCTCTTAGCCGTCAGATACCAAACGTGTCCTTCTGTTGATTTAACTCGTATTTTCGTTACTCGGATGTGTGCTTTCGATTAGGTAAAAAATTAATTTTATATCATTACTGATCAAGGTTTGAAACAAAAATGAGATGGCTATTCGCCTATAATGTCTTTTTGTGGATATAATCTGTAACAGAAACATTGTTACACATGTATAACTAGACTTTTTCAGTCAAAGTAAGCACCTCATGGAAATTTTGAGGTAAAAAGTCTTTGGAATAAAATACAATCAGCTTTTGTTACTAAACTCTCTATTCTATACCTACACATAATATGGAGTGTAAATAAACAATAAAGATACACGGAAGATTGATGAATGCCTATCAACTTGATGGATTCTTCCAGTAAATATGTTTACACAATCTCTAGCCTACGTTTCAAGTGACTTTATAGCAATTAATTTCCACATAGGTGTGCCAGTTTGTGTCAAATAAACGGAGAAAATCATAAATGAATTGATAATGGGGAAAGTTAGGAGAATAACGTCGCTGGAGAACTGTCGTATTTATTTTAATAGGCGCGCTATAGTTGGCCGTTGCAAACCGTTTGTGTTTGTTTCCGCAAGTGTAAAATTAATTCCAATTTCTCTTTCAAATACTGACTTACGACTGTTACTCCCGATGCAGCATAGTGCGCCGACCGGTATTTTCCAGCCCATTCTGTCATGAGCCTTCCTTTCTAGTTTTGTCCAGTTGTTGTTCATTCTTCTCATATCTGTTTCCATTTCTCGGCGTAATATGTTCTTTGGTCTCCCTCTTCTCATTTGGCCTTCAAGATTCCAAGTGAGGGCTTGTCTTGTGACGCAGTTGGCTGCTTTCCTCAACGTGTGTTCTATTCAGTTTCAGCGCTTCTTCCCGATTTCTTCCTCCACTGGAATCTGGTTTGTTCTCTCTCACAGTAGGTTGTTGCTGATAGTGTCTGGTCAATGGATCCAAATTATCTTGCTTAGAAAACTGTTAATAAACACTTGTATCTTCTGGATGATGGCTTTCGTAGTTCTCCAAGTTTCCACCCCATACAGTAGAACTGTCTTGACATTTGTATTGAAAAATCTGATCTTGGTGTTGGTTGAGAGTTGTTTTGAGTTCCAGATGTTCTTCAACTGTAGTATGCTACTCTTGCATTGCTGATTCGCGCCTTTACATCTGCATCAGATCTACAGTGTTAATCAATAATGCTGCCCAGGTATGTAAAGGTTTTTACATCCTCCAAAGCTTCTCCGTCAGGTGTGATAAGATTGATGCATGCTGTATTGTATCGAAGAGTCTTGCTTTTCCCATTGCGTGTATTGAGACCTACTGCTGCTGCTACACTAGTCGTCTTCTCCTACATTTGTTCTTGCGTGTGTGATAGAAGAGTTAGATCATCTTCGGAGTCTATATCGTCCAGCTGCATCCTAGCCGTCCACTGTATCCCGTGCTTCCCTGCAGGTGTTAACGTTTTCATGATCCAGTCGATCACCAGGAGAGAGAGAGGAGGTGAAAGTAAGCAACCTTGTCTAACACCGGTCTTTATCTAGAATGAGTCGGTTAGATGTCCCCCATGGTCAATTTGGCAGTTTCATCCATCATGGGAGTTCCGTATGATATTGACTATCTTCCCAGGCACGCCGTAGTATCGGAGAAGCCTCCATAGTGTTGTCCTGTCCACACTATCAAATGCTTTCTCATAGTCAGTGAAGTTAGTGTAGAGTGATGGATTCCATTCGATTGATTGTTCCACAATGATACGTAGAGTTGCGATTTGGTCTGTACACGATCGATCTTTACGAAATCCAGCCTGTTGATCTCGAAGTTGGGCGTCTACGTAATCCTTCATCCTGTTTAACTATACTCTGTTGAAGAATTTTCGTGGTATTGAGAGAAGAGTGATGCCCCTGTGGTAATCTCATTTGCTGAGATCACCTTTTTGGTATTTTGATCAGAAGTCCTTCCAGTCTGTTGGTACTTGTTCTTCATCCCAAATCTTACTGAAGAGAATGTGGAGTACCTTGGCAGTTGCTGCTACATTTGCTTTCAGTGCCTCTGCCGGGATGTTGTCTGATCCCACTGCTTTGCCGCTCTTGATTTGTCTAATGGCCATGCTGATCTCTTCAATTGTTGGTGGGCCAATATCGATATGACGGTCTGTGGGTGCTGCTTCTATGTTAGGCGGATTCAGTGGGGCTGGTCGATTCAAGAGTTCTTTGAAGTGTTCTACCCACCTGTTTCATTGTTCTTTAATGTTGGTGATTACCTTGCCTTCCTTGCTTTTCACTGGTCTTTCTGGCTTACGGTAATTTCCAGCAAGTTTCTTTGTTGTAACATACAATTGTCTCATGTTTCCTTCTCTTGCATCCTTTTCCGCTGTCATTGCTAAATCTTCCACATATTTACGCTTGTCGGTTCTGATGCTCCTCTTCACTTGCTTGTTTGCTTCTTTGTATTCTGCTTGTGCCTTGGCTTTTTCCGCTCTTGTTCGGCTGATATTGATTGCTGCCTTCTTGTTCCTCCTTTCTTCAATTTTATCCAGTGTACCAACAGTGATCCATTCCTTGTGGTGGTGCTTCATGTGGCCCAGAACCTCCTGACATGTTGAAATGATTGCCTCCTTGATGCTTTTTTCCATGGTAGTTCCCTCTCCATTGAGTAGATCATGAAAGGTCTGGAACCTGTTGCTGAGGGCTATGTTAAATCTGTTGAGTTTGTCAGCATCGCCGTATTAAACTTTTGTGATGTTGTCCGCGCCGTTGTCCAGTGCTTCTTAAGTTTTAGTTTCATCTTGTCGACCAGCAGGTGATCTGATGCTATATCAACTCCTCTCCTGGTTCTCACATCCTCCATCGTCCTCCTGAACTTTTTGTTGACGCAGTTATGGTCGGTTTGATTCTGTGTAGAGTGATCCGGTGAAGTCCATGTGGCTTTGAATATGCGTTTGTGTGGGAATATGGTGCCACCTATGACCAGTTTATTGAAGGCACATAGGTTTGCGAATCTCTCTTCTAATTTTTGTTCCTTTCTCCCAGTCCATGTCGTCCCATGACGTCTTCTTATCCAGTGTTGTCCTTTCCAACCTTGGCATTGGAATCTCCCATCAGAATGGTCAAGTCCTTTGTTGGACACTTCTGAATGATTGACTGCAGCCTATCGTAAAATCGATCTTTAATGTCTTCACTGTAGTCGTTGGTAGGCGCATAGCATTGGATGACGTTCATTGTAATGCCCTCTCTCTTTGTTTTGAGGAGGCTTTTATGATCCTTGGTCTATGAGGTTCGCATCCTATAAGTGCATTTTGCGCTTGTTTGAACAGCAACAATACAACTCCTTGTGCGTGTGGAGCATTTTCTTCTTCATGGCCGGAGTATAACAGAAGCTCTCCTAAAGCTAGTCGTTGTTGTCCGACCTGCGTTCAATATGTTCCACTGATCCCAAGCACCTCCAGGCTGTATTTCGTCATTTCTGCAGCAATTCGGGAGACTCTCCCGGTTTTCCACATTGTTCAGACGTTCCGTGTACCTATCAAAATTGTTGCTCTGGTTGTTAAAGGGGGCATTGGCCTCGTGAATTCCGCAGAATATCGGATTTCATCATAAGGCGTCATAATTCTTCCTTCAACTCCAAGGGCAGAGTTTAAGTGGTTTGGATTATTTTTCCTGGTTAGCGTTTTTTAGCGAGTTAGTTTTCTACGGGATGGGGTTGTTAACCGCACACCCAACCTTCCTCTTTTATCTGGGCTTGGGACCGGTAGTAGACCCGGAAGGGGCTACAGGCGGAGTTCTCTTTCGAATAATTACACAGCAGTTTTGATCAGACAAAATATGAAGTTTGCTTACAAATTCCAACCGCACAAAACCATCAACCACTTAACACATTGAGATCTGTGTATAAGAGTTGTAATAGAACTCTAAGCTAGAGCCGTAACACGATTTAGATTTCCATCCAGTCACGTATTGTTATGTTCGAATTTCAAGCATATTTGAAATATGGAACCAACTTTTTTTCTTCAAAATATTTTCTTAATTAGATATTCTAGTCTTGATATAACCAAGGGCTATTCAGCTTATGTGGTCATTAGAAACTTCATCAACGTATTATTATCATTGGGATATAATTTCAGTGGATTTATCATCAGGCTATGAAATCGTCCATATATGAAATTTTAGGGCTTAATAATTGCCTGGTAAATATGGTCAGTGAGAAAAACGCTATGATGCAAAATATGTTAAGACGAACTAGTGGTGCGAATAAAGACGATAGGTGGTTGCACAACTTCTGTAAGATTCACTCAAATGAAAAAAATTGCTAATAGTTTGTTGGCCGATAGAGTAAAATAATTAAACTGTTTTTGTCACAGTAATTACAAATATTAGAGAGATCAGATGAATTTACTTCAAAGAATCGCAACTAAAATATGAGGATATAAGAAGTGGTTGTGAAAAAAAACATTTCCAAATGCAAAATCAGTGATAAAAATAGTAAATGATTGTTTTTACACCAAGTCCAGGTTTGATAATAAATTTGTTAGAGTGATCTCATCTCCAAAAAGTTTTTTTTATATAAAATAAGTTTTTCAAAGTTATTTAATCACAATAAAATTGAAGTAAAAGTTAGGGAATTTAATAACTCAGGTTAACTTGAATTTATTTTTCAATCTCATTTATTTCGTTTATCTGTTTACGATAAATGACAAATATAAAACTGGATGATTGATGGACGTATTGGATGATAGTAGTCTTTAAAAAGTCATTCATTAGAATCATGTTCAAACTCCTGAATGTTATTTTTGTGTTTTTACTTCTATTACCTGATGATTCATTTATTGAAATGTAATGATAAGTAGATAGAGGGCATTAGTAAATTGTTTTGAAAAATTTCGTTAGTCCAAGTTGTTACACCTTGCGTTAGAAGAGGAAAGAATTAGTCAAAAAATCAAACGTTAGATGAACGGAATGATAATACACCAATATCGAGTAACTATAATAACATAGCGGGAATTTGAAGAGCAGCCAACAATAAGATTTACCAAACAATTACGTATCTGTGTCTGTAATATTACGGTGATTGAGAAAACATTGTAGTGGTCAAAAATATTAACTATAATCACATAACAAGTTTCATTTAGGTAAACTACATGTAGTTATGGTCTAATCTCATTTCAAATTAACTATCAGAGACTTTATTAGTTGGCTCAGCCAACTACAAATCGAACCATTCTCCAAAACTTCGATTTGCTGACCATAATGAGGTTTATTTCATGTCGCTTCAACACCGACCTGCAAATTGTATTATGATTTTGAATATTTCTTTACAATCAACTTATCTAACAGGGATGAAGAAACTGGATTACATCAGTTTTATAAAATTTAATTTCCATTCAACTATGCTTAAGATTTTTTCGCGTAGATTAGACCTCATTTACGTGTTATAGAGATTTTCCAAAAAAACTAGTTTAAGCTCTTGTCATTTTCAGATCACGATTGCTCCTCTCTGTGTATGTGTGAGCACACACACACTTAACACTATCCAAAACCATATCAGTCTCTTGTCATTTTATTTATAGTAAAACATAGTTAAGATTAAATAAAAGTTTGTCAAACATTTGGTTCGTTGTTAATATTGAAATATTATTGTGTTAAAAACAATATGCAAATTACAGATTATTCAAAGAGATGTTAAGCAGAGTTTCACATTTGGCTAGCGAATTTCGAATTGGCACAGAGAAACGAATTAATAAAACAGAACGTCGAACATTAGAATACAATTATAAACTTAATGACAAGTTGGCAAATCTAAGCAACAGAATATCCCATATCATGGGTAAAAATAAATCCTATAAACAAGCTACAAGACAATTAAAGCATGATATAAGCGTATTACAAGAAGTTAGAGATGAAATGCATAAGAACTGGTCAAATCATCTCAAAGTAAGTAAAATATCAGTTTTTAACTGGTGAAACGTCTGTTTATTGTGGTGAAAGTAAAAGTCTATAGTTGAGGCACTTGTATGTTATTCACTTTGAGATATTGGTTTGAACTTCTAACTTTACGTGAGGAAGTAAATATCAATGATATACGAAGTAGGTAACAGTGTTTTATAGTATGTTTTTCGGACGAAAACGTGTGTATGAAATAACTGGTCGGTTTTGTTCGATTTTCTGCTCTATTAGTTTCTTCTGGATAATTTTATTCGGTTGTAAATAGATTAATGGAGATTATCAAAGTATACTAACTGTAGGTGAATATTAGACATATGTAAACATATACAAAGGAAAAACATCTAGGAGCTATATTACAGCAGTTGATAGGAACAAGACGATGTTCCATTAAACATTTTTTAACACATCCCTTTTCGTATATATTAATTGTTTATATGCATATGAACAGCTTGAACTAATATGGTATTTAACCATTTCTTCCAAAATTGAAAACAGTTATCATTGATACAAGTGACATAATAGCAGCATGAATAGGTCTGTTTACTTTGAACTGCCCCCAAAAGTGGGGAGAGTCCTCTCTCCCTCTCGAAATGTTCTCACATGGCCACGCGTATATAGCCTCTACCAGAGAAGTCCTACTCACTTCCTTCTCGTGGCAGGGGTGTTGTTTACGAAAGTGAGAGGACGAAAAGCGAATGTCCGGCGCTTTAACCGGGTTGGTGGACATGGCGAGTTCACCTAGGGGAGTTGGAAAACCCTGAATCCGAACCAATGGTGCACATGGGCTCCAGTATCCTGAAGGAACGAATGGCGTATGAATTAATTGTTGTTCACTGGCTACCATGGGATTGCATCTCCTCACGATGCTCCACTGCCTTGTGGATCAGACCTTTAGGTCAAAGGTTACGGGTGTGGCCCCCTAAGAAAACCACCTGCTTCGGTTTGGGCATCTGAGCAGTATCACAGCCCTCACACAAATCGAATGAGATTTGTGTGGCGCATATATATCTGGTGCCCATTTGTACCAATATTTATGTTTAAATAAATTAATAAACTTTAAGCACTTGTGTTAACTTGACACAAGTTAGTTTTTCTTTGAGAAAAAAATAAAAAGTTCAATGTTCTGCTCTTTTTTTGACATGATAAATATACCGTTTTCATTATCAATTCACAATAGCTAGCTTCATATAACGTAATATCTAATAGCTTTACATATTTTTTTCAAATGTACACTCAAACTTAAATTAGCAACTAATTCTTCTAAAATGTATTTAAAATAATTCAATAGTTTTTTAAAAAGTTTCTTCCATCTCTTTTACTTTCTTTCTAAAGTCTTTGAAAGATTCAATATCCAATTGTTTAGAAAAAGAACAAAGATTATCTTCAATGATGAAATCATTTACAACTGATAAACTTATCGACTCAATGAACAATAATTTATTTGATGAACAAATAAAATATATCAGTACGAAAGAAGCTCAACTGAATGATGTTTTACAAACATTAAGGTTACCATTGTAACTATGCTTTTCTTTGTTGATACAGCGAAAGTTTTTCTTTTTTTTTAAACACAAAATCATCCATATTATACGACTAGCTTTAAATCATACATTTATTAGATGATCAATTTTATTGTTTAATGTGGTTGAAGGTGGTCAACAGGAAACCCTTAACCCGGTTTACGTGCTACTTGACACTCGTCAGCTTGATGTGTCTGTAATCTTGAGGGAACTGGTGCTCCGTGACGGATTGGACCCCGTGTCACCCAGCTTCACAGTCAGAAACGTTACCACTGAGCTATCAATGCCGCTTCATAGGTGTCTTGGAAGCATTGCTCGTATATCCTGTGATCACCGGGTAGTTAATGAAGTTGTTAGGAAACGGGTACTAGGTAAGGATGGCGAACCGATTGTTGAAGTAGTGAAACTTCATCAGTTGATATGGCTGGGACACGTGTTACGTATGCACAACCACCGACTGCCCCGACGTGCAATGTTTCATGGTGTAGGAGTAGGTTGGACGGCCAGGGACGGCCAAACCAAAGCATGGCATAAATCCATGAATTCACTGACAAGTGGACTGAGCCGTGTTGGTAGTTGTAGACTACCTGGTTGGGATTCGCGAGATGATAGCAATCGATGTTTAGAGACCTTGAATGACTTGGCTCAAAATCGTTTGCAATGACGAAGGTGCATCCACTCTTTGCGTTTTCACAAGTCCTAATCTTCTGAATTCGTCATGTTTTTTTATTTTTCTCTTTCCAAATTTATTTCACTGGATCATACTGCTTGAATAACATCCTCAAACCCTAATCTTTTCAGTTACTGCTTATACTCTTTCTACTTCTACCACTATGGGATTTGAATCGACAGCTGCATCTCTGTACTAATGCGGTATGGCAGATCAAACTGATGTACGTACGTACGAAGTTCTACGTTGTAACTGACTGACTTATTATAATTTTGAATAAATTGAGCATTGGGTAGATTGTTATAAATAAATAATATATTTGTAATATCCCAATGAGTAGAAAAATTAGATTTTCTACTCATTGGGATATTACAAATATATTATTTATTTATGACTGACTTATTGTTTTTTATTCTAAGTTGCGATATTCAAATATAGTTTAACGAACTATAAAGAATTATCCACTTAAACGGAGATATTATAAGTTATTTATTGAGTTATATTAAATAAAAAGCAACGTTTTTACTAAAAGTGAAGTTTAACATATATATTTGGTTTTGATTTTGTATTACGATCAGTTTTGCTGGCCGTGAAAATATAGTAATATTGTGGTTGTTCGAAAATGAGAGTTTTCTTGGATGCCACTTGTTTAGGAACTATTGAGATAAACAGTTTAATAAAACTAACCAGTCACTAAAGAAAATGAACTGAATAATTGCTCAGAATCAAAGAGCATTTTACAATTATATTTTTCCTAGTCCGAAACTTCATAGAATTAAAAGCTATTGTCTAAAGTTTGGGATCTCAAACACTATAGTCTAAGTGTCATCTTGTTTGTTGATAGACCTGAAGGTTTTGAGTTTGATCTTGTGAACACTACTGAAAAACGTAAAACTAGTTTTCCTCTTTGATTCCGTTTGATTTCAGTTCATGACTCAAACCATATTTAAAGTGGTTAACTGTTCGAGTTGATTTACAATTTACAACGCTCTGTATATTCATTAGTTTCGTAATATCTAATTGAGTTAGCAAATATATAGTTTCTTAAACAGCTCAAATCAGTGATAAAATTAAATACTGATCATAACAATTGATCATACAAAATTACAAAACACAATCTTTGAAAAAGACAAAACAAACGATATTTTTGAGAAATTCTAAGTGTTTACAAATTTCCAGCTTAAAAACAACCTGTTAAGAAATTTGAAATAATCTTTCTAAAATGCTCAAGATTAAAAATTGTTAGTTATCACTTTAAAGTAAATAGTCCCTTTGATAAATTTCGATAGTGTAATAAGAAGACAAAGATTATCAGAACTATGTGATATATTAGCTCAATACATTTCGAACAATATGATCACACATATACTTGTTAAGAACATTTTTATACAAAAATAAAAGGTCAACTAGACTGGAAATAGGGGTAAGAATAGACAAGGATAATAATGATAAAATAATGTGAAAACAATTTGACACCTAATCACTCTGGATAATAAGCATTTATTACCAGGGTAGGTTTAAGGAGAGGACAAACTGTTTTTGAATACACAAAGGGAGTTTGAATTTTCGTATGGCTAAGGCTTCAATAAACCTCAGTATACGCCCTTTTACACTTTTTTTTTATGAATTAATTGTTGTTCACTGGCTACCATGGGATTGCATCTCCTCACGATGCTCCACTGCCTTGTGGATTAGATCTTTCGGTCAAAGGCTCCGGGTGTGGTCCCCTAAGAAAACCACCTGCTTCAGTTTGGGCACCTGGGCAGTATCACAGCCCTCAAGCAAATCGAATGGGATTTGTATGGCGCATATGTATCTGGTGCTTCCTTGTACCAATATTTATGTGTTTAAATAAATAAATAAATAAAGAAGCATTGCAGCTGGTCTAAAAGCGTTCTACCACTTGTGCTTTTTGGACAATAACTGATCTCTCAAATATTGGTAGAAATTCCCGTCTGCTGCTTCGATAAATGACACATACCGTTGGAAGCTACAATACATTGTAAAGCATATTTCGATTTACCTTTCCACATTTCTTGTTAGCATAAGACGGTAGAACATTTGAAGATCAGATCGTGGCCTCTACGAATACGATGAATGGGTTAATTGTTAAGAAAGGAAAGCTTACCCTCTTGATGACATTTTGAAGAAGGTGCACGCGGCACAAAAGGTGGTGTGAATTGGGATACACCTGCGTTATGGCAGCAGCTATAGCAGGTGAATCATCGGTGGCTTCACTGTTTCCAATTCCGCCGCCGTTAATCGGCGCATCCATGTGTTACAGTCGCACCTCAGGGAATTGCACTCGTGATTGTGATGCACATTCCCACGAACAGTCCAATAACCTTCAAGAAACTTACAAAAGATGAAGGCCGGACATTGTGTCCATTGAAGTCCTCAATGAACAATATAATAACACTAATCAAATTACCTCCTTCGTCTAATCGGCGCTCCATAACGCTTCCAGTGATGGAGACGCTACCAGATACAATGTATTCAGAAATGCATTTTCCGTTTCTGTGACTACGTGAGGAACAACAGATCCTCTAATTTGCACGTTACTGACGTCCATATTGTGAAGAAAATTATCTATATCGATAAGTACAGAGCTTTTATACGAATTTCAATAATTACATAACCAATTATAACGCATTTACAACTAGGAATTTCATTGGACGAAACGGATTGAAAAAAATTGGAAAATGGGATGAAAATTTTTTGATTAAGGGGGACAAAAAAAATTTATTAAAAAAAAATCGACGTGATCCTAATGTTATTCCGTATTGTTAATCTATAGAAATTCTCTAAAAAAAATTAATGTTTAAATTATTTAATTTAACAAGTATATTATTTTATACCTTTTTAAAAGATCTAAGTACGAGCATACATTATGTCAATGTGAAGAATACATGGATTTGAAGAATAAAGAACTGTATCGTTTGAAACAATTGATCAAAGCTAGAAAAAGTTTGTGCCAACTAGTGTATGATTGTAAAACTGCGTTACGGGAAGCCCATGAAGTAAGCTTACTTTATCTTATTCATGTTGATCTGTAATATATATATAATTTCTTCTAGTTACTTTGTTTAGTGTTGTTTTTCTGTATATAATTTCCTTAAACAGATGTTAGAACCGGAAAATGCTATGAAACTGAATTTAACTGAACGCATTCAACGTCATGATCATTTATTGACTGCATTCTTCATTTTAATTTATACATGTGATCAGCTTATTTCACGTATTACTCCATATCAAATTGGAGACTTTCGATTAAGTCAAATAACTAGAAGTATACCTTCATCATCAATGAAACAGTCATCGTGTGGTAATAAGGTTATGTTTAGTAATTCTCTGCATACATTTTCCAGTTCTTCATTGGCTAAAAGTGACAACCAGACTAGGAAATTTTCATCGAATAACAATGAATCTAGTGGATCATTGTTGGATTCATGTGGAAATGATCGGTAGGTTTTTGATTTAGTGGTTTTGGCGTGTAAGGTGTTCAGGAATAATACGTGAAATTTTTTATCTAACTTAGAGATTAGTTAATAGTGGAGCCCAGGACGCATGTTTTGTCCCATTTGGGACTCATCAACTGCAAAACCAGCATCTCAGTATTGATATTCATTGAAACTCAAACACAATACTTTTTTCACACCAAACACAAACCCACACTATCCAGTGACCTATTAAGTCTAGACAGCCACTAATGTAATTGACTATGAATTAGATTTTTAAGAGTTTCTATTTTCTCGTTGATGTTGATACAAATACTAAAAAATGATAAGCAAATTCTGATGATCAGTCAAGTAATATAGGCTTTAGGTAGATTTGGAAAAAACATAATTTCGTAATCAGCGATGAAAGAGATATCTGAAGCGATTAATAATTTATTATTGCAACCATTCTCAACTAAGGGATAGTGACAAAATCATGTTACAGAATAAGCCAATAAGGAAATTCGTTGTTAACAAGTTAGACATGAACGAACCATATAATTTTTTTAATGTCACAGGCTAGTATTTAGTGCTCAAATAACCTTGCATTCTTTAATCATTTGTTTCAAACTGCATTAAGTGGTTTATTTCTGTGTTTGATCCTTTGGTTATCAGTGTGTCAGATTGACCAAAAATGGTATTTTCTAATTATTTGTTCATTATTCTGATTTTCGTTCATTCAAGAGTACCGCGTCATTAATTGTTCATATATAAGTACTCATCATTCGGTTGCACATACGAGCACAAAATGTTAGCATGTCAATTAAAGCTAGACTTGCATACCAATGAATGCCGGCTTAGTGCTCTAGAGGTTGTGTTCACGTGGAGTTCCTGAGTCCATTAGCTCCTTTAATAGTCACGGATGCGCACTGCTGAAGAGTCCTACATTAGGACTAAACGGCCTTCCAGGTTTCCAACTGCTATCTAACTTGGATCAATCCGTGATATTAATTAGGTTTAATAACCTCCACAAACCCATATTGATGAATATTTTCTTGTTACTTGAGGTCTGTGATGATTATTGGATGAAAAAACCCTTGTACTCAGTAGATGTGCCTCAAAATCAAACGCCTGCAATTATTCAATTGGATACTTAGCCTTTACATCATTGGGTTCTAATATTTGAGTGTAAAAATTTTAACTTGGCAAATAAAACATGCACAATGTTGTCCTCATACAATGGTGTAAATTTCACGACTCCAAGTTGGAGTGTATGACTGTTGTTTTCAAACTAATTAACGACAAGCTGTACGGCCAATAAGATTATGTTTATCAGTCAAGCATGTATTGGTTCAACAAAAACACTTATAAATAATAAAGATTTGTGCTCAAGTAAGTGGTTTTGATTCATCTTGAGATAATCATCAAAGATTAAGGAACAGCTATCTGTCAGTTAGCTATTTAACTTGAGGTAATAAAGGATAACTTCTTTAAATTGGTGAGTCTGGACTAGTCATAGTGTTTTTATTAAAAGGACTTAGGCTTTAACCACCAATCTGGTTCACCTCGTTTTGACTAGCTTTCATATAAAAAAGAGGCTCAAAGTCAACGATATAAACCTTTACTTGGTAGATGAGTTATATTAAATGAAGTTTGAATACTTCACATTGTTTTTGTGGCACCAAGTTAGCTATCACTATCTTATACACTTTAAATTATTTTGTGCCTATTTGTACGAAGAGGTCAATTATTTAAACTATTTTTCAAAACTGATTGTTTGTTTATTCAGTGATTCAACGTCGGACTTTCAATTAGCATTGAAATTTGGTTTAAAACCAATAGACGATGCAAAGCGAAATATTTCTACTAATTTAATTAAAGAATTATCAAAATGTTCACGTCAATCAGTAAGACGTACTAATACACCAGTTTTACATTCAATAGCTGTGCAAACGGATTCATTATTCGCAAGTCATAAACAACCATCAAATTTATGCAAAAAAAGAAGTTTAAACAAAACATATTTTGTAAGAAGTAGTCGTGGAATTTTACAACTTCCACTGATTCATTCAACAATTCTAGCACCAAAAGAAGATTATGATGAATTGTACAGATTTAATATACAATCAACTTATAGACATAAATCACCTATACTACCAAGTTTATACAAATTGGCTAAGATGTAATTCAGCTTATATTTAAATATTAACTATTGAAGTATAATCATTGTGCCACAGATTCGAACCATGTAGCATCCAGAATTCTCCTGATCTTTCTTATATATTTAACAGGATTTTCAAATTTTAATGATATTTCAACGACTTCAATCACTATTTGTCTGAATCTCAACTTTTCTGAGTTGTGATGTCAAGTCAAATATCCTTTTGCATGGTATAAATATTTAATCGCTTCAAAAAACAATATTTACCTTATGTTTTCTTATAATCTTGTTAAGTCACTAATTTTATTTATTTCATTTGTCAATGTGATAGATAAGTACAGATGTTCCATAAATTATTCAAAGTTCATCTTGGGATGTGTCAACTATTCTTAATTTCAGTGTGATACAAGAGATTATTTTCATGTAGAAGCCTCATTAAAATAACTAAAAAAATACTATTTTGAAAATTATTTCTGGATTAGTCAAGGATGGATTTTACCTTCAGTCAACCGTTCTTCTTCAGAAAGTGCGTTCGACAGATATTGTAGTACTAGCCGGAGACTTGAATGCACAGGTTGGGCATCTAGGCATAGAAGAGTCGTTTAGGTGGCCGATGGGGACTTGTTGGTCGCAGGACAGATAACCGGGACCGTCTACTGCAACTGTGTGTAGACCACAACCTATTTCTGGGTAGCACTAACAGTCATCACCGATGTGCCACCTGGCGTCCTTCATCTGCATCTCAAGCCTGGACTCAGATTGATCACATCGCGATCAGCTACCGCTGGCATGGTTGTGTACAAGACTGCTGCTCCTTTTGGAGTACCTATCTGGACTCTGATCATGCCCTTGTTTGGGCCAATCTTACCTTACTTTTCAGTGGCCAACGAATACATCGTCCTAAACGGATTGATTTCAGTAAACTGGTTACAGCTTCTGTTGCTAGTATCAAACCGAGCTAGGTTCTAGGCTAACTAACATCCCACCGAAAAGTATAAATGAGCATTGGTTGCAACTACATGACGCCATGAAAATGGCGAGTAAAGTCGCCTGCGGCTTCGCGGAACGTTCCGCTTATAAGCACTGGGTTTCTTCAGGCTCCTTACAACTCATCGAAGCCCGTCGGTCTACTCCAGGTGACCGTGAGTTTGACCACAAACGAAGGCTGTTACGTTGTGAAATCGGGCAAAGTTGCGTAAGGACCGAGAAGCCTGATGGCTGTAGCGTGCTAATGGGTTGGATGCTGCAGTTGCATCTGGTAACTTGTTATATCTTGTGGCCGAGTGGATGCCTAGTTGATGTGTGGCTCGACAGAACCGCCAAACAGGGAGCAGCGGATTATCGGTTGGAACAGTGACACGAAACCCGTACGAGAATACTAGAGTGCTAACCGGTCCTGCGATCTGCCTAGCCCAGCCAGTTAAGTCCAAAACATCAATAACAGCCTCAGTGGTATGAATCGTTGTATTTAAAACATACTGGGTTTTTATACAAACCAAAGTAATCAATAAACTGATTATAACTCAAGAATCGTATGATCCTAAGTCAAGGTCAAAATAAAGCTAATGATAAAAGAAATACGAATATGAATAGTTCAGTTACGTAATAACTGTACAATAGGAAATAGGCATATCACATTGATCCATAAATAGACCTAAAAGTTACCATCCGTAATTCACCGGTGGATATAACATAACTGCCGGAAGCTCTTTCAACGCATCCGAGCCACTGGCAGCAAGAAGTCTGGTATAAGCGAAACAATCTGTGAGGATGACAGGATGCCACTCACTAACATCCATCGACATCTCGGACGATTGGCAGAGTCCTTCGAATGCAGTTCAACTGGCCTGCTGCTTCGGCAACATCTATAAGTCTGTCCTACCCTCCATGGCCTGTGACGACTGAACCACCTAACGCGGCGGAAGTTCGCGAGGAACTCCAATTGTCGAAACGCCACAAATCACTGGGCCCAGATGACCTATCTCAGGCTCTTTTTAAAAATTGTCCTGCTCTCCATGGCCGGTGGCTGTTCATCCACCTAACGAACTCCAGGTTCAGATGACTTATTCCTGGGTCTGGCAAATAGAGTGTCCGAACATCGTGGAATGAATTGATAATTGTCTCCATTTTTAGAAAGGGTTCACATAATTTTCGCAACAACTATCGGGGGATAAGTCTACTTCCAATTGCGTCCAAACTATTGGCTTCTGTAATTCTTCATAGGTTGTTTAAAACTTGAGAAAGATTGACTTGCGAGGAGCAGGCTGGTTTTTGGTTTTGATCGAGGATGCATTGGTTATATCTTCAACCTCCGCCAAATGTTAGAACACCGTCATATTTATCACAGGCCAACAATCGTAGTGTTTCTTGATATCAGGGCGGCCTTCGATTCGTTGGACAGGACTGTTCTCTAGGATTGTCTATTGAAGAAGGGTGTGCCTGAGAAGTTTCTTAACATCTTAAACGCCCTGTATACGAACACCTCAGGCAGAGTGAGGGCATACAACCACCTTTCTCCCTTGTTCCATTCAAGCAGCAGGGTTGCCCGATATCACCATTCCTCTTCAACTTTGCCATCGACTTCGGTGGTTTGAACATGTTCTACGAATGTCGTCCCAGAGAATTCCACGTCGTACATTATTTGCCGACAACTTATTAGCTAGTTCATGAAGTTTGATTCACTGAATGTTGACAGTGATGTAGACAAATGAAATTTTGAAGTTTCGTCACCCAGTGTTAGTTGCATTCTATAGGGATAAGTAAATTATTTTTAAACACTTTTACGATGTTGAGTAACAGATAAAAACAAATGTGCAGAATATGGTTGTTGATGTAGTACTACCAACATATTTGAATGGCATGGTCGTGTTTTTAAAATGATTGGGCCAACTTTAGTACAAACGGTAGTCAGTAAGTTACTTACAAATTATTTAGTATGTGGACTAAGCACAAGCTCTTCACGTAAACTACACAAGCCATACAGTATGTCTACTTAGTGAGTGTTGACAATTTAAATTAATTTCACAAGTCACTTTGGCACAATTCACTAAAGAACCAATAACGTACAGACTGAGACATTACAGTTAACTTCCAGTAGTTTTGAATCAGACGGAAATGTCGGGTCGAATGCTGATATAAGGGTAGATCTTTCATTTTATTGTTTTTCAGCACATTTATTATGCCCTGTAAATTTCATCTCTTTCTCAACTCCAAGTAAAAGGTAGGACAAATGAACACAAACAGTCAGTTGTACTCATGGATACACTACCGAAATATGAGGTCGATGACGTAGTTTGGGAATCTCGATAAGTTAGCACCGATGACATTCTTAACATATTGACTCAAACATGCACAGCTGTCGATTATTTTTCGAACAGTAAAACAATACAATACAGTAACCGAGTTACAAGAAATCTCACAATTAAGATTCAATAAAACATATTTATACAACTGTTTGATAAACATTATTTGGAAATACACGTGGTAAATCCATTGTGTCTATGAAATCAGATGTAGTGACTGTAATGCAACGTATGTAGGTGAAACATTAAGGCAACTGAATGTGAGGGTGGAGAAACACAAACTATACTTAAAACGCATTCCTAAGTTCTCAGATGATGTAAGGAAACTGGAGAACAAATCAGCGATAGCATTACACTCGATAGAATCGGGTCATACAATTGATTTTGATGGCACAAGAATCCTTTCAAAGCTTTCAATTCTTACAAAGAGAAACAAACAGCCGAAGCCCTATACATATGGGCTAATCCAAACAATATTAATAGGAGGAATGGAATACAATTAGCTGTACCATGGCAGTTAATCATTAATAAATAAAAACCTGAACTCCTTTCCGTTTTATCTATCTCGTATTATCTGAGTGACAACAATTACATTCAATGATTCTAACCAGCTGTCTTATCTGAATTTGTCAAACAATTAATTGGAACATTAAAATAATACAAATATTCAGTTTCAAATTACATTATTCCTCTTCGAATTTCACTCTTTTATTCTCACTTTGTTTATTTATCTTCATTTTATACATCCTGTGACATATATGATTCATATCGTATTTTAAAAATTGTATGTTTTCACCACTTACGTATATATACAATATGTTATCTTAACACATATCATTTCACATCACAAGTATCTTACACAATAATACATGTACTTAGTTTAGACATTTTTTACGCTGATTGGATGACCTATTCAGTATACAATGAACCGGAAAACCATGTACCTACTTATATTCGATAATTTTGATTATAATTCCTTGAAAAAAGCTTGGACCAGATTGCCAGGCGAAACGTTGGATTTACTTCAGTCTGTGAATGTTTGCGGTATTTATAATGACAGGAATAAAGCACAATAAAACAACGACATTCGGGACGGAAACAAAAGAAAATAAAACGATTAAAAGAGTATGGAATCTATAAGGTCAATATACATGAAAATCAATGCTTTGAAGGAATCTACGATTAAATACTAGTAACTTAAGAATTTCACTTTTAAAATCCATCTTTCATAACGATAAATAAAACCGAGTGAATCATTATGCAGTACCTTCACTTCTTGATTAGAAGACGGACGTCTTGGTCTACACAAAAGGTGATAAATACTGGCGAAATCCAAGTGGGATTTCCGAATCTATGCTGAAACTTCATGAGACACCCGGGCTGACGACACTTCAAATATTGTAGACGCATTCAACAACCTTACTCCATACCACTAATTTATGCGTTAAAGTGGAGCAGTGTTAAGGTGAAACTTCGAATTGAGTGGCGGAGAAACGTATCTTACACATGATTGCTCATTGTGATCAGAAGACTATATTTTGTCAGTACCTTCATTGAAAAGAACCGTCATTTACACGTTCTAACAAACTACTACCTGAAAGATCACTGACGGTTCAAAATGGCAAATCTAAAGAAGTTAATGCCACGGAAGTCGTAAATAAACGGATTTCAAGATCTCTGAGAGCTTTCTACTCAGTTAAACTTTATATTGTCTACTCCAAAAAGGATACTATTCATGGATCTTTTATGGGTTAATTTCCTTTTTGAGCTACATAAATATACATGCATAACTTTATTTGCTATCGAGGAACAGGTCACATTGATTTCACCAAGCGAGCATCTCAGAACAGTACATAGCGTGGCTTTTCAAATGGGAAACTAAACCAATCAGTAGCTTAGTACATGAGCATCTTCTCCAACTCCAGGCAATGTTGCTCAAGAAGAATCACTCTTCAAAATAATCTACATGATCAAGAGAAGGATTAATGGGGGTAAAAATCTTTTGTACTGCTGATGTAATGGTGATTTATTAATTTGAGACTGAACACTGCATCTAAAAGCGACATGTACAATCTTTTATCTTGTCTTTGGCCTGACACATTTTTCAGAATGCCGTAGTTTCGTTTTCACTATTATATTGTACTGTTCGAACGTAGTCAGATATCATCACCCGCCTACAAAAATTCATAATTAGCCCCCGAATGCCTGGTACGGCCGACAATGGGAAGAGTCATCTCTGCTTTTCGAAATGCTCTCACATAGACACGCGTAAACAGCCACTACCAGGGAAAACCTACTCATTGCTTTCTTGAGTCACGGACGTGGTTTACAAAATTCAGGGGACAAAAAGCGAATGTCCGGGGCTTTAACTGGGCTGGTGGATACTATTATATCGAGTGCATGCGTGAGTTCCCTGTAATATATATTACGTGATGATTCCCGCCAATCAGAGAGGAGTGAACTATCGATCAGAGCAATGACACACAAAAGACGTATGAGCAGTCTTGAATACTTATCAGTCCTCCTATCTGCCTAGCCCAGCCAGTTAAGTACAGAACACCCATAAAACCCCTGCAATATGAATCATTATTCACAAACATACTGGGTTTATATACCAAACAAACTGGCCACATCGTACCATAAAATAGAAAATAACATTTGTACAAGATTTAACCAAATGTGGCTGTGAATAGGGGGGACAGTAATTAATGGACTAGAGATAACTCAAGAATGATAAAACGTATAATAATAGCCTATAGTCAAAATAAAGCTTATAAGAGGGACACGAAAATGAATAGTTTAGTTACTTAACAATTATACAATAGGAAATATACATATTATATCTGTCCATAAATAGTTCTCAAAGTTACCAATCATAAATCTCAACGGGATATAACAGATACGGAGGGTCCATTTAGGAGAGTTAAAAAACTCTGATCCTAAACCAATGGTGCACATGGGCACCGGGATCCTGAAGGAGAAAATGGCGTGCGAACCAATCGTTAGTCACCGGCTACCATGGAACTGCATCTCTTGACGTTGTTCCACTGCCTCGTGGATCAGACCTTTAGGTCGAAGACTCCGTGTGTGACCTCTCAAGAAAACCTATTACGGTCTGAGCACAAGGGCAGTATCACAGCCCACACACAAATCAAGTGACTTGTGTGGCGTACAAGTATTCGGTGTCCCTTCGTACCAATATTTGTGTTCATATAAATAAATAAACATAATTATTAATCAATTGTTATGATGTCTGATATGTGGGAGAGAATGATAATGATTGGTTGTATGCTTAGTCAGACTTGTAGATAGTCTGACAAGTATTAGATGAGTTATATATATTATCCTCTCCTTATTATTGACTGTTGATTTGGGCCTGTTTCTGGTGCGGAAATATATTTACGTTCTAGTCAGGCTAATCACGTGTTCTTGAACTGAGCTGTGTTGAAGTCCTGTAGAATAGACACTGAGAGGGGATTTAGGGTAGATATTCGTATATGGTAAATTCATATCCCATTCGTAAAGACGAAGAAAACCGACCGTTTTGACAATGTCCTAAAAGCATTTTATTTCTTCATATCTGTCAAGTGGACAATTATTGCTCATATTTTAGATAGATAGTTTTTAGCCTCTCATTCTTCTCAAACCTCTAGAGTATTATACGAAAGTATCCTTACATTTGAAGTTTTGGACAAATTTCTAATGTGATTGCACGAACAAGAACACGATTGTGCAGCATTAGTAGACGATATCGTCTGAAAAATGTTCTGTTAAATTCTCTTTATTCGATGACAATGGGTTATTTTAACATTTTTGGATGAGCAACAATTATGATACTATAACTCCAGTGAGATGACAAGATTATATTCTTGATGTGAATTTAGTTGGGACGAAAATCACGAAACTTTGGTACGACTTAGAAATTGATTAGAAAAAATAGTACTTGAGCCTACTGATTGTGAGAGGCCTGGAAAATATTATTGATTAAAAATCTTCCCAACATTGTCCAGTTAGTTGTCTTTACGTAGATAAAAAACCTTTTGCAGAGTTATTTATAAGTTATAATTCGTTCGAAACTACCTGTAATCTAATTACCAAGTTTACATTGATGACTGATATATCCAATAAGCAGTCACTGATATATGGACATGACTTTGTCAAGAATCAATTACAGAATAAATAGAACGATATTTTCTGCTGTCACATGTATAACAAAATATTTTTAGGGTTGGATATAAAAATACGAAAGAATGGATAGAAATCAAAAATAAAAAAGGACAAAACCTAGGTGATACGTAAATAACAAATAACTCAAAAAAAATTAAAATGAGTGTTTATCAAACGATTAAATCATTTGACTAAAATAGATATGTACGCGTTACAACCAAAAATAATTTCAGATTAACTATTATTAGGTGTGGTGAGAAAGCCTAAATAAATGACAAAACACCATTGGCGCACATCATATTTTTTGTAGGCAGGGGCCAGGTATCAGGAAAATTACCACCAGAACTGGTAACAAAAGTTGAATAACTATATTGGTTTTTGTTGGGCAACAAACCTGAACAGTCATTAAAAATAAATTTGGTAAATTCTTCAACAAGTAGATGATTAGTAGCTTCAAGATGATTGCGGTTATTAGTGGATAATAAATTCTGACTAGATATTTGAGCACAAACGGCGTGATTTAATTCCATGTTAAAGATGGGTAAACCTAAACGTAAAGTAATGAAATAGATTGGTTTATGCTCTTTCATAATAGTAAGCAATTCATTTTCTACTAAAACAGCTTTCCTACAACAATTATATTCACTTTTTTGTTGATCACGTTGTAAAATGGAATCTGTGTTAGTCAATAAAATGTCTTGGTCTTCTGAAGCTAGTTTATTCAGATCTTGATCTTGTTCACATTTGTTCATCGGAGCTAATACTATGATATATCCAGAGACATAGGTTAAATTGATAACGTTCATGAGATGTACTATGAATTCTGGTATACAATTGGATGAATGTTGTAAGAATTCCTTGGAAATAGGTAAAGGTATGTATCTCTGGGACAAATTTTCTTCAAATTCATAACTTTCGATGGCCTTTTTAAAAGAAAAAGGTTTGAGTAAGGCAAAGTGAAAGTAACCAACTATAAAATGTCTAAGAGATGTTTATTATTTATTTATTTAAACACATAAAAATTGGTACAAGGAAGCACCAGGTAAATATGCGCCTAACAAATCTCATTCGATTTGTGTGAGGGCTGTGATACTGCCCAGGTGCTCAGACTGAAGCAGGTGGTTTTCTTAGGAGGCCACACCCGGAGCCTTTGACCTAAAGGTCTAGTCCATAAGGCAGTGGAGTATCGTAAGGAGATGCAGTCCCATGGTAGCCGGTGACCAACAGTTGGTTCATACGCCATTCGTTCCTTCAGGATACTGGAACCCATGTGTCTAAGAGATGAGAAAATCATTATCAGTTTAACTAGAACTTAATCTGAAACATGGAGATGTTATATTAGTAGAATTTTGGTGGCTACGATACGACTGTGATGACAGGTATTAGATATCCTCCAAATTATAGGAATATCAACCAAATCCACATAGGTTGAATAATAGGAATTCTATTTTGACTTATGTCTTGAGATTATAGAAAAATCGAAATTAATGGAAATAATCACCCTTACGTTGTGCAACCCTTCTCGTCAGATATTTGAATGGCAATATCGTAAACGATACCACGAAGTACTTCAGAATCGGAAACGAATGAACGGACAATGTGTTTGATTTTTAGTATCAACCAGAGACAAGATATTACTTCTTTAAAATACAGTAAGAAACAGTAATACTGTGATAAAGCACTTTTCAAGGAAGTACCATAAAATCGTACTACCTGAATAAACTGTGAATATGTGAGAATTCGGTAAGACTATAATTTATGGACGAACCAATCAATTTAAGATATCAGGTCTTAAATTTTGGCGAGAGATTCATCCACTCATTTGGCTATACCATTTCGGCATTATAGCTTATGTCAGTTCGTGAAGAAAATAACTCTAACTTTTAACCGTAACGTTCAACTGTAAATCCTAATCCTAGTTCCTCGCACTAATTTATAACCCTCATTTAACCCTAGTAAGCAGATGGACATTTCCAAGGTCATTTCGGCGTTGCTCAAAGATCGACCACAAACTATAATCACACCAGGAATTCAACTTCAAGGAACATTAAAAGACATTTTTGGTAGTAATTCGCTGTTTTCAAATGAGAATGCTTTAATTTTTGGTATACATAACAGTGGGAAAACATACTTAAGAATACTTCGGCTATTCGACCTCATTATATAACAGGCTGTTTTTGATCAAAGAAATAGACATGTCTTCCCACTGATACTGAATTAGGGAAATGTAGAGTAATAATGCCAAATGTAATACGTTTTCCCTCGTACCACCGATAAATTACCACCAAAATATTGAATAGTACGTAGTTACATTGTATTTAGTTTGTAGAGCTGAATGCAGTAGATCGCACCGAAATAGGATGAGGTAAGTAATCACGACTGACTAGGTTGATCGTAAGAACACCTGATTATAATGCAAAATAATCACATCATATCTAACAGAATATTAAACTGATCAAGACATACTAGCAGTTTAGAATAATTAAACCTTGGGTTTTTGTTAGACTATCATATTTGCGGAGAAAGCGAGGTAGATTTTTTGATAAAACATATGGCCCCTTGTAAGATCAGAAAACTTTAACCATTTCGAAAGTTTTAATGACCTACTGAACAGGGATCTATCATTTTCACTTACGGCAATAAGATATAATGAAAGACATTTATACGCCACAATTGTCACAGTGAAAACTTCTCCCAAACATTATTTACTTGAAGTGGGATCATAGAATCTTGGGGTCGTGTTGTGGTCAAAGTAAGAACAAGATAGCAAAGGTTATGGAGTTTTAGAAATCAAGATGGCTAGAAAAGGGATCAGGTATATTAATTGATCGTTTACCTGAACGCTCGATAATAAATGTAGTGGAATTGAATTTTAAAAAGCTAATAATCCTAAAAGTGACACATGGTACTAATTCAGGGATTACTTGACTGTTAGTTTAAGTAAAGTGCTGTGTTTTCAAATTCATATAGTGGCGTAGATCAGTCGTTAGAAACTTTGAGTGTTATGACTTATAATCCTTCATAGTGGCTCAGATGCATCTATTCTTTATTTTTCTAAAATATTAAACACCAAATTCAGACAACAGACTTTTCTACATAGAAAGATTGTTTAATGGGGAAATCGTTAATTTAACATTAGAATTGATTTCAAATTTTCGGACATAGGGTTAGTGTATTCAGAATCAGATTAAAGTGAGTAAAAAACAGATATTATAGATAAAACTCACTTGGATAAGTACAGGCGATGATAGAAGCATATCGTTTGCTGTGGTTAAAAAATTAGTTGAATCTACCACCACAGCGTCATGACCCCATGCAGTAAGCCAGAAGCGTGAAATTCCTCGTAAAGGTGATGGAAGCCTAGATATCCTAGTACCACATGTTGTCAAAAGAGTAGGCAAAACATCGATACTGTGATTCTGTTTTCGTTGAATTGTATTGCTTGCGACACAAGAAATAAAAAAGCCGAACCAAGGAGAATTAGCTTCTGATATAGGTGGTCCTAAATGTGGTGGCCATTGGGAATCAGAAGCTTGCTGGTCTTCATATGTTGAGGGGATAAGGCTCACAACTACATTATAATTTTTGCGCAAAACTCGTATGCGTGTTTCAGCCTCTAAACTTAACAACGAACCACCTCTAATTAAATCAACATCACAGAAGTCCGTTGAGTCTAATGAAGCCTGACTACGCAAAAAGTGGATTGTTTTTCTTAAATTCAGAGCATACTCGCGATAAACCCCGACTTCACCTTCTGAAACAGGAGCAAGATGATTTAATTCAAATACGAAAGAATTCAATGAATCATCTGACAATTTACCGACTTCAAACATTGTAACTGCATGAGGTTTTAAGTTGGGTGATAAATTGCCCATCATGAGATAAGCCGTGATAGTTGAATCAAATATCAATACCAACTTTTTTTTCTGCTGACAGTGGTCATCTACAGATGGAAAAGAATCTAAGTTTGCTTCGACAGCTGAGTTTTCCGTGTGTAGCAGCGTATCAGACTCATCATTAGATATTGGAATTTGAAAAGGTTTTGTTCGACTCTCCGGACGTCCGATCCGTTTTTGAGCGAACCCCAACCGACAAAATATGGAAGTAGCTTGTTTTACTGAGTTCACATCTACCTGTAGACACTCGGCTAGTTCACTAACTGATGTGTTCTCATCAGCAGTGACAAAAATTTTGTATAAAAGATTTTCTCTAATATCTCCACTGATACGATTCATTACGAAGCCCTCGAGTGTAGGAACACATATTTTATCGTCGCAAGACACTGGAATATCAATGTAAACCAAACCGCGGAGGTAAAGTCCTCTGACGATATCTTGATCAAGATCTTTGACCAGGATTCCGGGACTGACTTGGTTGGTTTCTTCCAGGTCATCTGCCTTTTCAGCATCTATAAGCTGGTCGATCATTATGCGCTCGGAATCCGTAGATGTTTGTATGTCAGATAACATGACCGATCCAATACGAACTACATACCAGGGCTCAAGTATGACTTTATCGATTGGTTGTGATGGGAGAATGTCACAAAGAAGTCCCTGAATTTCATTTTCGTCAGGACCTATTGACGACAGGAAACTCTTGTAAGTGTTAACAAGTTCAATATACTGATTTCTGCCAATTCCCAACAAACGTAAGCAATCTGCAGCAGTAAAATTTGGAAGACAGTCATATGACTTTTCAGTCGAAATCAGATCAATTAACATGCGACGGTAGTAGACAAACTGAGTAATTTGCAAACCACGAACTATTTTGTCTTGTAAGTGGTAAGGATATAAGAGATAGTGTTGTCTTCCATAATCAACAAGTTTCTCGTAGTATTTCTTTTCACGTTTTATGACCTTAATTTAGGATTATCTAAACACTTTGCATACCGATTGTACTATATTTCCGGTGTAGCGTAACTGGTTTCGAAAACTATGTAGCAAAATTTGTTCTTCGTACTTCTTTGGATCATCGTTCAACTGTATACGCACCTCCAAAGACAACTCAAACCAAGACAGATTTTTCTCAATGCTTTTCCATAAATCCATTTGAATTTCATTTGTTTGTTAAATGTATGGTATAAAACGTTCAAAAAGCTGTATCCATCATTAAACTAAGCGAAACAATGCATGCAATATGCTCTGAAATCAGAAATCAATAAGCAAAAGCCACAATTTTAACAACCTGACAGATAAAACCAGATAAAGAGTGGAGCATCAGATAGATGGAAAACAACACTTATCATTATGACTTAAATGATAACTCATGGATTTGTGGTTGAGGCCTCCTCGATCTGAAACCCTTTCCGCCCACGTCGATTTGGGCAGACGGGTAATATCCATAGCCATCACACTTAAAATGTGGCTTACATACAAGTTACTGGTGAGTTAATTATAAAAAACAAATCATATTAGTGTTAGCAGATTATTAGCGCAAGACAGTGTAGGAAACCGGTAGCATGTTTGAGTAATTCACTGACAAAATACTTGACTAAATAATAGGTTATGTACTAAATTCTGTGATGTACCTTGACGCAGCTTATTGCCATTTTCGCTTGAGTAATATTTATTCTTTTCTGCCCAACTATCTTTTTAATACTTGTTGAAATACATAATAACAAAGCCATCACAAGCCACAGAATCAGATGATTTTCAGTAGTGTCTACCCGCGATATTGCAAACCACACTACAATAAATGATAACCCACATATTTGATGAATAAGATCACTAGGTTAATATTTAAGCTGGGCATATTAACATCGATCCTGAAATCATGTACAAGGAAACATTATTAAACTGTTTCAGATCATGAAGAGTGATAAATATTTAAGTACATACTTATGAATAGTCTACACTGTAGTGAAGAAAATACAATCAGTATAGGAGACAGCGGGGTGATATTAGATGGAAGAAGAGATAAAAATAACAAAAAACTGAAGTTAGTGACAAAGTTACCTATTAAGATTAGTCATTAATCTACTCTTCGACAACGCGAGTGGAATGACGAAGTGACATAATGAAAAAACCACATTTCAGTACTTGTATTTTACACACGGCTACGATGACAAAATGAAATCACACGTCCTACTTTTAAATAGACCGCGAAAGCTAGCCCAATATTGAGCAGGAAGAAAGCTGAGACGAGTTGGATTTGTCAAAATTTACGTACAATGACCTGTCATTACAAACCATATTGACTGAAATACAACTATAGCAAAAGCACCAAGCACAATATTTGTTTGCTGCTTGTCCACAATCATGTTTGGGATGCAATACTTGTAGAGCTTAATGGATAAGGCATCGACGCCAGTTCATTTTGAGGCAAAGGACCTCAAATTTAATATTATTCGTTTTTCACTTCTTTGTTCTTATACAGTAGTCACTAAATTTGAATCTTAGCAACATAGACGGTACTGTCGTTCCGACTCTTGATTTTCTCTCCCTTTACTAAAACGGAGTGTGGAGAATTGCGTTGACTAATATCTCATTCTAGGCCGCTCTTTGTTTTATGATCGCATAACTTTCCTTCATTATTCATGTACTGCTTTAGATTACGGATACTTATTACATTTATTCATTGTCATTATTCCTGTTTTACTGAAGCTATTAGTGACTGAGCGCGCTATTTAAAAAAGACAGTGGTATTTTTCCTCGTTGAGTAAATTCTATTGTTTCGATCGTTATTAACGTATCAAGACTACTGTTTTAAACTTTGATTGAATTTCTTTCGGTTAACGTATTCGACTAGAGTATCATTTTTGGTATCCTAAATAGTTTTATCGTCGGTACTCCAGAGTACCTTGTTTTTCTATTGTACCTGTTAGTACTTTGGTTCTAACTACTTATAGCTTTTTCAACTGTTAGTCAAAACTCACTTTCTGATCCTTAAATGACTGGAAGATGAAACAAAACATTTTCCACCGCTCAGGATGTCGATATCCCTTTGACAGCGGCATGCAGTGCGATGAGTGCGAAAGTTGGTACCACGAAGTTTGCACGAATCTAACGCCTGCAGCTTTCAAGCGGTTCAGTTAAGATAGATGCATCTGGCTATGTCAACAGTGCTGTTTGGATGCAAATAGCCAGTTAACCGAGGCCATCTCAATGGTAAATGCCGCAAAAAAGTGTCTCGGCAAGCGCGGTCGGGACACATCAGTCAGAACTCAATCTGTCAACACGCAGATTGACATGAGGCAGGCCCAAGTGAGTCCCAAAAGTGCTGACACTCACTGCCCAAAGGAGGAAGGACATCCTCGAAAGAGGTCTATCTCAACCATAAACTCGCGCAAAAAAGTCTCTTCTGTCCCTCATAATAAAAATGGTACCCAGAAGGGAACATCCGGAACCCAAAATCGCAAGGCTCGATCGGTTTCCAGCGCGAAAGATGACCCAACTCCCAAGTTGTCCTGAACCTTCCGGAATCCCACAGTACGCCTGACGCGACTGTGGTTACTACTCCAAAGAACGTTGGCGATTGGGTACGGGTCATTAGAAAAAAACACCAAAATGACGTAAAAGGAAATCATACCCCCACCAACAGGGTCGACAAGCCAAGGTCTGATCACAGAGATAGATCAGTTATTTTCCATAGAGTCAAGGAGAGTGACAGCTTAGAACCGAAAGCTCGTTTTGAGCATGACATTGTGTTGATAAAACAACTACTCAACCAAGTTGTGCCCCAAAACATCTCCGGAGTCACCTTGCTAAAGGTGTATAGGCTAGGAAACCCAGCGCATCTGAAGTCAAATCAGTCTAGACTACTCAAAGTCTTTACTAAATCCCCGAACGAACGCGACTTAATCTTATAAAATGGACACAAATTGAAGGGTTCAGGAGTTTTTCTCCGTAAGGAATTACCATTGGCGGACCGTGTAAAAAGACGGGAAGCTGAAAAAGAACTACAGCTCAGGTTAGACGCTGGCGAAAAAGACCTGAAAATTGTAAATTTTCGGGTCGTGAGGCTTCGAGAAAGTATGGTGCCGAAGTCACTCTGGGTGATGCACGAGGCCACCTAAATAGGCTTCGGATCTGTTATACCAATGCCCGGAGCTTACTTAATAAGCTACCGGAACTAGGTGTACAGATTGATTCAACTAGGCCAGACCTAATCGCAGTCACAGAAACATGGCTGACGCCGTCTATAGATAGTAGGGAACCTGATTTCAAGGGTTTTACATTAGTAAGGGCCTATAGAACACAAACGCGTAAATGAGGGGGAGTAGCTCTATTCATTGGGAATGCTATTCCATTCACCATTATCGACAGTGTATCCCATGAGAGTGGGACGTATGAATTAGTTAGCTGCCGCCTGAAATGCAGGGGACAAGAGTTGCTGCTTAGTTTGATCTATCGCAGTCCAAGCTGTGAGGTAAACGAGGTCCTGCTAAGCAGTCTCAACACTTTATCACGAAGTGATCGATGTCTAATCCTAGGGGACTTCAATGCACCCATAGTGGACTGAGGAAATCTGCGGACTGAATCGTCATCAAATTCCCTCGAACATGAACTAGTTGATGCGGTAATCACATGTGCCCTAGTGCAACACGTGAAGGAAGCAACTAGGTACGACCCGGGTTCTGCATCATCCTTACTAGATCTTATAATGACTCATTATGAGGATGACGTTGCAAACCTGGATTACATGCCACCCCTAGGCAAAAGTGATCATGCAGTTTTAAGCTTTGACTTCCATATAACTATCGATCACGAGCACGCCTCAGCTCAATGCAGACCGAACGTCTGGAAAGCAAACATACGAGACATTATGAAATCAGCATCATCAGTAGATTGGAAAATAAACCCAGAGTCATCAATAGAAACGGCTTGGGACGTATTCCGGAATTTTTACTTAAAAGTTACCGCCCCCCCCACATTTTTTGGACTACACCTAAAGAGCTGAGAAACTCCCCACCGTGGCTCAGTAGGGAGGTTAGTATCCTTATCCGTAAAAGAAGGAAAATGTGGGACAGATTTGGGTTACTGGGGACTGATGAGGCAAAATCTCAGTATCAAAAGACTCGAAATACCTGTGCCTCGACCCTCCGTAAGTCCAGAAAGCTGTACGAAGAGAAAATCGTTAGGGAATCCGTAGAATGCCCTAAACGCTTGTATTCGTATATAAACCAAAGGACAAAAAGAAGAGGAAATGCTCCTTCATTATGGAGAAACAGAACTGCCTCATCACTAGTGGAGGACGACTTTGGCAAAGAACAAGTATTCTCTAAATACTTTAGCGATGTATACACCATAGAAACACCCTTCTCAACAGTTCATGAAAATCCCCCACACACAATCACTGGACAGCGTGACCATTAAAGAACTCGATGTCTTTGGTCTGCTAATTAAGCTTGACATAGGCAAATCTACTGGACCCGATGAACTGCATCCTAGGTTACTAAAGGAATTAGCTAACTTTGTCGCGAACCCTTTAAGTGTATGTTTTAATCTATCCGTAACCCAGGGTCGTCTACCAAAAGACTGGAAGAACGCCATAGTAAGTCCAGTCTTCAAAACAGGTACAAAACATAAGCCTCAGAATTACCGACCAATTAGCCTAATTAGTGTGGTTGTTAAAATCTTAGAAAAGATTATTCGGAAGGAGCTGTTAAAGTATCTCTATGAAAACCGGATCCTCTCCGAAAAACAGCATGGTTTTAGAACAGGTTACTCTTGTCTCACAAACTTATGAGTCACTCGTGAACGCTGGTGCGCTCTTAAGGACCAAAAGTTACTTATAGACGTAGTTAACATCGATTTCAGCTAAGCTTTCGACGAAGTTCCGCATAACCGGCTGTTATATAAGCTAAGGAATGTCGGGATTGAAGGTAGTTTATTGATGTGGATAAAAGACTTCCTAGTTGGGCGTCAACAAAGAGTAAGGGTGAACTCCAAGTTGTCTAGCTGGGAAACTGTGCTTAGTGGAGTCCCCCAGGGTACAGTTTTGGGGCCAGTGTTATTCCTCCTGTACGTAAATGACCTCCCTCATCTACTATCTGCATCGGTCTTACTTTATGCTGATGATGTCAAAATATGTAGAGCGATACAAATCAAGAGCGATAGCTTAGAACTTCAAAATGACCTGGAGAGATTATCTGGATGGTCCCAAACCTGGCAATTGCCGATAAACACTTCCAAGTGTATTGTGATGCATATTGGCCACCAGGGTACAGATACATACACGATGAATAACACTGAGTAACCTATTGTTCAGGCACACAACGACTTAGGCGTCATCGTTAGTCAAGACTTAAAGACTACTACACACTGCCGTGCAATAGCCGTCAAAGGTTTTAGGACTTCATGGTCTCTTACTTACTTACTTACTTTCGCCTGTTACTCCCAATGGAGCATAGGCCGCCGACCAGCTTTCTCCAACCCACTCTGTCCTGGGCCTTCTTTTCTAGTTCTTTCCAGTTCTTGTTCATTCTTCTCATGTCTGTCTCTATTTCTCGGCGTAATGTGTTCTTTGGTCTTCCTCTTCTCCTTCGACCTTCAGGATTCCATGTGAGGGCTTGTCTTGTGACGCAATTAAGTGATTTCCTCAAGGTGTGCCCAATCCACTTCCAGCGCTTCTTCCTGATTTCTTCCTCTGCTGGAATCTGGTTTATTGTCTCCCACAGTAACTTGTTGCTGATAGTGTCTGGCCATCGGATCCGAAGTATCTTGCGTAGACAGTTGTTAATGAACACTTGTATCTTCTGGATAATGGCTTTCGTAGTTCTCCACGTCTTCGCCCCATACAGTAGAACTGTCTTGACATTTGTATTGAAAATTCTAACCTTGGTGTTGGTTGACAATTGTTTTGAGTTCCAGATGTTTTTTAGTTGTAGGTATGCTTCTCTTGCTTTGCCGATCTGTGCCCTCACATCTGCATCTGATCCACCGTGTGCATCAATAATGCTGCCCAGATATGTAAAGGTTTCCACATCTTCCAAAGCTTCTCCGTCAAGTGTAATTTGATTGGTGCAAATTGTACTGTATCGGGGAGTCTTGCATTTCTCTTTGTTTATATTGAGACCTAGTGCTGCTGAGGCTGCTGTTACATTGGTCGTCTTCTCCTGCATTTGTTGGTGCGTTTGTGATAGAAGAGCCAGATCATCCGCAAAGTCTAGATCGTCAAGCTGCATCCTGCCTGTCCACCGTATCCCGTGCTTACCTCCAGATGTTGACGTCTTCATGATCCAGTCGATCACCAGGAGAAAGAGAAAGGGTGAGAGTAATCAACCTTGCCTTACACCGGTCTTTACTTCAAAAGAGTAGGTGAGTTGTCCTCCGTGGACAAATTGGCAGTTTAGTCCATCATAGGAGTTCCGTATGATATTGACTATCTTCTCAGGCACTCCGTAGTGTCGAAGAAGCCTCCATAGTGTCGTCCTGTTCACGCTATCAAATGCCTTCTCGAAGTCGATGAAGTTGATGTAGAGTGATGAATTCCATTCGATCGATTGTTCCACAATGATCCGCAGAGTTGCGATTTGATCTGTGCACGATCTATCCTTACGAAATCCAGCTTGTTGATCTCGAAGTTGGGAGTCTACGGAATCCTTCATCCTGTTTAACAATACTCGGTTGAAGACTTTTCCTGGTATTGAGAGAAGAGTGATGCCCCCGTAGTTGTCGCACTTGCTGAGATCGCCTTTCTTTGGTATCTTGATCAGAAGTCCTTCTTTCTAGTCTATTGGTACTTGTTCTTCATCCCAAATCTTACTGAAGAGAATGTTGAGTATCTTGGCAGTTGCTGCAATGCTGATCTCTTCAATTGTTGGTGGGCCAACATCGATATGACGGTCTGTGGGTGCTGCTTCGATGTTGGGTGGGTTTAGTGGAGCTGGTCGATTCAAGAGTTATTTAGAGTGTTCTACCCACCTGTTTCATTGTTCTTCAATGTCGGTGATTACTTTGCCTTCCTTGCTTTTCACTGGTCTTTCTGGCTTACGGTAATTTCCAGCAAGTTTCTTTGTCTCATGTTTCCCTCTCTTGCAGCATTTTCCGCTGTCATCGCTAAATCTTCCACATATTTACGTTTGTCGGTTCTGATGCTCCTCTTCACTTGCTTGTTCGCCTCTGTGTATTCGGCTTGTGCCTTGGCTTTTTCCGCTCTTGTTCGGCTGATATTGATTACTGCTTCTTGTTCCTCCTTCCTTCAATTTTATTCAGTGTACCAACAGTGATTCATTCCTTGTGGTGGTGCTTCTTGTGATCCAGAACCTCCTGACATGTTGAAATGATTGCCTCCTTGATACCTTTCCAGTTGCTCTCCACGGTAGTTCCTTTTCCATTGAGTAGATCATGAAAGGCCGTTGTCCAGTGCTTCTTAAGTTTCAGTTTCATCTTGGCAACCAGCAAATGATGATCTGATGCTATATCAACTCCTCTTCTGGTTCTCACATCCTCCATCGTCCTCCTGAACTTTTTGTTGATGCAGATATGGTCGGTTTGATTCTGTGTAGAGTGATCCGGTGAAGTCCATGTGGCTTTGTATATGTTTTTGTGTGGGAATATGGTACCACCTATGACCAGTTTATTGAAGGCACATAGGTTTGCAAATCTCTCACCATTTTCGTTCCTTTCTCCCAGTCCATGTTGTCCCATGACGTCTTCGTATCCAGTGTTGTTCTTTCCAACCTTGGCATTGAAATCTCCCATCAGAATGGTCAGGTCCTTCGTTGGGCATTTCTCGAAGATCGACTGCAGCCTGTCGTAGAATTGGTCTTTAGCGTCTTCATCGTAGTCGTTGGTAGGCGCATAGCATTGGATGACGTTCATTGTAATGCCCTCTCTCTTTGTTTTGAAGGAGGCTTTTATGATCCTTGGTCCATGAGATTCCTATCCAATAAGTGCATTTTGTGCTTTTCTGGACAGCATCAATGCAACTCCTTGTGTATGTGGGGCATTTTCTTCTTCATGACCGGATTATAATAGAAGCTCTCCTAAAGCTAGTCGTTGTTGTCCGACCTGCGTTCAATATATTCCACTGATCCCAAGCACCTCCAGGCTGTATTTTATCATTTCTGCAGCGATTTGGAAGATGCTTACGGTCTCCCACATTGTTCGGACACTCCATGTACCTATAAAAATTGTCGCTGTGGTTGTAAGAAGGTGCATCGGCCTCATGACTTCCGTATGAACTCGTCTTTCATCATGAGACTTCATAATTATTCCTTCTACTCCCTGGGCAGAGTTTGAATGATTTGAATGATTTTTTCTGGTTAGCGATTTTTTAGCGAGTTGATTTTCTACGGGATGGGGTCGCTAATCCCATGCCCAACCAACCTCCTTTACCCGGGCTTGGGACCGGCAGTAACCCCCAGAGGAGCTACAGGCGGAGTTTTTATGGTCCATACGCAGGGCTTTTAGGCATCTTGACGCTAAAACGTTTCTGACTTTGTATACAGTGTTCGTACGCCCTAAACTTGAGTACTGCATACAAGCAGCTAGCCCCTGCCTAAAAAAAGACAGTGAACTCTTGGAAAGGGTTCAGAGAACAGCAACTAGGCTGATTCCCGGAATAGCGAAGCTCCCGTATGGTACTAGACTGACCAAGCTAAACCTATTCCCGTTGTCATATAGAAGAATCAGAGGCGACTTGACTACAGTTTTCAAATTGCTTAATGACAAATTGAACCTGATATGCCCTCATTTTTCTTGTCTTCCAAAACAGAAAATCTACGAGGACAATCCAAAAAAGTTCACAAACCCAGAACGAATTACTTGTCAGCTGACTACCTACTTTCCTATCGAATAATCAACGAGTGGAATTCATTACCTCAGCACGTGGTTGAGGCTCCATCCGTCAACTCATTCAAAAGAAAGTTGGATCAACTGAGAGACCATCATTGCCAGGACATACACAGGCCAACAAACCTCCTGTCCTTTCCGAACTGAAACTGAATGAAGTCAAACCAAGAAATATAACCAAGATGGGACTTTCTTTAGTCAGTCAGTCACAGCGTAAAACTTCGTACGTACATACGTACGTATATCAGTTCGAGTTGCCATACCGCATTAACACAGAGATGCAGTTGTCCATTCAAATCCATAGTGGTAGAGGTAGTAAGAGTATAAGCATTAAGTGAAAGATTGGGATCTGAAGATGTTATTGAAGAAGTAAAATCCAGTGAAATAAATTTGGAAAGAGAAAAAGATAGAGACATGAAGAATTCAGAGGATTAGAATTTGAGAGAACACAAAGAGTGGATGTACCTTCGCCATTGCAAACGATTTTGAGCCATGTCATTCAAGGTCTCTAACCATCGGTTGTTATCATCTCGCGCATCCCAACCAGGTAGTCTACACCTACCAACATGGCTCAGTCCACTTGTCAGTGACTTCATGGATTTATGCCACGTTTTGGTCTGGCCGCCCCTAGCTTTCTTCCAACCTACTCCTACACCATGAAACATTGCACGTCGGGGCAGTCGGTGGTTAGGCATATGTAAAACGAGTCTCAGCCATCTCAACTGATAGTTTCACTACTTCATCAATCGATTTGCCATCCTTACCTAGTAACCGTTTCTTAACAACTGCATTACTTACCCGGTGGTCCCAGGATATACGAGCAATGCTTCGAAGACACCTATGATCGAATACAAGTAGCCTATGAATATCCTCTACTCTTATCGGCCATGTTTATGCTTTGAGTTAGTATTTGCAAGAAACAGGCGGTTATCTGAGCATAGCTGCAACAGACGGTCACCATTATCTCTTCTTTGAGTCACGACACCATATGATCCACCCAGGTGTCTTTCCCTTTCGCTTAGTTTACCTACTTGAGCATTTAAGTTACCAGCCACTATTACTACATCAGAGAGCCTAGCTTTTCGGAGTAGGTCGGAAAGATTTCTGTGAAACTCATCTTTTACATCATCTGAACTGCAGTCAGTGGGAGAGTAGGCAGAGACGACGAAGAGGCAACAACGAGTGTCTCTATCTTTCCGAGTCCTTACTGTTCCGCTTAGTCGGACAGAGCACACACGACTGTACACTGGTATCTAGTCTAAAAGAGCTAGCTCTGCTCTAGGACTCAATGCTATACCTACGCCAGAAAGGCCACAGGAAGCAGCATCAGGGCTTCCAGATACACGAAGTGTGAATGGAGTTGGTTCTTAATTATGGCATGGCGAGGTAAAATGAATGGTGCTACTCGGATCTTGTATGCGCGTTTCGGAGACGCAACACACATCGATGGTGTGAGATTCTAAAGTCCTAGCTAAGGAAGCCTGTTGTCCTATTTGGCACGGTGTTCGGACGTTAAAAGTTCCTACATGTAGTTTAGAGAATGGTTTCAGGACACCAAGAATAACGTTTCGCGTACTCGAATCGTTTGCCCTAGCGATGCGAGGTGATAAAGGGACGTGAGAAGGATTAGCCGTGGAGATAAGAGAGTTATTAGGAGGTGTAAGAAGGACTTGAATGTGACCAACTTAGTCTCGTGTGTTGTTACGGGTATAAGGGCTAATATCACTTCCCGGCTGTCCACACAGTAGATGAGTATTTCTTGAGGAATCTGAAAAGGAAGTTGGATTGATGTTGGTCTTAACGACCTGGGATTGTCACCATAGAGCCCAAGGGACAACTGTTTGAGGCCGGTCGTGCACGGCCTTTTTGTGGAAAGTTTCTGAAGTGTTAGCTTCGTTCTTCAAAGGGCTTTACCGCCGGAGACGAAAATCCTTGAGGTAAGACGAGGAGTGACATTTTTAAGGTCGACCTTTTCTAACCTCTTCCTTCCTTGTGAGAAGGCAGCATCGCTGCAGATGCTGGATGGAAACACCTTACTGCTGTCACCGATGAGTAACGTACATTTAGGACTACAGTGAAAGCACAAAGAGATATTCAAGCGCTATAAATTAATGACCGATCCCCTACTGACAAACATAAAACAATTTCTTATTATTTTTAATATCGATTGCGGTATTCGCATATTTACAGATTATCTAATTGATTTGGACAAATATAATTACGGTTTAGCAGAATCCAACACATAAGTCTGAGGACTCACTGAAGGCAAACTTCTGCTACATACAAGCGAACTTGACATGCCTATTTTAGTGAACTGAAAAGGTGTGATCTATGGGTCAAAAAATGTGTTGTTGCTCAAAGATAACGGGGAAAACAGTAAAACTGAATACCAATAATATCCAGAAATTTAGAGAGTTTTTAAGGTTTTCATCAAGTAAATGCCACGAAAATGTGAGCATAAATAAATTTGTGCCAAAATCCATACCTGCTGTTTCAGAAAACTGCCTTCTAACAGGAGCCCTCCGACCATTTCTCCCACTAAACGATTTTATCAAGGTATTTACATAAATAGGTTTAACTGTTCTTGCATTTAAATTTTGGGCGAAGTCAGTGTTCTTTGTCTCTGCTGACGTTGATGATGTTGTGGATTTCAGTAGTCCTGAAGTAATCGTCTCGCTCTTACAAATTTGATTGCTATTATTAGAAGATAAGGCACAGTTAGAGTTTGACGGATTCAGCTTATTTTCCGTTGATTGTTTCTCTTCTTCAACTGCACATAGATCAGGAACTAGAGAATCGCCATTTGAACAACTAGACGACTGCTCGATTGTAACATAGTTTAATCGTGAGGCGGAAGGCCCAAGTTGAAAAGAAGAAACGGGAAATGTGATAGAATCGGTAAAACTATCAGAAAATGCAAGATCTGATCCTAGATTGTTTTCCAAAGGTTCATATTTACAAATCCCCTTGTCATTCAATATATGTGTATTTTGAATGGCACTGCCAACAGTTATTTCACTATCAGTAAAATGGCAAACATGGTTGAAAGTAGAGTCTCTTAAATCTGTAAGATTAGATAAGAAAAGTTAAATATAATTAAGTAGTTGGCTTAGAAATATAATTTCGCAGCAATGTTTTGCATTTTTTAAAAATTTACTGTCAGATCTATTTATACTTTTGATTAACATAAACTCAGCCATGACAAGACGTACCTAGAAATGATTGGACCTCAGAGAGAAGTTATCCGATAAAAAGTCATTACTGAGTACCTGTGCATCAAAAGTAGACCAGAACAAATAAATATATGACCATTCAGAAGATATTTCATCACTAGAAAAGCAGCTATCTTATTTTCGAACGTTAGTGGAACTCTCCACACTTTTCAAATAATTGTTTAAGCTCAAAAATAATCTATCACATCTGACTTAACTTCAAGACGATAGAAACTATGTACTAAAACTAACCAAGATCGTACTTTTTCACGAAGAAAATAGTGAAGTCATGCAGAGTAAGACAAATAGATTGCGCTTTTCTTTTTATACACTATCAAAGTAACATCATATGAGACATTTTGTATACGTAGACGACTTAACGGTTGATTTTATGGAATGACGATCACGTTCTACTTTCCTAATTAATTTCCAGAATCTGAAATCGCAGGATCATGTACAATCTACCCAATTTCAATTGAAATTTAATAATCTTTACTACGCTACACCGGTGTTTACCTTAAGGTAGACCAACTTTACTTTCACAAAAGTATCTTGGACTTTATTTATAATTTCGGTTTTTCATTATGATGGATTGTAAAAAACAGATTACTACACTTAAACTGGTACTCACTACTATTGCTTATGACCAACAAACAACTTTGAATGTCAGGTGAAAAGCCATTTAGTAAGTTTTACAGGCACAACTGGCAAGCATGCCGATCATATCATATAATCAATACAACAAAAATGAGGTCTTAATTCTGAATCATAGGTAAATGAACTCAGTAAAAGTTACCGTATTCCTAGTAGTAATTAAGCTCAATATTCCACCCACTAGGTGAAAGTGAACACAAGGGACAGAAGTGTTGAATGATAGAAAAGCCATCTTAACAAAATACAGATATTCATTCAAGATTTCAACTGCTAATTTGAAGTCATGGTTGAAACGTTAACTCAAATGACTGTATAGTTATGTTGGCTAAAGTGTTTGGTTAAAAAAATGATAATAATGACAATAAATGCCACTGAATTTACCACTTGACTTATGTTTAGGTCTAGCTTAAGAAAATAAACGTAATTGGCACAATACAACAGCATATTTATTTATGGACATATATTACTGTTTAAAGTAATGTTTCTAGTGGAATAGTTTGCTAAATCTCAGAAATACAGAGTAGGTGCTTTTTAATGACTATTACGCTACATTGTTATCTACTCTACTCTCTTGTAACATTCATTCCTTACTTGGAATTGTGATAATCATGATAACATTTGCATTAAAGTTAATATCTTGGAAGGAATAAATCGTGATTTTTCGCAGAAATTCACGCTGCTATTACAAATAAAGATAGAAACTGGCTAGAAGTGATTCACCTAACTGACGTTCGTCAAGATATATCTCATTTTGCAGTTATTCTGACCACAAATCTTATGTATCTTATGCTTTTGAGTCACTCTAGTGAAGTTTATCAAAAAATATAAGTGACTAAACTAGAATCAGATGCCACTGTGGGTTGTAAGCAATGTAGAGACAGATGCGTGTGTCCATTGCTAAACCATTTTCCACTGCATTAGTGCACTGAGATGAAATTATCGAGATGAACCCCCAAATTGTAGATATGGTGGTATAGTTCTCCCAGATGTTCACTATTTCCATTAATATTACCTTCCGTTTGTAAGACAAGAAGGGATTGCAAACGTTTGCCATGAAATTGATTATTTTTCACCGTTCATGGCACATATACATATATCACTAGCTCAAAGTACATGTAGCCAAATAAATACTACCACCAACTCCGCAATTCATATTAAACAACAGTTTTCATTTCATTCGCTATTTTTCCTAAAATTTTTCCAGCGCGAAAACGAAAAAGTACACCCAAGCAGTGAAGTGATATTTCGCGTTAAGCCGTCTTTACAGATAAACCACCAAGTGTAGGCAACAATCATCTACAGCTATCAACCAAGAAACAAATTCCGGAAAAATACAATCATTTGCTCAACCTACATGGATCATATCTGTTAGTTACTAAGTCTATAAAAATTCCAAACGCAATCTTATAGAAAGCGTGTGCTAGAATCTATCGGTATATCTGTCATGTCAACAACTCATGTTAGCGAAAATGTTAATTTTGTTATGTCACATAACGTCCGAAAGCACTTTGACGGAGGTAAATATCACGGAGACTAATGCTTATTTATAATAACTTGAAATAATAAAACATTACCAGCCAATTCAATCCCCGCTACTCCAATCCTTCGGCACTTGTTCTCAATGTCATTAATGTCTTGAAAATGTTCCTGATCATCTTCATGAACACCTGTCTGATGCCGGGTTGATAGCCTTTGAGTTACATAAGAAAACAAAGAGCTTACTGTTTCTTTGAGTATGCTTTATTGGCTTTCTGACTGTTATCAACGGGGTCACTTTTATCCAAAAGATCATGAAGCCTCCAAATTACTAGCTTAACTATAAGTACGAAGGATCCGATGGAAAACCCATAAAGCAACGCAGTGATGTGAGACTTTACTGAGATCTAGGAAAAATAAGAACTATAGAGTCTAACCATATACAGAATCAGCGGTATAACAAATAGGATGATCCAAACATAGACATGAATGATATTTGCGAAGTGAGTTTGGGAAGAATCGGTTGCGCCCTGCCTTTTCGTACGAGGGAAACACCTTGCTGCTGTCACACAACTCTACGGTCAGAAGTACGACTTCGCTCTCAGAACTTGAGTTGCTACTTTTTATTCGACACGTCTCCAACCATCGAAATCTTTACGTCAGAGGACGAAGTTGAATGGAATTTATAAAGTTGATGATGCTCATTTGAACAAGTTTTGCTACGACGTTTATCGGTGGTGGCTAGTTCTATTCTTCGTTCTTCCAACCAACCTTTAGATTTAAAGAATCTGGTCAGCATAGAAGACAAGATAGTATAAGTAGCACCAGGTGCTTTACCTTGAGTACAGTTGACATCAGATACTCCGAGAAGCATGCAAACCCTGATTTATGTAAAACTCATGAACACACTGTTTCTGGTCTTGTAGACAAGCTGGATGCATCACAATTGATAATTTTCAAACTTACAGATCTAGGTTAAAAGTATGTTTCTTGGAGAATGAGTATCAGTCGACAAACTACAAGAAAAAACAAACATGACGACCACATCATTTGGTACCTTAAAAAGTTAATTAGGCCAGAGAGTATAGTAGGTCCTGAAAAATTTCGGAATCATTTTCTTCTCATCCACCAGACAGTAATGGAGATGACTTTTACTGGCTGTGCTCCACATCATCTTTACCACGTCCTGGACAAGACTCCTGGCTACAAATTCCTAATAGATACTGAAACTGAATTTACCATTGTTAATGCTATCTTAGTGAAGATACCCGCCCCCAAATGTAGAAAATAACTCTTGACTGCAGCTCATAAAACTGAAATAAAGACTTTTGGAGAACAATTCGTGGAGTTAGTCTTGGGAATTCGATATCGTTTAAACTGGGTGTTTATCGTCGATATCTGTCATCCTACATTAGATGCAGTCTTACTAAGCTCCTACAACTTGTTAGCTGATATTTAAAAATGAAAACTTATCGAGTCTTGTACGAAAATTCATGTTCTGATAGTTCAACCGAACTGTCATAAATACAGTATTGAACTCAGCACCTTAATTAAAGGCACCGTCACAATTGTTTTATCCAGATTTCCTAAACTAGAGAGATCAGCACTCAGTGAAAATACCAGCTAACATTTAGTGGTACATCGAATCATTAGTAATGGCCAGCTGGTCTTATCACCTCCTGGTCAATTATAATTTGACAAGGTTGCCGTTAAAAAGCTGAATAATGAGTCCATCAAGTAGCCCCTATATATTATCGGTTCACGAGCAACCTAAGAAGGATTATGATTGTTGACTTTGTGGTGGTTGTCATCTGTTGAATAACTTAACGATACATAATTGTTATCTTATTCGTCATTTGCACGATTTTTCGCTTACGTTATATGCAGAATAAACTTTAAAAAAAATCGATATTGTGCAAGCGTACGATCGAATTTGGGTAGCATCAAAGGACATAACATAAACGATCACCATTACTCCTTTCGGTCTATTTGGATTCCTGAATGTGCCATTCGGACTAAAGGAATGAATACTTCAAAGGTTTATGGATGAGGTAACTAAAGGCCTTGATTTTTTGTGTATACCGACGACATATTGATGGCTAGCAGTTCGTCCCATAGACTCACTGACCACTCGCATCATGTATTCGAAAGATTTCAGAGAATGAGCATGGTTATTAGGTTGTCCTAATGCATTTTTAGAGTCTAGAGCTCAAATGCTTTGAACAATTAGATCGACAAACGTGGAATCAAACCATTGGACGAAGGAATTGGGCAACATAAAACTATCCAGACCCAGGTCGATCGGAAAAACTTTGACATTACTCGGTTTATTCCACATTGCTAAGCCATTCTATATCCATTACAGGTGTTAAAAACCAAATTTTACTCTGAGATCTTTTTCAAGGGTTTTGTGTATAAAAGTCCCTCCACATAAACACTTTTTTGGTTTGTTCATTTCTACTCCCTCGGATTTACGTTTTGTTGATCTTTTGATTCCATATAGGATGGTACCATTTGTACGTCATCATACTTTTTATTTTCCTTACGTCTTCACCGAATCTCCATCTTTTTCTTAGCTACGCCTATGTTGTTTCCTTTGGAACTTAGTCATGGCTGAAGCCTTATTGATTAAATTCCCTTTTTGATTTTTCTGCTTGCATTGACTGAAACTGTGCATTTTTGATTGTGAATTGAAGCACTCTTTTAGAAGTGGAAACACACAAAGACTAGTGAAATCATTTCAATCAATCCTATTCAAATCAAAGGACGAGATGAAAAACGAAGAAAAACCGATTATCATCTGCAAAAAATGTCATATGGGACAAAGTGGATGCCCCGTTCATCTTTGTCTGCACGAACATCAGTTAACAGTCAAACGCCATGACATATCCTTGATTATACCAATGCATTTGGACAACTGTAAACACACATTCAACTGGGGAATTGTTGAGATCTTAGACAGAGAGAATACTTAGAGCACCAGGGAATTTTCTGAAGCTTGACACTCGTGTCAATCGACAGACACATTGAAATCAACTCACTCTGTCAAGCGACTAAGAAAAATCAATAAGAGACAATCAAAATGAAGTAGTAAATGATAAGTTAAAAGCCAACAACAGTCAATCCAGATCGAGGTCGACGGGATAAGCCTCGAGTTTGTATTGATTATGTCCTTCATAAGAACGACGAAAGCTCCACGACCAAACCATCCAGGTGAGATTGCAAAACTTCGCTCGAAACACTGTTATAATGAAACTAAATATTATCGTTCGAACGTACGTGATATATACCGGAAGGATAGGATAACATTTATTTGTTTTACTTGGCGATTCTCCTACATCCCTAATCAACCCATCTATTTAATGTTATTTGGACTGGACGACTGGCTGGAAAATTGTTGGTTTAAAAACTGGGTGATAATATTTGTTTATTCATGTATTTTTAAATTTACATTGAGATTCCGAATCATCGATTGCTCAATTATCTTATTTCGGTTTCAAGTGGACGATAGCACGTAGTTAGACTAAATTAGATTATTATTCATCACTTCAAGTACATTAAGTCTAGAAGCCACATTACGTCCTTGATCTTTCTACAGTAATGTACAAGAAACGACGTGTCTCGACCTGAGTTAAGGCCTTAAGACTAGAAATATTGGAGTCCCAGTTGAGACAAACAGCCTTGGCAAGTTAGGTAAAAACTTTTCTGTCACTTGTTTGGTTGACAGTCGAGATAACATGGGTGAAGATTAGTCAACTAGATTCATTGCTGATTTTAAATTGACATTAGTGTGAAAAGATACATGAAAAAATAAACGACCAACAAGACCGAAACTAATAACAATTAGAACAATACAGTTTAGTCTCAACCTGTAATCTGGGTGAAAAATAGAGCTCAGTTGGTTACGTTTAAGCTAAAATAGCTTTGGGACAAAAAATGGTATGGAGAGAAGTCATGCTTTGAACAAAACTTATGGTCTCTGGGATACACTAGGTAAAAAACTAAATGTGGGTGTTTTTCAAACTATAAATTACGTAAAGTAACGTCCCCAAAAATAGCTTCTGTTTTTTGTAGTGTCTTCATTTTTTTACACCAAAATGTCGAGGAATTCGTATTACCTACCGGCGCAAAAAGTGCGTTTACTCCATCAAAAACAGCAGTTGCTCCCGTAACCACGTTAACCTACTTAAGTCTTTATCTGAAAACAGCACTTATTTTGTGTACAAATTTGTCTCTACGCTGCAGTAGGCGTTGCGCTAAAACGAGTAAATGGTGAGATCAAAGTACTTGGTTTCTTTTCAAAGAAACTTAAATCAACTCCAACGCAATACACCAAAAATGGAATCAGATATATAGCATTGGACCAGAAATTGCATTCAACTTCGGTGCAGTGAAGTTCGCAGACACGATCATTACACCGTCAACGCTCAGTTTACTCGACCATCACTTTCAACATGTTTATGTCAATTTAGTTGGTCTTTTGGTTCCATCTAACGGCTTTAATCATATCCTAACTGCAGTGGACCGTTTTACCAAGTGGACAATTGCACACCCAATAAAAGATATCTCAGAAAATTTTGTTACTGCATTTCTACATAGAGAGATTTCTGATTTCGACATACGTTCAGCAGCTACTTCTGAAAGACTTTTACAGTTTCAGTGGCACCTCTTTAATGAGGTTACATGCATTTCAGGCTGCTTTCATATCACTATAACAGCGTGCTATGCAGTATCAAATGGTTTAGCAGAACGATTCTGCAGAAAGTTGGAAAGCTTACTGATGCACAACCTAATATAGCTGAATGAAGCGAATACTTATCTCCCATTTTATTGAGCATGTACCTTACAATCAAAGAAGACCTTCAGTGCACACCTGTGTAGCTCTTTTATGAAACTAATTTAACAGAGTCAGTTCATAACGCACAACGGTGCACCTGTATGTCCCGACCACACTCCTTTTTCAAAAGACTGATGATCCATACAAACAATGTTAAGCCGGTTGTGCACTGGTCAGTTCACACAAAAAAGCAGGCTAGCGAACATCTAAATAGATGAAAATTCGCATTTATCCGTGTTTGTTCGGCAATAACCTTTTAAACACCCTTTTGGAAGCTCCTTTGAAGTATTGACAAGAGAAGCAAGGCGTTTCACAATCAAAAAGAATGGGAAAAGGGGTTCGTTTCAAATGTCAGGAATACCAGCTTTTATAGAGACTGAAACACACGACAAGTAAAAGTCTCCTAAAGACAATGACAATCACATGGCTCAGCTCCCTTTGTTTTCATCTATCCTCCACTTCTGCGAAATCAGTTCCTCTACATTCGATGATTATAATGTCACGGCTTCCACAAATTTAGTTCCCAACTCAATCCATTTTTAAGCTACCCGTAAAGAAAGACAGGTTCATATTCCAAAGCGTTATGTTGAGTTTATCCCTTAATTTTCTTTCTGTTACTTTCTGTTGTGTGGATAAATACTGATGTCCTAGCATAAATGTTATTAACATCCTTTTAGCAAACCAGTGTTTTTAAGATCACCGCCGTAATATCACCTATCAAGCTTTGAAAGACACTCTATTTAGACATCATTTTTGGTGATGAGATCACGAAAAAAATTTATAGCGCAAATAAAACATCGTTATGGAAGACCTGCATGCAATTCCCCTGTAGATAATAGAATGTAATGTGATAACGGCAATAAATGGTATCACAATGTATGCACCGGACTCACACCAGTTGCATACAAAAGGTGCTGCACGCCATTATTAGACTGAATGTGCAAAGCACGTCGTTCTACAAAGTCTCTGCTGATTCTAGAGGCGATTGAGCTGCTGAACATCGCTAGAAACTTTTCCTCAGATAAACAGGCATCATTAGATTAGCAAAACTCCGCTTTCGAGGAAACAGAGGGCGTTAACATGAGCCCGGCTCTGGATTTAAATAAGACCATAAAAATGGAGCTCATCAGGGAAGCAGATAATAAGCATAACAATGTAGGCATGGCCGCAAGGAAAAAGAAAAAAAGTTCTCGGAGAAGAAACTAATTATAGACAGTGCCAAGGTATATGAATCTACGGTTTCAGTTAAGGATTTACATATCAACGCAGAATAAACTTTTGGGGAGCCAAGTCCGAGCGGTGTAGAGGCTGTGATAAGGAGACAAAAAAAAGTGAATGAGTGGCCCACAGTCCCAATGAGGAAAAGAAAAGTAAGAAACAGAATGCGACTTCTTCTATTGGCGACAAACTAGAAAGGGGTTGCAGGAAGAAACCTCACTGAAAGGTCAGTCATTTTTCATAAGTTAAGGGAATCTGCCAGGAAAGAACCAAGGGTTAGATTTGGACACGGTCTCAGTCACATTAAGTCCTTCTTAAGCAAGCTACTTTCAGAAACAGTTTCAGGACTTGGAATCTGTAAGCTTTTTAGAATAGGACAAAAGGTGGATTTGGGAAGTGCTTAGAAAAGCCGCCTCTTAAAGATTACCTTTGTCACGGTTGAAGAAAGAAACCTCATTCTGGGAAACTCGCGCAAACCGATTGGATCCGGAATATACGTCGACCGTAATAAGAGAAGAGCTGGAGAAGTAGTAATAGATCGGCGGCGTCGAAACGGTGAAAGAAATCTCGTCCTTAAAGGTTTACACATCATGAAAGGTCGGAGCCAAACCATCCCCAAAACCCTCTGGGTGGCAAGGGAAAGTTCTACACGGAATTAAAGGTGTGCTGCATAAATGCCCACAGCCTACTAAATAAAATAGCAGAACTGAAAAAAGTGGTAAGTACATAAAACCGGACGTTATTGCTGTCTCAGAAACATGGTTAATGTCAGAATTGTTTGGCGATGAGATTCAGTTGACTGGTTTTTTATCTAGTAGGGCTGGTCGACCAAATCATAGGGAAGGCAAGATTATCCTGTACGCGAAAAGCACCTTAACCATGTGAGCCGTTGAGACAGGGGTACATGATTCAGGGACATGTGAACTGGTGAGTTGCAGGATGATATATGAACGGTATGATATTGAATTAGTTGTAGTATATCTCAGTCCAGAATGTGTATTACATGACTTCCTCCTAAGCAAACTTAATTCCTGTTGTGTTAGGGGTAGAGGCCTTATCGTAGGCGATTTTAATGCACCGTATATAAAAAGTGGGAAGCTACCTGCAGAACTCCGGGGTTTAGTGTACAAAGAGCGGTTTCAAAAGCTTGACCTCCTTACTCTATCCTATCGCAGATTAAGAGGTGATCTGATTTTGATGTATAGAATACCAAGAAGTAGTTTTCTCCTTACTTAGAGTGGGACATTTCAGGGGACATATCGGACGAGTGGAAAAGCTAAGAGCGAACAAAATTACCCATGGCATACATGTTTTCACACGAGTTATCAATTCTTGGAATCTGTTACTCGAAGCAGTGGTGTCCGCACCTTCAATTGACTCAGTCGAAGGAAGACTGGAAACTCACAGAACCATTCCGGAAAAAGCATAACATAGACTATAGGCCTTCTATCCTTACTACACAAATATGAACTCGAAAATCATAACTAGAGTCCACCAACATGCCACTAAGTTGATTACCACGAGCTCACAAATCTGTCATCTGCTATTCACTGGGACCAATGGGGCTTAACCTCCAGAACAATAATACTGGTCACATAAAATTAACAGTAACTCGCCTATCAATTTCAAGATAAAAGCTACACTAGTTCGTTACGGAGATATTGAATGTTGCATTGGGCGTCTGTAGATTAGTGGGTCGTTTGATTGAAGGTCACTTCTAACCTTTGATTTAGTTAATGATGGTTAAATGATGTAGCGGGATGAGACTGCGTATGATACCCGTGATATTCAAAGAGGGTATCATAGCCTCTCTTACTGGTGGATTTTATTTTGATTCTTCCCAAACTCACTTCGCAAATATCATTCATGTCTATGTTTGGATCATCCTATTTGTTATACCGCTGATTCTGTATATGGTTAGACTCTATAGTTCTTATTTTTCCTAGATCTCAGTAAAGTCTCACATCACTGCGTTGCTTTATGGGTTTTCCATCGGATCCTTCGTACTTATAGTTAAGCTAGTAATTTGGAGGCTTCATGATCTTTTGGATAAAAGTGACCCCGTTGATAACAGTCAGAAAGCCAATAAAGCATACTCAAAGAAACAGTAAGCTCTTTGTTTTCTTATGTAACTCAAAGGCTATCAACCCGGCATCAGACAGGTGTTCATGAAGATGATCAGGAACATTTTCAAGACATTAATGACATTGAGAACAAGTGCCGAAGGATTGGAGTAGCGGGGATTGAATTGGCTGGTAATGTTTTATTATTTCAAGTTATTATAAATAAGCATTAGTCTCCGTGATATTTACCTCCGTCAAAGTGCTTTCGGACGTTATGTGACATAACAAAATTAACATTTTCGCTAACATGAGTTGTTGACATGACAGATATACCGATAGATTCTAGCACACGCTTTCTATAAGATTGCGTTTGGAATTTTTATAGACTTAGTAACTAACAGATATGATCCATGTAGGTTGAGCAAATGATTGTATTTTTCCGGAATTTGTTTCTTGGTTGATAGCTGTAGATGATTGTTGCCTACACTTGGTGGTTTATCTGTAAAGACGGCTTAACGCGAAATATCACCTCACTGCTTGGGTGTACTTTTTCGTTTTCGCGCTGGAAAAATTTTAGGAAAAATAGCGAATGAAATGAAAACTGTTGTTTAATATGAATTGCGGAGTTGGTGGTAGTATTTATTTGGCTACATGTACTTTGAGCTAGTGATATATGTATATGTGCCATGAACGGTGAAAAATAATCAATTTCATGGCAAACGTTTGCAATCCCTTCTTGTCTTACAAACGGAAGGTAATATTAATGGAAATAGTGAACATCTGGGAGAACTATACCACCATATCTACAATTTGGGGGTTCATCTCGATAATTTCATCTCAGTGCACTAATGCAGTGGAAAATGGTTTAGCAATGGACACACGCATCTGTCTCTACATTGCTTACAACCCACAGTGGCATCTGATTCTAGTTTAGTCACTTATATTTTTTGATAAACTTCACTAGAGTGACTCAAAAGCATAAGATACATAAGATTTGTGGTCAGAATAACTGCAAAATGAGATATATCTTGACGAATGTCAGTTAGGTGAATCACTTCTAGCCAGTTTCTATCTTTATTTGTAATAGCAGCGTGAATTTCTGCGAAAAATCACGATTTATTCCTTCCAAGATATTAACTTTAATGCAAATGTTATCATGATTATCACAATTCCAAGTAAGGAATGAATGTTACAAGAGAGTAGAGTAGATAACAATGTAGCGTAATAGTCATTAAAAAGCACCTACTCTGTATTTCTGAGATTTAGCAAACTATTCCACTAGAAACATTACTTTAAACAGTAATATATGTCCATAAATAAATATGCTGTTGTATTGTGCCAATTACGTTTATTTTCTTAAGCTAGACCTAAACATAAGTCAAGTGGTAAATTCAGTGGCATTTATTGTCATTATTATCATTTTTTTAACCAAACACTTTGGCCAACATAACTATACAGTCATTTGAGTTAACGTTTCAACCATGACTTCAAATTAGCAGTTGAAATCTTGAATGAATATCTGTATTTTGTTAAGATGGCTTTTCTATCATTCAACACTTCTGTCCCTTGTGTTCACTTTCACCTAGTGGGTGGAATATTGAGCTTAATTACTACTAGGAATACGGTAACTTTTACTGAGTTCATTTACCTATGATTCAGAATTAAGACCTCATTTTTGTTGTATTGATTATATGATATGATCGGCATGCTTGCCAGTTGTGCCTGTAAAACTTACTAAATGGCTTTTCACCTGACATTCAAAGTTGTTTGTTGGTCATAAGCAATAGTAGTGAGTACCAGTTTAAGTGTAGTAATCTGTTTTTTACAATCCATCATAATGAAAAACCGAAATTATAAATAAAGTCCAAGATACTTTTGTGAAAGTAAAGTTGGTCTACCTTAAGGTAAACACCGGTGTAGCGTAGTAAAGATTATTAAATTTCAATTGAAATTGGGTAGATTGTACATGATCCTGCGATTTCAGATTCTGGAAATTAATTAGGAAAGTAGAACGTGATCGTCATTCCATAAAATCAACCGTTAAGTCGTCTACGTATACAAAATGTCTCATATGATGTTACTTTGATAGTGTATAAAAAGAAAAGCGCAATCTATTTGTCTTACTCTGCATGACTTCACTATTTTCTTCGTGAAAAAGTACGATCTTGGTTAGTTTTAGTACATAGTTTCTATCGTCTTGAAGTTAAGTCAGATGTGATAGATTATTTTTGAGCTTAAACAATTATTTGAAAAGTGTGGAGAGTTCCACTAACGTTCGAAAATAAGATAGCTGCTTTTCTAGTGATGAAATATCTTCTGAATGGTCATATATTTATTTGTTCTGGTCTACTTTTGATGCACAGGTACTCAGTAATGACTTTTTATCGGATAACTTCTCTCTGAGGTCCAATCATTTCTAGGTACGTCTTGTCATGGCTGAGTTTATGTCAATCAAAAGTATAAATAGATCTGACAGTAAATTTTTAAAAAATGCAAAACATTGCTGCGAAATTATATTTCTAAGCCAACTACTTAATTATATTTAACTTTTCTTATCTAATCTTACAGATTTAAGAGACTCTACTTTCAACCATGTTTGCCATTTTACTGATAGTGAAATAACTGTTGGCAGTGCCATTCAAAATACACATATATTGAATGACAAGGGGATTTGTAAATATGAACCTTTGGAAAACAATCTAGGATCAGATCTTGCATTTTCTGATAGTTTTACCGATTCTATCACATTTCCCGTTTCTTCTTTTCAACTTGGGCCTTCCGCCTCACGATTAAACTATGTTACAATCGAGCAGTCGTCTAGTTGTTCAAATGGCGATTCTCTAGTTCCTGATCTATGTGCAGTTGAAGAAGAGAAACAATCAACGGAAAATAAGCTGAATCCGTCAAACTCTAACTGTGCCTTATCTTCTAATAATAGCAATCAAATTTGTAAGAGCGAGACGATTACTTCAGGACTACTGAAATCCACAACATCATCAACGTCAGCAGAGACAAAGAACACTGACTTCGCCCAAAATTTAAATGCAAGAACAGTTAAACCTATTTATGTAAATACCTTGATAAAATCGTTTAGTGGGAGAAATGGTCGGAGGGCTCCTGTTAGAAGGCAGTTTTCTGAAACAGCAGGTATGGATTTTGGCACAAATTTATTTATGCTCACATTTTCGTGGCATTTACTTGATGAAAACCTTAAAAACTCTCTAAATTTCTGGATATTATTGGTATTCAGTTTTACTGTTTTCCCCGTTATCTTTGAGCAACAACACATTTTTTGACCCATAGATCACACCTTTTCAGTTCACTAAAATAGGCATGTCAAGTTCGCTTGTATGTAGCAGAAGTTTGCCTTCAGTGAGTCCTCAGACTTATGTGTTGGATTCTGCTAAACCGTAATTATATTTGTCCAAATCAATTAGATAATCTGTAAATATGCGAATACCGCAATCGATATTAAAAATAATAAGAAATTGTTTTATGTTTGTCAGTAGGGGATCGGTCATTAATTTATAGCGCTTGAATATCTCTTTGTGCTTTCACTGTAGTCCTAAATGTACGTTACTCATCGGTGACAGCAGTAAGGTGTTTCCATCCAGCATCTGCAGCGATGCTGCCTTCTCACAAGGAAGGAAGAGGTTAGAAAAGGTCGACCTTAAAAATGTCACTCCTCATCTTACCTCAAGGATTTTCGTCTCCGGCGGTAAAGCCCTTTGAAGAACGAAGCTAACACTTCAGAAACTTTCCACAAAAAGGCCGTGCACGACCGGCCTCAAACAGTTGTCCCTTGGGCTCTATGGTGACAATCCCAGGTCGTTAAGACCAACATCAATCCAACTTCCTTTTCAGATTCCTCAAGAAATACTCATCTACTGTGTGGACAGCCGGGAAGTGATATTAGCCCTTATACCCGTAACAACACACGAGACTAAGTTGGTCACATTCAAGTCCTTCTTACACCTCCTAATAACTCTCTTATCTCCACGGCTAATCCTTCTCACGTCCCTTTATCACCTCGCATCGCTAGGGCAAACGATTCGAGTACGCGAAACGTTATTCTTGGTGTCCTGAAACCATTCTCTAAACTACATGTAGGAACTTTTAACGTCCGAACACCGTGCCAAATAGGACAACAGGCTTCCTTAGCTAGGACTTTAGAATCTCACACCATCGATGTGTGTTGCGTCTCCGAAACGCGCATACAAGATCCGAGTAGCACCATTCATTTTACCTCGCCATGCCATAATTAAGAACCAACTCCATTCACACTTCGTGTATCTGGAAGCCCTGATGCTGCTTCCTGTGGCCTTTCTGGCGTAGGTATAGCATTGAGTCCTAGAGCAGAGCTAGCTCTTTTAGACTAGATACCAGTGTACAGTCGTGTGTGCTCTGTCCGACTAAGCGGAACAGTAAGGACTCGGAAAGATAGAGACACTCGTTGTTGCCTCTTCGTCGTCTCTGCCTACTCTCCCACTGACTGCAGTTCAGATGATGTAAAAGATGAGTTTCACAGAAATCTTTCCGACCTACTCCGAAAAGCTAGGCTCTCTGATGTAGTAATAGTGGCTGGTAACTTAAATGCTCAAGTAGGTAAACTAAGCGAAAGGGAAAGACACCTGGGTGGATCATATGGTGTCGTGACTCAAAGAAGAGATAATGGTGACCGTCTGTTGCAGCTATGCTCAGATAACCGCCTGTTTCTTGCAAATACTAACTCAAAGCATAAACATGGCCGATAAGAGTAGAGGATATTCATAGGCTACTTGTATTCGATCATAGGTGTCTTCGAAGCATTGCTCGTATATCCTGGGACCACCGGGTAAGTAATGCAGTTGTTAAGAAACGGTTACTAGGTAAGGATGGCAAATCGATTGATGAAGTAGTGAAACTATCAGTTGAGATGGCTGAGACTCGTTTTACATATGCCTAACCACCGACTGCCCCGACGTGCAATGTTTCATGGTGTAGGAGTAGGTTGGAAGAAAGCTAGGGGCGGCCAGACCAAAACGTGGCATAAATCCATGAAGTCACTGACAAGTGGACTGAGCCATGTTGGTAGGTGTAGACTACCTGGTTGGGATGCGCGAGATGATAACAACCGATGGTTAGAGACCTTGAATGACATGGCTCAAAATCGTTTGCAATGGCGAAGGTACATCCACTCTTTGTGTTCTCTCAAATTCTAATCCTCTGAATTCTTCATGTCTCTATCTTTTTCTCTTTCCAAATTTATTTCACTGGATTTTACTTCTTCAATAACATCTTCAGATCCCAATCTTTCACTTAATGCTTATACTCTTACTACCTCTACCACTATGGATTTGAATGGACAACTGCATCTCTGTGTTAATGCGGTATGGCAACTCGAACTGATATACGTACGTATGTACGTACAAAGTTTTTGATGTTGGTTTGTTCTCTGAGCTGGATGGTTTGGTCGTGGAGCTTTCATCGTCCTTCTGAACGACATCATCAGCACAAACTTCGTGTAGAAGTGAAGTGTTTGAATTTCTCCACATGTTATTCACAGCTTGTCATCTGCACCTCGATGTTGATTGGTTCTTATTGACCTTAAATCTGTCATTGTTTATTTCTTTGTTTTGGTTGTATCTCCTATTGGTTTGATTTTTGTTCCTATGTTCCTGCATAATTTTCTTGATTGGTTGATAGATTGGATTGATTTCAATACGTTTGTTTATTGCTGATTGACCTGAGTGCCAAGCTTCTAAAAATTCTCTGGTATTTTTGGAATTCCCTCTGTCCAAAATCTGCACATTTTCCCAGTCGAATGTGTGTCCGTAGTTGTCCACGTGTATTGATATGAGTGAAGAAATGTCTTGGCGTTTGACTGCTAATTGGTGTTCATGTAGGCGAAGATACAGGAGGCGTCCGCTTTGCCCAATATAGTGTTTGTTGCAGTTGGTACAATTTATCTTGTAGATGATGTTTGTTTTGTCCTCTTTTGCCATTTCATCTTTTCGTTTGCTTAATATTGAGTGGAGGGACTTTGTTGGTTTGTGGGCTACACCTATTCCGAAGGTTTTCAGCAGCCTTGTTATCGTTTCCGATATGCCCTTTATGTATGGTAGGGTGATCCGTTTGTTGATTTTTATACTTGATTTCGTTTCTGATGGTGTGTGCGACTGGTATTTTTTGATGAAGTTGATTGGATAGCCGTTCTTTTGAAGAATGGTTTTCCATTGTTTTTCTTCATTTTTTCGTGCTGTGATTGTATTGCAGTGTGTTCTCGCCCTCTTGAACAAAGTTTGTAAACAGTTGATTTTGTGAGTTCTTGGGTTGTTGCTATTGTGGCTGAGAATTTGATCGGTGTGAGTTGGCTTCTTGTGCACTTGAGTCTCTAGTTTTCCTGTGTCAGTTCTGGTGATTAATACGTCTAAGAATGGTAACTTGTTGTCCGACTCTTGTTCCATTATGAACTTGATGTCGTCGAAGACGTTGTTGATCTGCTTGTAAGTGTTTTCTAGTTCCTCCTTTTTGACGATGACGAATGTGTCGTCTACATATTGAATCTAAATTTTTGGTTTGATCACTGGTAGAATTGTGGTTTCTAGTCGTTGCATTACTGCTTCCGCGATGAGTCCTGATATTGGTGATCCCATTGGTGTCCCTTTTGTTTGTTTGTAGATCATAACCACAATCAACTGTCGTTCAAAATTTCGCAGGCCTGAAACTGTACATGTTCTAACTGATCTGGCATTTATCTTATAATATCGGACGTCACAATTTATATGGAAGCTGCTATGTTGTTCAAATGTTCTAGCTAACGCGAATATTTTCCTTTGATGACTCTTTAAGTTACTTGCATGAAGCATTTTAGTGACGTTAGGAGATGCAGTACTATGATGTCTGTGGTCAAAATAGTTTTCTATATCATTTATTCCATCATGTGGTAAGGAATTAAGGTTTTACAACTATCATCATATAAAATGTGACTGGCAAACGAACCTGCCAATGATATTATTAAACGCTTACCACTGCGATTTGCTTTGACGTTGGTGTGATTACGTTTCGTTTGTTTGCAAGTCGCAAGGTCTTATATTCCTTATAAACGATGTCAATTTCTGTCGACTTTTTTTCCTGCCCTCTAGCTACTGTTTGAAACTTTGTAGGACTTAATTATCCATAAATGAATTTTTAAACTAGTGCACATCCACATCTCTGCACTCGGGACTCGAACCTAAGACCTTCGGTATCACTCACGAACACTTCACCTCTAGGCCACTGAGCCGCCATCCAACAGTATTAATGCCTATCTTCAAGCAATCCACGATGTTGCGCGACTATCTAACATTGTATTCGAAGAGTAACTGCGTCACACCCGACACCGTTGAATCCCACTAGTTACGGCTTCTCACTAGAACTCCGAGAACTACCTCTCGAGGTTAGTCACTAGTGAATACATGGTGATTATCAGTATAGGGTTCTGGAGGTTGTTGAGTTTCATAGAGATCATAAACCGATCAATGTTCCGGGTTTTCAATTGTAGTCTTAAATTGATCGGTTTATAATCTTTATAGAACTTAACAATCTCCACAGCCCTATACTGATATTCTAAAGTGGTTACTAGACGGTCAAGTGCAGTGTCTTAGCATGAAAAAACAATGATTTTGAATGTATGTTTAATAAATAGTTGATCGACCACACATTTATGCTCTGTCAGCTCACTTTGATTCCCAACTGATTATCACTCCGGTTTTCGTAACACCCATTAACACTACTATTGTCCTTCATTGTAATAGTGATTGGTGTATACTTCGATAATATACGATATCATGGGATTCTAATCGTACATTCAGATAATCTGATTAAGTGTTGCTTGTGATTCTTACTGAAATCACAACTGCAATACAAATAATCTCTGGTATCTTCATGTATCTCATAGCTAACTGCGGGTTTGATTTCAGGGAGATATGCACTTTTACTGACTTCAGGTGTAGCAACTGACAGTTTAAAAATCAGCTTTTGTTTCTTTGATAAGTGAGAAATATTCCGAATTAACAAACGATCATCCTCATCTGAGCATCTGGCCAAACTAACAACCACACTAGTTGTACTATTGTATATTGGTGAACTGAAGTATGGATAATCATTTGCGCCATCGGGAAAAAATAAGAAATATTTGCTCTTAATTTTAGACCATATGTTAACAACATTAACACATACGCAAAAAACACTAATTTGTTAGTTATCTATACAGTTGCAAAATTAAGTTACTTTCTGACAGCTACATTGTGGGATGTAGCGAAAGCGAAATAAGTTTGCACGTTGTCAATTAGTTTGCTAATGCTAGTTTCTTTTACTACACTCGATGTTAAACTAACTGGAAATCAAGTGAGTTTTCCGTATTAACATAGTCTGCACGAGTTCAGACTACAAATTCACTTGTTTCAAAGTTGAAATCATGAGTCAATTGAAGCTAGACCACCATCGAAAACCTGGAAGCACTGGACGGCCGTTTCGTCCTATTATAGGACTCCTAAGCAGTGCGCACCCACGATCCCGCACTCGCGAGGTTCGAACCCAGTACCTACCAGTTACGAGCCAGAGCCCTTAACCGATAGACCACTGAACCGGCATCCAACGGTGTTAATGTCTAACTTCAACTGATCCACGAAATATGAGCGACACTTCACCAATTGCCTTCAGTGAGTTGTTATCTCACAACGGACGTGGTTGAACTCCACTGGTCACTGCTTCCCACTAGAACTCCAGGACATGTATCTTGAAGTCAGTCACTAGTGAGCATATGATTATATTAATTATAGAAGGGGTTTTGTGGAGATTTAGTATTTACCATAGTTGAAAGCGTGAGTCAATTGAAGCTAGACCACCATCGAAAACCTGGAAGCCGGCTCAGTGGTCTATTGGTTAAGGGCTCTGGCTCGTAACTGGTAGGTCCTGGGTTCGAATCTTGCGAGTGTGGGATCGTGGGTGCGCACTGCTTAGGAGTCCCATAATATGACGAAACGGCCGTCCAGTGCTTCCAGGTTTTCGATGGTGGTTTAGCTTCAATTGACTCATGATTTCAACTTTGAAATATACTGAAATCTCCACAAATCCCCTTCTGATCAAATTCACTTGTACTGCTACATGATTTTGCGAAGTGATATCAGCTTTGTCTAGATTTATGCCTGGATTCAATATAACCAAAGGTTCGAGAATATTTGCACCAGTTACTTCGTGATTTAATTTTAAGGTAATGTCATTATCAGCATGTCATTATCACCGTCTAGACCTATCAATTCATCCTCATAAAACAGTTTTCCTTAATTCTTAAGCAACTGACTTGACTTACATTAGAATTTATTTTATCAGTATTCAATCATGGATGGTTAGTTAAATTCCATAGCTTATTTGTTTGTTGGATATGTTTTGACAAAATTCATTTTTCACTTTCTGGCACAATTTTCCCAATTAAATTTCGTTTTCTAGCAGGTGCGTTCACTCGTTGTTTAGGTTTCTGAATTCATGGTTTTTTTATTTCACTAATTTGTATTTTCTTCTCGAATTGTATCTTCGATGCCTAATTTTTTCTGTTACCACTACTACTGTTACTTCTACCGCCCTGAGGTTTTATGTGACTATTTCATTTCGCTGTGTTAATGAGGTATGGTAACTTGAACTGATCTACACACATACCATGGTTCTACATTGCGTTTTTCTGATTGACTGATGTGTCACATTCAAATTTGTTAACTCTCGCTGGATCTTATAGAACTGGTCTTACAGTTCTTCCTTTCAAACTAGTCAGTCCTTGCATCGTCTAAAGACTTGTAGTGACGACTACTTGTATCAATTGTGACATTTGTGTATTCAACCAATACTGATATGTTATAAATGCGAACACTATTTATGGCGAAGTTTTCCATCTCCCTGAAGTACTTCATATCCTTTAATAAGTGAAAATAATTCAATTCGTAATGCCGAAAAGAAATAAATTCATTTAGATCTTTGTGTCAGTTTAGAATGTTACAAAAGCTCCATTGTTCTTTCCTCTATTTATCCTTGGGACATTTTTGTGAAACCTCCTTTTAAATCATCGATAATCATAATTCATATTTTATTACCGCTACTGTTAGTTTTCTTTGTCAATCATTTGTATATTGTGTTATTAATAAAATAAACAAATGAAAGCTGCCCCGTTGCTGAAATCTGAGGAAATAGAATTCAGTTCTAACTAGCTACTGTGTATATGAAAAAAGGATTGCCTGAAGCAACAGTGAATAAGTCAACATACATTTATTAAAAAAAAAAAGAATGTTTATTTCGTAACTAAAAAACTGTTTGAATTTATAAAGCTACATTCGTAACATTTTTAGTAAAATGTGGGAGATGAACTTTTCACTTTTTGTAATTTCAGTCTTTTTTCATTTTGCTTTTGATTATGGATTTCTTATTGAAATAAGTCTTATGATTCTTAATCTGCTATTTCTCTTCAAAGTAAAAAATGCATTTGAAGTCCAACGGTTGGTTACGTTTTATGATCAGACTGATCGGGTCTCTGGTTCGCAGTTTGATCACTTTGTTCCTGAGATTACTGGTCCGATTACAGGAGAGCTGTCAGTCGACAAATCTTCGCGCCCAAGTACTTCTATACCTAATCGCTCCCTTGTGAGATCTAGTTCAGTACGCACGGAAATCGAACAGTGTAAGCGTATTCTAAATCAACTGAAACGGGATGTGAGTCAACTTCCTCTCTTACCTATTGCCCGATTCACTCCTTCAATGAAGGATCTAGACACCTTAGATTTGAATCCCAAGGTTCTTCAAGCAGCACCTTTATCTTATGTCAGAAGCAGATCACAGGTTAGTATGTGCAAATTTGTTCCAAATCTTAAGTTAACCATATTTCGGTGGAAAGTACATGTGATGCACAAGTGTTCATAGACATGTAAGCGTTGTCACTTTGTGTAATGAAGTAGAATTTTAAATTTATATTGTTATCACAATGAGTACTTTTAGTTTCAGGAAATATTTTAGTACAGTATGTAAACAGATGTAATTACAATGACTATTATTTTATTCAGTCTTATATGTTTAGTACAATATGGATTTCTCACCGTGTTGTATTTAATCACATTCCTTCTATTCTTCTTACACGTCAAAAAGTATATATTCAAATAAATGAGTAAAATTATGTGGAATCGAATGAAATTTTCATTATAATATAAAAATCTATGCAACACTGAATGAGCATAAACTTTTTTATTAGATCAGCCTTTACAAGCTGTTTGTTGCGTAGTATATGTACTAAATACAATATTCTGAATAGTTTTTTTCACTTTTGTTTACGTGCACGGATTCTAACATACTTGTACTTCGTTCTGCTCGATGATAAAATAAAACATGCGATTTGTTTGCCAAGTTTTAAACGCCTATTAGCAACCATATTGATAATAAAATAAAAAAATTCACGTCATACCTTACTACTTACCTTCAGGATTTTTTTTGCGACAGCTAAGTCTCTTCCCAAGAGAATAATAGGGAACAGTACAGGATAGTAAGCAGTATACAAGAATGTGTAAATTGTAAAAGTAATTTTTGAATAATGCAGAAAACATTCTGCTTCTGGATATATATATATATATATATATATATATATATATATATATATATATATATATCAGCCAATTTTTGCGTACGTAGATTATCGCTTGTTCATTGTTCTGGATTAATAGTAAATAATACGAAAACACATACACACAGTGTTGTAATTTCGGTATATTTCTTAAAGTGTTTTTATCTTATATAATTTCAGCTTCGAAGACGTGCTTTGTTTATAGATAGGGATCAGAATAAGAGAACTATTACGTATTTAACTGCATCCGGCCGAAACAGCATTCCATATTCCACTGAACTTTCACTATCCGAGACAATTTTCTTCTGGCGTCAGTGCTTTGCAAACATTAACTTTGACAGGCCTGTGAGACGTCGACATCAACAAGCTGACATAATTGCATTCAATGAGATTCCTTTATCCAATCTGAATCTTCGTCCTCGCAGACTTCCTCGGGGATGGCGCTCTCACAGTCTACGTTATGATCTTGCAGTGAGTCTTTGCATCATAATGTAATTACCGTGGTTAGAGTGAGATTACCAGAATATTGTTTTATATAATATAGGGTTTACTAAATTGTTTACGACACTTGTGTATACCTAAATCTTCGAACTACTTATCTAGTTTTGTTTGGAATTGACCTTAAACTTCAAAACGGACAATAATTACAGAAACTTAGTTTCTAAAATCTGAGTCACAGTGTGATGAAGTATTCAACCTATCTAGTGACAGATCGTATAGAAATTCTTTCACTTCAGTTCATCAAGTTTTTTAGCACTTCAGTTCTCACTGTTAGTCGCCTAATCAATACATAAGTCAGTCAGTCGTAACGTAGGACCAGGCACATATATGCATCGGTCCAAGTTGTCAAACCTCATTAGCGCAACAAGATGAACACTAAATTCATAGAAGTAATACTATATAAAAGAAAAATTGTGTATAAGGATATGATACAGGAAGAAAGAATTAGTTCGCATAAAGAAAGGTATAAAGTAATTTTAGTCTTGCGGCTTAAGGGAAGACAAAGAGTATACATCTGCGCCATTGTGATCGATTCTGAGCATTGTCACCCAGAGTCTCTAACCATTGGTTACGATAGTCACGCGGACCCCAACCAAGTAGTCTACATCTGCCAACATGGCTCAGACTAGAACTTAGTGACTTCAAGCTTTGATGCCGCGTTTTGGTTTGGCCGCCCCTAACTTTCTTCCAACCATTGCCAATACTAGTCAGCATAGCGCGTCATGGTAATCGGTGTTCAAGCATACGTAACACATGGTCTAACCATCTCAGTCGATGAAGATTCATGACCTCATCAACAGATTTATCATCATTCTTGAATACCCTGCGTTTAGCCTCATTATTAATTAGTTAGTCATCCTAGCAGATGCGAGCAATATTTCCAAGACATCTGTGACCAAATACTAGTAACTTACGAGTATCTTCTACTCCTAATGGCCACTTTTCGCAGCCGTAAAGTAGAACAGAGCGAACTGCTGCTCAGTGTGCTCGTCCCTTAATTGATAGACAGATATCTCGCTTTCGCCATAGGTGACGTAATTTACAAAAGCCAAATGAGTCTTTGGAATCTGTGCAGAGATTTCGTCAGACACCAACCCTTTAGGGATGATCAGACTTCCAAGATAAGTGCAGTTGTCGACGCGTTCTACTACTTCACTCCATATCCTCAGTTCAGGTGTTGATTCAGGCCAGTCCTGGAGTAACAATTTACATTTGAATGGGGAGAATCGCATTCCAAATATCCTGGCATTGTTACTCAGTGCTAACAAAGGACTCTGCATTTTGTTAGCGTCTTCACCAAACAGGACTATGTCATCTGTGTATTATAAGTCGATAAGTGGACCTGGTAGGAGATCAATTCCTGGAAATTCAATCAATGAGAGTGTTATTTCCAGCAGTAGGTTAATGATGAAGTTAAACAAAAATGGGGATAGTGGACAGCCTTGACGGACACTACTTGAGGTTGTATAATCAGATGACAATTCGCCATAAGCTCTGATTCGACTGGTAGTGTTCGAGTAAAGAGCCTTTATAAGGTTTATGTACTTCTGAGGTACATCTTTTAATGACAGACACTGCCACAGAGCCTCTCGGTCTACAGAATCAAATGCTGCTTTTAAGTCAAGAAAAACTATCATTGCCGGACATCGATAAACATTAATACGTACATATTTCTAATTCCTTTACGAATTTTAAAGTTATGCAAGTCTGACATTTAGTACCTGTGTTTCTCATGTGGATGTTTTCGGACTGTTAAAGTTATTATTAATGAATCTACCAATTGATTAGTATATACTAGTGTTGTGCTTCTTCATGACTACCAGGCTACCGATTGAACATTAATAATGCATAAGGGAAATTCAAAGTTCACCGATCGGAACTATGTGTAATGTGTTTATATTTTTAGATTTTGTCTAGTTGTCGCGTTATAAGGTTTCAGAATGCTTGTTAGTTGTATCAGAATTCTAAATGTTCTCATGATTACTGCTTCTAAATCACCCGTTGTCAATGATTATCATCAGTTTTATAAGATGACACCTTTTGTTGTGTCACCAATGAGTCATAAATTGTATTATATGAACCCAGTCATAACTTATATTTCAGAGTTTAAATAAATGCTCAAAGGCTTTAGATTTTGAATATTCGATATTGGGGAACTTATGAAAAGTAACTAGTTCCAATAGTTCATTCTTGTTGGTACAAAGCGGCACCAGATACATACGCGCCACACAAATCTCATTTGATTTGTGTGCCCAAACTGAAGCAGGTGGTTTTCTTAGGGGCCCACACCCGGAGTCTTTGACCTAAAGATCTGATCCACAAGGCAGTCGAGCATCGTAAGGAGATGTTGTCCCATGGTAACCGGTGACCAACGATTGATTAATACACCATTTGTTCCCTCAGGATACTGGAGCCAGCCCATGTGCACCATTGGTTTGGAATCAGGGTTTTCCAACTCCCCTAGGTGGACTTTCGGTGTCCACCAACCCGGTTAAAGCGCCAGACATTCGCTTTTCGTCTTCTCAATTTCGTAAACAACGTATTGTTTTTGATCGTGTTCATTTGGGAACTAGCGTTTTTTGAAATCGGTGTTTTTAAGTAGTCATCTAGCTGTCGAGTGTTGATGTGGTTAATTTCTAAAAATAGTTTTTGATTTTTCATCTGGGTTTGTTTGGTGCTTCCTTGCAAATTATTGGTTGAGATTTTCTGATTTTTGCATAACCAATAGATTCGTAGCTGTTCGTTTTTGAATCTTCGTTTTAGGCCATGAAACCATTCACACCTCACCCTCGACAACTCGTTCGACGTCCTGGTACATCTGTCTGTTTACAACGTCAAGAATCAGCTGGGTCAACCTCATCAGCTGTAGTCAAAAGTTCTCCACTGCAGTTTAGTACTCCAGAAAGGAAAACTATTAAATTTTCTGTGAGTGATTCACATGATTCTACTGGATCTGACATTGTTGAGGCAATTACTTTAGATAGTCAACAGGTACAAAATGATCCTGACAACATACCTGTTGATGCTTCAAAATGGCCCGTCAGTTCTTCGAATCCTCTTGATGAAGTTCAACCCAGTACACAGAGTCATGGTAAGTTTAATGTGGCTATCAATAAATCACAATATATTTTAATAAAAGATTAAGTAATCTTCTATCTAATATCTTCTAGCACTAATAGTACATACTGTGTCCGTTAAAATAACATAACAGTTAAACATTCAAACTGTATGTCATTATCACAATTAACATAATCAATAAGCCACTGTGGATTTCTCGTTCGACCAACGAAATATATCTTGGTCCCACTCAACAATACTATTTATTTAAACAGATTTTGCCAGATGTCTGCTAATCTTGTCGGATTTTAATTGGGTTTTTGCGGCGAACCAAAAAAGGTATGTGAGTGTGCTCTCTAGATATGTCTTATCCTCTGTATTTATGTGAGAGGGGTTGGTTTAAATCAGGCTAGAAGCATCATTTTATTTACTTTTGGAGATAATAACTAGTATCCAAAGTGTTCAAAAAGTCTATTCTCAGTCTGTTCAAAATCTCTTACTTCATCATCATATTTATGTAATTTAATTTTACTTGAAAGAAGCAAAAATTAGTTATTGTCATATGCTTGTATTGCTTCAGTATCTTCAATAATTACTGGAGCTTTTAGTGCTCACCTTACTATTTTGATAGAATAAAACCTAACTTTATGTTCTTCTGCTGTTTGTCTTCAATTGTTTGATATATAAGTGACTGATCTTAGTATAGTTCGTATCTATCTACGCAGTAATAGTAAATTCGAAAGTTTAAATTTTATGTAACACTTTGGATATAGATTCACTTAGTATTGTTTGTTTGAATCTTCCCATCGATGTGTTAGGACTGCAACTGGTCAGTCTCTAATTGGCATATGTGCATACTGTGCGTATTGCCTCGATATAGCCTTGATTCACAAGCATGATATGCAAAGATGGATAGTGGCTAGCAGTGGAATCCAGTTTGACGCACGTTTCGTCCTATTTGGGACTAGTCAGCTGGATGTACCTGCATCTCAGAGTTGATGTTCACTCTGGGACTCGAACTCAGTACCCTCGCTTCAAACGCCATCGCGTTATTCACTCGACCAACTGATGGCGTTTGAAGCGAGGGTACTGGGTTCGAGTCCCAGAGTGAACATCAACTCTGAGATGCAGGTACATCCAGCTGACTAGTCCCAAATAGGACGAAACGCGCGTCAAACTGGATTCCACTGCTAGCCACTATCCATCTTTGTTTATCATACTTTGGATATTGCTTTCAATTTAGGGGAAAACGCTAAAGAAGTTCATACCGACTTTAAAGTATTGAAACACTGTTAAACCGCAAATCATTTCTTTTTGAATTAAAATAGAAACTAATTTTGCTTCATCATGATCCCATTGTTTTGTTATCGTTTGTAAATTCACCAATTGGGATTAACACTGATGACAATGGTTTGTGGTTGGGTAATAGTGTGAATCGACTGAATTTGGAACTGTAAACCACAGAATGTGAACTCAGTAGCCTAAAGGTCAAGATCTTTTTATTAAACCTCAAAGTGTTATAAACGTATGTATGCCGTCGCCAATTGTTATAAACGTAAAAGAGAGAGGATGCTGGTTATAACTTTAGGGGTTTCTGGTTATAACAGTCCTTTTACTTCTTACACGTATGTGGGACGTTAATTTATCTTAGACGAATATCTACACTAGATTCCCACCCAGTGTCTATTCTACAGGACTTCAAGAGAACTCAGATCAAGAACACAATATTAGCCTGACTATAACGTCAATATATTTCACACCAAAATCCGACACATGGAACAGTCAAAAAGTCCATCAACAAGGAACAGTCAATCAGTCAATACATAATAAGGATAGGGAAATATATATATCATTGTTGAAAGCGTGAGTCAATTGAAGCTAGACCACCATGGAAAACCTGGAAACACTGGACGGCCGTTTCGTCCTATTATGGGACTCCTCAGAAGTGCGCATCCACGAACCTGCTCTCGCGAGCGAGATTCGAACCCAGGACCTACCAGTCTCGAGCCGAAGCCCTTAACCGATAGACCACTGAGCTGGCATCCAACGGTGTTAATGTCTAACTTCAACTGATCCACGAAGTTGAGCAACCATTCACCAATTGTCTTCAGTGAGTTCCTATCTCACAACAGACGTGGTTTTGAACTCCACTGGTCACTGCTTCTCACTAGAGCTCCTAGATATACTTCTCGAAATCACTAGTGAGCATATTATTATATTAATTATAGAAGGGGTTTTGTGGAGATTTAGTATTTATCATTGTTGAAAGCGTGAGTCAATTGAAGCTAGACCACCATGGAAAACCTGGAAACACTGGACGGCCGTTTCGTCCTATTATGGGACTCCTCAGAAGTGCGCATCCACGAACCTGCTCTCGCGAGCGAGATTCGAACCCAGGACCTACCAGTCTCGAGCCGAAGCCCTTAACCGATAGACCACTGAGCTGGCATCCAACGGTGTTAATGTCTAACTTCAACTGATCCACGAAGTTGAGCAACCATTCACCAATTGTCTTCAGTGAGTTCCTATCTCACAACAGACGTGGTTTTGAACTCCACTGGTCACTGCTTCTCACTAGAGCTCCTAGATATACTTCTCGAAATCACTAGTGAGCATATTATTATATTAATTATAGAAGGGGTTTTGTGGAAATTTAGTATTTATCATTGTTGAAAGCGTGAGTCAATTGAAGCTAGACCACCATGGAAAACCTGGAAACACTGGACGGCCGTTTCGTCCTATTATGGGACTCCTCAGAAGTGCGCATCCACGAACCTGCTCTCGCGAGCGAGATTCGAACCCAGGACCTACCAGTCTCGAGCCGAAGCCCTTAACCGATAGACCACTGAGCTGGCATCCAACGGTGTTAATGTCTAACTTCAACTGATCCACGAAGTTGAGCAACCATTCACCAATTGTCTTCAGTGAGTTCCTATCTCACAACAGACGTGGTTTTGAACTCCACTGGTCACTGCTTCTCACTAGAGCTCCTAGATATACTTCTCGAAATCACTAGTGAGCATATTATTATATTAATTATAGAAGGGGTTTTGTGGAGATTTAGTATTTATCATTGTTGAAAGCGTGAGTCAATTGAAGCTAGACCACCATGGAAAACCTGGAAACACTGGACGGCCGTTTCGTCCTATTATGGGACTCCTCAGAAGTGCGCATCCACGAACCTGCTCTCGCGAGCGAGATTCGAACCCAGGACCTACCAGTCTCGAGCCGAAGCCCTTAACCGATAGACCACTGAGCTGGCATCCAACGGTGTTAATGTCTAACTTCAACTGATCCACGAAGTTGAGCAACCATTCACCAATTGTCTTCAGTGAGTTCCTATCTCACAACAGACGTGGTTTTGAACTCCACTGGTCACTGCTTCTCACTAGAGCTCCTAGATATACTTCTCGAAATCACTAGTGAGCATATTATTATATTAATTATAGAAGGGGTTTTGTGGAAATTTAGTATTTATCATTGTTGAAAGCGTGAGTCAATTGAAGCTAGACCACCATGGAAAACCTGGAAACACTGGACGGCCGTTTCGTCCTATTATGGGACTCCTCAGCAGTGCGCATCCACGAACCTGCTCTCGCGAGCGAGATTCGAACCCAGGACCTACCAGTCTCGAGCCGAAGCCCTTAACCGATAGACCACTGAGCTGGCATCCAACGGTGTTAATGTCTAACTTCAATTGACTCACGCTTTCAACAATGATAAATACTAAATCTCCACAAAACCCCTTCTATAATTAATATAATAATATGCTCACTAGTGATTTCGAGAAGTATATCTAGGAGCTCTAGTGAGAAGCAGTGACCAGTGGAGTTCAAAACCACGTCTGTTGTGAGATAGGAACTCACTGAAGACAATTGGTGAATGGTTGCTCAACTTCGTGGATCAGTTAAAGTTAGACATTAACACCGTTGGATGCCAGCTCAGTGGTCTATCGGTTAAGGGCTTCGGCTCGAGACTGGTAGGTCCTGGGTTCGAATCTCGCTCGCGAGAGCAGGTTCGTGGATGCGCACTGCTGAGGAGTCCCATAATAGGACGAAACGGCCGTCCAGTGTTTCCAGGTTTTCCATGGTGGTCTAGCTTCAATTGACTCACGCTTTCAACAATGATAAATACTAAATCTCCACAAAACCCCTTCTATAATAAATATATATATAAAACATAACACCTGTCATCCCCTCTAATGTCTGACTCATCGAGACAACCAATCATTGACATTCTCGCCCACACATCACCACCCTCGCAAAGTTCGATCGTATGATTTCACTTTGGGGTCTATTTGAAAAAATTTCGTTTGTTTCCGTTTCCTGAATGACCTTCGTCTAACTTCTGATTCTAGATCATTTTTTCTCATTTCAACTTGTGGTGGTGGTGGTGGAATATCAAATGTATCACATAAAACTTCCATTGGTAATGGTTTGAGTTTAGATGACTCATAAACACATTTTCTATCTCGCAGTTGATTTACATGTCTAATAATTAGTGTATTTTCGACCATCACTTCATATAATACTGTACCACGTCGTTTTTTTATAAACCCAAATATCCATTTTGGCTTGCCAGGCCGGAAATCCCGTGCATAGACTGAGTCACCTACTTTGAATTCTCGAATTTTCAGGCAATTCCCTTTGTTATTTTTTTGTAGTCCACTGATTCTGTCTTTCGGGTTCAAAACATCAAAAAATGTTCTAATCGGTCGGCCAAACATTATTTCGGCTGGAGATTTCCCATCTTGACAGTTTGGACTTGGCGTAATTCTATAGGAAATGAGAAATTGTTGCAGAGCCTCTTCTACGTTGCCTTCTCCTCCCATCTTTAAGAGAGCTCGTTTAAGAATATCAACAAATTTCTCTGCCTGCCCGTTCGACTTAGGGTGATACGGTGGAGTTCTAACGTGTTCGATTCCATTCTGTTTACAGAACTCCGCAAACTCTAACGACGTGAACTGCGTCCCGTTATCTGAAACCAAAACATTAGGTGTACCAAACCTACCAAATAATTGTCTCAGATGTAGCAGTGTTTCAGACGTAGATGGTCTTCGTACCACATAAATTTCAGGCCATTTTGAGTATGAATCAACCACCACCAAAAAATATTGTCCACTTATTGGTCCAGCATAATCAACATGTAGTCGGACCCAAGGCTTTGTCGTTTCTGGCCATGGCTGGGATTCTACCTTCGGTGGATCTTTTGCAACTTCGGCACATCGCCGACATCTCACTACGTATTCTTCCACAGCCTTATCCATGAATGGCCAATAGACATAACTACGCATAACAGCCTTCATTCTATTCATTCCCGGGTGACCAATGTGAAACTGTTTAAGCACAAAAAGCTGAAGAGATTTAGGGATAACAACACGTTCACCATACATCAAGCAATTATCATAAATCGATATAGACTCACGTCTCAAGAAAAATTGGTGAAACTCTCGATCAGCTTTGTCCTGTTTCCAACCCTTTAAAACAGCTTCTTTTATTCTTTTAAGTAGAGGATCACTACCCGTGGCTTCTTTAACTGCTTCTGCCGTTACTGGTAGGATTTTGATAGCATCACAGAACACTCTTTTTATTTCCGGTTCAATTGTTATAGAAGCAACCACTATATCTTCCTCTAACTTACGGTTATGTGGTATTTCTTTTGAAGTCTGTATCTTATTTCCTTTACGGAACTTATGCTCACGGTCATAAACCTTTGATTTACTTTTACAACATACTTGAGCATGACCATATTTACCACATTGAAAGCATACTCGTTTTTTAAAGTAACAAACTTTGGCAGAATGAGACTTACCACATCGCCAACATGACGTTTTGTGTTTCACTTGATTCGGGATTTTCTGGGAGTTCGAATCTTTATTTCCATTAAAAGATTTACGTAAAGCTTTGACTCCAAAGTGTTTACTGTTCCTTTCTACGAGATTCGTGTCATGCTTCAAATTAATCATTCTTTGACACTCTTCAGATACTGATTGTAGACTGATATTAGGATCTTGTTCGATTCTCGTTAGAATCCGTGCTCTAATATCTGCATCTACTGGAGATTGTAATCCACATACAAAAATAAGGCACTTGAATTGATCTGAGGACATTTCCTGTAATCGGAACAGCTCACATTCCCGGTTCACGATACTTGCATACGTTACGTAATCGTCCTGTACTTTCTTTACAAGTTGAAGACACTGGTATCTAGTGTGAAAAATTGATGACCGTTCACCAAATATACGAGTCAGGCATTCAACTGTTTCTTTGAACGTTATGTCGGATGGCTTCTTTGGGAGGATAAAATTACAGAATTTTTCATGTTCGGACACTCCGAGCTTTCGTAATAATAATCTCAATTTCGAACTTTCGTCCCACTCTTTACATTCATTAATAAATAAATCCTCATGGCGTTTAAACCACGCCTCAAAAGTAACTCCACTTTCTGGATCAAATCTAAATTCAGTTATTGAATTTGCAATAGAATCCGGAGTCATAGTGGAATTAGACACATCAGTTCTTGAGGATATCGACATATTTTTGACTAATAATTCGATAAGAGTATTTTGCTGTTGCAATAAGGTTTTCAGATCATCCATTTTCTTGATACAAAATTCACTTTAACTGAATACGTAAGCGTAGATCCGTTTTAATCACCGTCGCCAATGTTATAAACGTATGTATGCCGTCGCCAATTGTTATAAACGTAGAGAGAGAGAGAGAGAGATGATGCTGGTTATAACTTTAGGGGTTTCTGGTTATAACAGTCCTTTTACTTCTTACACGTATGTGGGACGTTAATTTATCTTAGACGAATATCTACACTAGATTCCCACCCAGTGTCTATTCTACAGGACTTCAAGAGAACTCAGATCAAGAACACAATATTAGCCTGACTATAACGTCAATATATTTCACACCAAAATCCGACACATGGAACAGTCAAAAAGTCCATCAACAAGGAACAGTCAATCAGTCAATACATAATAAGGATAGGGAAATATATATATAACACATAACACCTGTCATCCCCTCTAATGTCTGACTCATCGAGACAGCCAATCATTGACATTCTCGCCCACACATCACAAAGTCTTCAATGTTATCATTGCAAGGGTTGTGGATCTTCTTTAGTGATAAGTTTCATGCAAAAACGAAAAAGTTATCCTGTGATTTTTGGATTTCAGTGTTTGTCTTTGTAACATCAGTCTGTATTGTGGACTATACTGTTATGCATTTCATATCTCGTGATTTTAGTTGTACTTGATATGTCTTGTAGGTTGAACGCCTTATTCGGATCCTAAGCTATTCCGATAACCCTAGGACTAGCACTACTCAGCAACTTGAAGACCAGAGAGAAGACACGGGTATCAGAGAAAACCTTTACTGCAAGGATCATCTTTGTACAGAAAATCGTAGGTATTTATAGATGTTTGCTTAAGTTAAATCAACATCCTAATTCAGCCAATCCAATTAGCGACATAAATTGCTACTGACCAATGGTAGCATGCTACGTTGGAACTCCAGAATGTTATGTCCTACTCTGATTGGTTGGGACTCTTTTTGAGCCTCTGGAGGCTCTGTTGGAGTTCGCTGGAAGCCGACTTAACAGTACTCATTATGGACTTTTGTCTATTGTTCTCCTCTATACCACTGTTTTACTCTCATCCAATCTGTATTAATCAAACAGTTTGGTTTTTGATTAATCGTATTTTTACGCTGACTTAGAAGACTAATTGACTTTTTTGTGATGATTAGATTTTGTATTCCCATGGAATATGTAGACACTGTTATGGTTTTTCGATTTTCTTGATGTGGATATTCATCAGTTTAGAGTGGGAATTAAATAATTCAGATTACTATCTTGAAATTGATTCTATAATAGCTAATATGTAAGCAATCAAATAATTATTCAATTTAACATTCTAATTTGATTTACTATTTATTTATCTGTTTTTTAGATTCAAACGAAAAAGTAGATGAATATGTGGAGAAAAAAGTGAAAGATATAGAGATTACCTCGTTATCTAACCATTTATCTGATGATGGCTTTACTGTTAATTTGCAAACACCAATAACTCATCCTCTGGATGAATCAAGTTCAAATAAGATTGCTAATGATCATTACAATGTCGAGTCTAACAAATCGCTTCTTACAAAGACTAGGTAATTAGAAGGGGATTTGTGGAGATTTCAGTATATTTCAAAGTTGAAATCATGAGTCAATTGAAGTTAGACATTAACACCGCCGGATGCCGGCTCAGTGGTCTATCGGTTAAGGGCTCTGGCTCGTAACTGGTAGGTCCTGGGTTCGAATCTCGCTCGCGAGAGCGGGTTCGTGGATGCGCACTGCTGAGGAGTCCCATGATAGGACGAAACGGCCGTCCAGTGCTTCCAGGTTTTCGATGGTGGTCTAGCTTCAATTGACTCATGATTTCGACTAGGTAATTGCTCACTGTGAAAACTAAAATTTAGATTGTAGCCAAAAGTTTATATATATATATATATATATATATATATATATAAAAAGCTTGATTGATGTACATGATTTTCCTTTCTCATAACCAAATACTAGAAGCCACATAGCTTTAAAATTTTACGCTTCACGATGTCACAATCAAAGAAAATCAATGAATAAAACTGGTTTGATTAGAAAGGAGATTGAATGCATCCGAATCATTGTAATTACTTCTTAGCTATATCTTTCATGCTATTTAATTTCTGATTTCTGTTATCCAAGGGAACTTAGTGGTGAGATATACAACTCTTCACATAATTCAAATTCAGTCGATAATTTAATTAATTTATACCATCTCCTAATCTAATCCATCTTATCTCATTTCAAGCTATGCTAGTGTTAAAGTTAACTTCTCATACAGAAAACCCTGTCTACCTATCTCAATCGGTTTAGATGATTAATCTTACTAACTGAATTACATTCATAGATTAAGAATTTATTCAGTTGAGGATTATATTACTCATACTTAGAAATCAAACACGTCTATTCTACTCTTATTCTACATATATGAGTAGTGTAGAACAAGGAAAATTATTACTCAAAATACTCGCTAACTCGTGACCTGTTAGATATTTAGAGGGCAAAACAGGTTATTTAAAAAATGTCATATTCATATTTGAAAAAAACATCGTTTCATTGTTTCTTGAAAAGATAAAATAATGATGCGAAATGGTTAATTCTATTTTCAATTATTCTACATAAAAATTCATTATTTCAGACTTATTTTTTCTCATTATTATCATGTTTAGAGGATCTAATCGTTTAACTCGTCAAGCTGGATTTCGTCGTCGCCCTGCTATGTCCTCTGGTTCTTATAGTCAGTCAAAAGGTATAACTTCACTTAAAAATGAAAAGGCGACTAGTTCTCGTGATAATCACTTACACACGGAAGTTACAAAAAAAATAAAAAGAAGTGATGTAGACAGTACTTTACAGGTAAATGTATGTCCATTTCCCTGTTTGTGACTTGTTTATTTTTTCATGTTACTACTGAATCATTGATTTCTAAATCTTTTAGACTTCATCGAGTGTTTCGAAGCCTATATCAACAAATCCTATTTCAGTCGATCAAGCTGTTGGTAAGTGTTTATTTTTATCATACAATATTTGACGTTTTTATCGAAAATAATCATTCTTGCTTATTTTGAAATTTCTGTACCTTATTGACACAACAGTTTCTATCAATACTGGAATATGTTCAGTTGTTACAGATAAAACCTATTCACTTTAATTTCATTGATTTAGTATTATTTCGACGTTTTCTTATATAAGAGTTTAACATAATTGATATGTGCTATGCTGATTTAGACCTCATTATTTTCATAATAGGTAATGAATGAACATGTTACTGCTTTACTAGAAGGATTCTAAAACTTTTTATCATACGATATTCGTGTATAATCTTGTTGATTTTAATCATCCAAACAGTGTAATGGTACTTGGTGATGATGGTAGCAGAAAACAGTTTTTTAACACCTTGATTATAATCTCTAGAGGGCTTCGAATTCATCAATCGGTACTTTAGGATTGATTCTAGTCAATCCCCAATCTAACCACAGTAAAATAATCTAATTTACCCATGATTTCTAATGTATTGATGATTAACGAAACCTCAGCTATCGTACAAAAGGCTTGGTTGGGTCTTACAAGTGTGGGACAGTTGTGATGTCATTGTGTCTGTCAAAGAGCGAATGTAATCCTCACTATTTCACTCTGTATTAATTTGTGGATGCATAGTTTGAATTTTCTAGTTAAACGAGATATGTGGGTTGTTAACATTCGATCATGATTGCATTCGAGACATTGTTTGGGTATAGCGCCCCCCCAAGTGGGTAATACTGAGGTTAATTAAAGGGCTCTTGTTAAAAGTATCAAAGTGTTTGGTGATATTAAGCTCTTACCAGTTAAAGCAGTTGAGATACTTATTGTGCAACCCAAGTTACCGTCAACCCCAAACAATTTACGATACAGACTAACACGGAAACATATTGGTCAAAGTTGTCATATCACAACTAATACAGAGAGGTGAAATGAAAATGATGATTAATAGGATATTGAATATATAGAGAAAATAAAATATGGCTAGTAATAAAATCTAGGACACACATTTCGTGCTCTTTTGTATTCAGCTATGTCTACCTTCATCTCCGAATTGATATTCATTCGGGGACATAATGCGCATTCTGGATTATATTGCTAGTCACATTCTATTTATTCTGGTTAAGCCTGTGTTATACTTGCTTAATTGAGGTATTTCACACAGGATGGACATGTGTCAACTAGAACTAATTAAACTCCAGTCAAAATATGAGCAACTGGATCATATAAACTATTACAAACTAAATAGCATATTGAATCGCAATAGTTCATTATTTATTGAACAAGCAGTACTATTTAAAATGAATTTTTAACATCAAACGAACAAAAAAATAAATATTAAATATTTTCATAGTTGAAATCGTGAGTCAATTGAAGCTAAACCACTATGGAAAACCTGAAAGCACTGGACGGCCAGTCTATCGGTTAAGTGATCTGGCGCGAGACTGGTAGGTCCTGGGTTCGAATCTTGCGAGGCGGGATCGTGGGTGCGCACTGCTTAGGAGTCCCATAATAGGACGAAACGGCCGTCCAGTGCTTCTAGGTTTTCCAAGGTGGTCTAACTTCAATTGACTCATGATTTCAACTATGAAAATACTGAAATCTCCACAAAACTCCTAAATATTAAATACTTTTTAGATTATTATATTTTTCACTTATGGATTCTATTCTACTATCTTTTTTTTCCGAATAGACGATTTACTTGCTCATCTAATGGGTGTTAAATCATTGGCTGATACTGGATTAACTCGACAACAGTGCTTATTTCAATTACGTGGTAATGGAAATACTGAAGATTCAGAAAAGTCAGCATTATTTTTTGTTTATTTCAATTGCAATGTCGAAATAAAAAGATAATTCTAAATTCAAATAAAAACAATCAACAGTCTTAGTGTATTTGGATTATGAGTAGTAGTGGAACTCAGGTCGCATGTTTTATTTTATTTGGAACCCATCAGATGGATGTACCTGGGGTTCAGTATTGATGTTTGCACTGTGATTTAAATTCATTACTTATCGCGTTAAGCGCTAAGGAGTTATATATTAATCTATTAAGTTCAGGTAGCCACTGAATTTGTTTAACAGCTGTGATATTTATTCGTAAGGATTTTTATTATCACGTTAGTATTGGGGGTCGTCCAGTGCTTCCAGGTTTTTAATGATAGTTTTGCTTTGATTGGACCGACTCGATATATCCGCCGTCTAGGATTTCAAAAATACGAACAAAGAACTCAATAAAATTCAATCTTGATTATCAACAATGTATTAGTGCTAATCATTATAAATAAATAATTTGTTTATAGTATTGAATTTCGTTTTATTATACCCTGAATTTTCATGTATTAGATTCTGTCGGTTATATGGGAAATATGTAACGTAGCGTTTATACGGTATTGATTTCTTCTAGTATACTATAAACTGACCATTTTTCCTCTCCTCTTGTCTATGGGGAAATTAAATATCAAACAGGTTCTTGTTTGTATATTTTTTGCCAACTTTCTCACTAACAATTGCCATGCGCTCACTAGTGATTAGTTTCGAAAAGAAATTTCCGAAGTTCTAGTTAGGAGCTGTAACCAGTGCAGTGCGATCCGTGTCGGGTGTGAGATAGTTATCCACCACAGCCAATGGATGAAGGGTTCTGCAGGATCATGGATTGCTTAAACTCATTACACATTGTCTGATGCCATCTCTGTGGTCTAGACGTTAAATGTTCGCGCATGAGACCGAAAGTTCTGAGTGTGACTTCCTCGTGCGGGATCGTTGTTACACACTGCTGAGGAGTCCCATACTAGGTAGGACGAGACATCCATCCAGTGTTTTCAGGTTTTCAATGGTGGAGGTTGGTTCAGGATTTCGATGTAAGTTTTTGTGTCATATACAGCTCCCAAATGTATATGTGTATATTTAGAGTGTTATATTTAAAATAAATGTCAAACTGAAGTGTAGAAACGCTCATTTTTTGTATATGTCTTCATAATTTCCAATTGTTTACTATATCTCTTCTGTATACGGTTGGTTAAACATAAATTTAAATCTACATATAATCCGAATGACCATCAAAATACTGTATATTAATATATTGTGTTAGGGATAATTTTTAGTACTCTTGATCATTACTATTTTTAAAAAGTATCATCTACCTGTGATTCTATTAATAGAGTCCCACAATAACAGAATTATATATATTAGTACATTAGTCTAATTTGGTAGATTTCATAACATTGTAACAAAAGAAATCGACAAACAAATCACTCAGAGTGATACCTATAAAACAAGACAAACAAATAAACAAATATATTTACAATATAATTGATAAATAACAAATGCAGCCAACCGTTGATTACTATTATTATTATTATTATTATTATTATTATCCGGTAGAGGACTTTTGATGTGAACTAGGGATAGGAAATACTTCACTGATTTTTAAACAACTTCATATCGTGATATATTCAAGGTTAATAACAGTTGACTAGGAAATGTTTTAAGTGATTATTATCAAGAATGAACAGTAAACTATTTGATTTTTGATTGCTTCTATCTCATTATGGTCCACGAACTGCCTACAATCAATTTTTAAATAACTTGTATTATACGATTTAAAATAAGTTGTTTTTATAAGTAATTTAATTAGGAAAAAGTAAATTTATCTATTATTTTATTCTATTTAATCCCTTTCTTTCTTTTTAAAAAGAACTTGTGATCGAATTAGTTAATTCTATTTAGTCAGTTCAATTGTCTTTTAAAATGAAGATAAATGTTAACTTATTTGTAAGCAAAGATGGATAGTGGCCAGCAGTGGAATGCAGGACGCGCGTTCCGTCCTATTTGGGACTCGTCAGCTGGATGTACCTGCATCTCAGAGTTGATGTTCACTCTGAGACTTGAACCCAGTACCTTTCGCTTCAAACGCCATCGCATTATCCACTTAGCTACTGAGTCCTTATAGCCACTTGCTTGTGCAATGGGGTGAAGCTTAAATTCACCTAGTATTGTTTGTTTGAATCTTCCCATTGATGTTTAGGACTGCAACTGGTCAGTCTCTAATAGGATGAAACGCTAGGATTCCACTGCTAGCCACAATCCATCTCTGCTTACAATGCTTGTGAATCAAGGCTATATCGAGGCAATATGCACAGTATGCACATATGCCAATTAGAGACTGACCAGTTGCAGTCCTAAACATCAATGGGAAGATTCAAATAAACCATACTAAGTGAATTAACTTATTTAAACAATTTTATTCTAAAGAATTATAAACACCCTGAAATTGTAAATGTAAACGGCTTCAATCTCTTTTGGTAAATTAATTAAGATACACAGCTCTGATTGTTTAACTAAGAAGCGGACTGATACTAATAGTTTGTTTGTTTTCATTTTGATAGTTACATTAGAGCTTCAATCTATGGTATACAATCTTTGTTGTTGTCTTGTTTGTATAATTTGCCGAGTTTTGTTAAATATCTTAACAGAAAATATGGGTCAAAGTTCATTGTGCAATTTATCGAACTATTGTGTCATTATTTATAGATATTTATCTCTATGATTGTAATTTAAAAATAATATTGGTCAGAAAGCTAATTCAATAATACTCATTAACTGTTTACTAACATATATTGACATTATAGCAGTTGATTAATTATTTCTAATGTTCTTGGTTTTAATTCTGTCTCTTTATAGTCTTAGGTATATTTTAGGCTGTCCAGGGTTCCTCTACTTTCTATACTTATCCAGTTGATTTCAGTTTGGGCTAAAAATCACTGTTAAATGTTATGAAATCTCTATAAAATCATCTAAATAATTGATTCATTGTTGCCGTCTTTTGATTTGTATTCTTTCGTATTTTCATCGTTGAAATCACGAATGGATCTTAGCTAGAATATTACTGAAAGTCTGAAAACAGTGAATGGTCATTTCATCCTAGTATAAGACTCCTCAGCAGTGCATATCCGTGACTTTGTTAGCAGAGTTATTGAGTTGTCATTATTTCGATGTTTTGAACTCTAACCTGTTTAGTAGTCACTCTCTTTCAAGTAACTAACCATTCAGGTTTTTCGAATTCAATTGTCCTTCTGTATATTAATAATTGAAAGTTTTGTTGTTCAGTTAACATTCAATTAATATTATGATTAGTATCGTTATTAGAACACAAACTGAATGTGGGAAATGTTGTTTTTTTAACAATTAACACTTCATTATCATGCTTAACAACCAGGATATATTAATTATTTTACTGTAGATGTTAAAAAAGGACCGGTCAAGTAATTTTTTAACCTATTATTAAGAATTATTTATCTTTTACGTTTTGTAATCAGAAGTGATAATGAGTGCAGACAATTTGATCAGATAGTTAAAATTAAGCAAACCTTGTAGGTGTGATTACATAATATATTGTCCATACAATGTTATAAATGAAGCTGTTTTTTCTTAAGTTAAGCTCCATTGGAAATATATACATTACTGTACGTTTAACGTACAAGAGGTTGTCTCTTGAAATGAAAAGAGAAAGTCAAAATTTACTTTTCATTCTTTTCATGGAATTTTTTAATATTTAATGAAGTGCTAATTTAATTATAACATAAATAAATAATTATAAGGCTGTGAAACTACTGTAGTGGGTGAGAACTCAGGTGGGGAAAACCAATTTATTGTTTCATGCGAAATTACACTGTTTTGGTTAGATATGATAAAATTATTTGCATATTTTCCTTCATTTGTGCTTCACATGCTTCACGAGTCTTTCAATTCTGCTGTTATTAAAATTGCTCTCTCTGTCCCTTCCTGTTCCTTTCAATTCAATCTTCTGTTGTCAGGTATTTCACTTCTGATTGGTGCTACATACTACTTATATCTGCCAGCATATGTCACACTACTACCACTACTGATTATGTTCTGATTGATTTTCAAAACTATATAAATTGGTATAACATTAGCTAAAGCATATATGTCCATATCTTCAAGGGTATTCCAATGAACCTGAAACTAAAATATGGTACCACTTTAAACAGTAAAATATTTCAGCAGTTATTTAGCTTAGGTCATACTGTCAATATTAATAGAGATAACCCAACTTCACTACGTTTCACTGATTTTTCATTTCCAATCATTTAATTCTTAAAACTTGTATGAACGTTTAAAATCTTCTATAGTCGTCACAGAATTCATCTGATCAATACTGGAGTTTTAGATAATTACTGCTTTATATTTTCTACCTCTCAAATGACTGTACAGATCTATACATATAGTACTGATATTTCCTATCATTACAATTGTTTCCCGTTATTATTGTGTATGGTTTAATATTATGTTATATTTCAATACGAATAAGGTTGTAAACAGATGATGAGAACCTATGAGAGTTCATTCAATTTTGCATTAATTATTTTCACTACTATTTTTTAACTCCCATAACAATCACTGAATAGGGATGAAGTATCCAAACACTTCACATCGTTTACCTTAATATTTTCCTTATTTTTATAATGGCTGGAAGAATAGCTTATATTTTAGCAGTCCTTCATAAGAGTTAATCAGATTGTTGAGTTAGCTAATTTATATTGCCAATTATTTCCCATTTCTGGAAACAATAACGGATTTGTTAGATTTCAAATTTATTACTAACTTTATCTCTCTGTCTTGTACATTTCGTCTTTTTCCTTGTTTTAAAATTATGTATATATATAGTGCTGAATGGGATATTTTGTATGCCGTCACTGAAGCTGCCACTGATAATTCTACAGTTAAACCTGAACCAGCTGAAACTATTACTACTAATATTAATGCTATTACCACTACTGCTACTACATCTCAGACTGATGGCCAACCAGCTCAATTCCGAACTACCAATTCCGAGTCAAAAAATCGGTAAATATCATCAATTTCAGTATATCTATCTATTCATCTCTCTTAGTTATCTAATTAAGTTAGAAAAAATCTTTATATATTTTTTTCATTATTAAATTTTCATTTTCTTTTGTATATGAACACTTAATTCGTTCTGTTTTTTCATTCTTAACGGAGAAAAAATAAACGAAACGATCGTTAAATTGTTAAAACAAAATTCTAAGAAAAAAAAATCTCAAATGGAATGTGTTTATGCAATATACATTTAATATCATACGAAAAACAGCAATTACTTGGTTACACTCATTTACTTGAAAATTATTAAAATATGGTCGGGAGTAGATTCAACAAATCCATAGTACTACTAATAATAAAAACGAAATAATAATAATGAAATGTAACATGAATAGAGTAAAATTGAAATAGATTTTAAACTAACTAGACATCTTAATGTGTAATTGAGATAAAGTTTATAAGTGGTTAAAAATGATGATGATAATGATGATTTTGTAATTTATTTATCAAGTAAGTTTCACGTAGCTTGTAATTCAGTCATAGTGTTTGTATAAGATCTTGTGATACTATTTGGTTGTTTAAAGGATAAACTAGGTGGAGTGTGAATAAATAATATATTTGTAATATCCCAGCGAATAGAAAAATTAGATTTTCTGACGTTTCGTGACTCAGTGTAAGCCACTTCTTCAGAGAATAAATAACCAAATTAACATAAATCCAAGTTTAAAATTTTACAACGGAAGAACACAAATATTAGACGCGATCAATAAAAAAACAGGTCTGAATAAATTGATTGATCGCACCTAAAATTCGTGTTGTTCCGTTTTACTATATAAACTTGGATTAATGTTACCTAACCAGTGGAGTTAGCGTTTTTAGGACCGACAAACGTAAATATGTGGAAGATTTAGCGATGACAGCGGAAAAGGCTGCAAGAGAGGGAAACGTGAGACAACTGTATGATACAACAAAGAAACTTGCTGGAAATTACCGTCAACCAGAAAGACCAGTGAAAAACAAGGAAGGCAAAGTAATCAACGATACTGAAGAACAACGAAACAGGTGGATAGAACACTTCAAGGAACTCTTGAATCGACCAGCTCCACTGAACCCACCCAACATCGAAGCAGCACCCACAGACCTCCCAATCGATATTGGCCCACCAACAATTGAAGAGATCAGCATGGCCATTAGACAAATCAAGAGCGGCAAAGCAGCGGGACCAGACAACATCCCGGCAGAGGTACTGAAAGCAAATGTAACAGCAACTGCCAAGATACTCCACATCCTCTTCGGTAAGATTTGGGACGAAGAACATGTACCAACAGACTGGAAAGAAGGACTTCTCATCAAGATACCAAAGAAAGGCGATCTGAGCAAGTGCGACAACTACAGGGGCATCACTCTCCTCTCAATACCAGGAAAAGTCTTCAACAGAGTATTGTTAAACAGGATGAAGGATTCCGTGGACGCTCAACTTCGAGATCAGCAAGCTGGATTTCGTAAGGATAGATCGTGCACAAATCAAATCGCAACTCTGCGGATCATTGTGGAACAATCGATCGAATGGAATTCATCACTGTACATCAACTTCATCGACTACGAGAAGGCATTTGATAGCGTGGACAGGACGACACTATGGAGGCTTCTTCGACACTACGGCGTGCCTGAGAAGATAGTCAACATCATACGGAACTCCTATGATGGACTAAACTGCCAAATCGTCCACGGAGGACAACTCACCGACTCGTTCGAGGTAAAGACCGGTGTTAGGCAAGGTTGCCTACTCTCACCCTTTCTCTTTCTCCTGGTGATCGACTGGATTATGAAGACGTCAACATCTGGAGGAATGCACGGGATACAGTGGACAGGCAGGATGCAGCTTGACGATTTAGACTTCGCGGATGATCTGGCTCTTCTATCACAAACGCAACAACAAATGCAGGAGAAAACGACCAGTGTAGCAGCAGCCTCAGCAGCAGTAGGTCTCAATATAAACAAAGGGAAAAGCAAGACTCTCCGATACAATACAATATGCACCAATCCAATTACACTTGACGGAGAAGCTTTGGATGATGTGGAAATCTTTACATATCTGGGCAGCATCATTGATGAACACGGTGGATCAGATGCAGATGTGAGGGCGCGGATCGGCAAAGCAAGAGCAGCATACTTACAACTGAAAAACATCTGGAGCTCAAAACAATTGTCAACCAACGCCAAGGTTAGAATTTTCAATACAAATGTCAAGACAGTTCTACTGTATGGGGCGGAGACGTGGAGAACTACGAAAGGCATTATCCAGAAGATACAAGTGTTCATCAACAGCTGTCTTCGCAAGATACTTCGGATCCGATGGCCAGACACTATCAGCAACAAGTTACTGTGGGAGACAACAAACCAGATTCCAGCGGAGGAAGAAATCAGGAAGAAGCGCTGGAAGTGGATTGGGCACACTTTGAGGAAATCACCCAATTGTGTCACAAGACAAGCCCTCACATGGAATCCTGAAGGTCGAAGGAGAAGAGGAAGACCAAAGAACACATTACGCCGAGAAATAGAGACAGACATGAGAAGAATGAACAAGAACTGGAAAGAACTAGAAAAGAAGGCCCAGGACAGAGTGGATTGGAGAAAGCTGGTCGGCGGCCTATGCTCCATTGGGAGTAACAGGTGAAAGTAAGTAAGTAAGTAACCAGTGGAGTTCAACCAGGTTGGTTGGAAGATATCAATTCATTGATGACATTGGTGAATGGTTGCTCAATTTCGTGGATTGATTAAAGTTAGACACTAACACCGTTGGATTCCAGCTCGGTGGTCTGTCGGCTAGGCGCTCGCGCGCGAGACTGATAGGTCCTGAGTTCGAATCTCGCGAGGCGGACTCGTGGATGCGCACTACTGAGGAGTCTCACAATAGGACGAAACGGCCGTCTAGTGCTTCCAGGTTTTCCATGGTGGTCTAGCTTCAATTGACTCATGATCTCAACTATATAAAAGTACTAAGATCTCCACAAAACCCCCTTCTTATAATGATAATAATAATAATACATTTTCACGTTTTTCTTTATTTGTGTATACTAGCGATGATATCTATCAAGATGATACATTTAATAACTTAGATGAAGATTCATGGGATTTACAAGAAATCAGTATCAAAGCATGTCCATCTACTAATGACAATCAAGAGGTTGATGATGAAATTAATACTCAAGGTAATTAATTTATTAATATTATTATCTTTTTACATTATTGTCGGGTAGTGATGTTAAATAACTCATATATCGTATTAAGTAGAAATTAGCCTTGACATTCATTTATTGATTTAAGATGTTTTCCGTCTTTATTTTGTTTGTGGTAATTAGTTTATTGGCATTTTTCATTTAAGTGAGGTTTGTTCAGTTCGGTAAAGTCGTTAAGTAATAATCACTAAATGTAATCGATATATAATTAGATAAACTCGATTATGGCATTGATCTTCTCTGGTTTCTATCAAATAAATCTTTCTTACAAGATTTGGGCTTCGAAGTAATTGGTGACTAGGAGAGAAGGAAGCTATTTTCTCTGGTGTCAAATTGTTATCGAATCCATATCAATAATGATTTTTCATTCTTTTTGTTTTCAGTGGGAATGGGTATATTTTTAAGGATTGAGAATCAACAGGGAAACTATATATAAGTTTCATATTTTCTGGAGAATTATTTCGTCGTTAATTGGAACTCCTAATCAATACATACTTCATTTAGAATTAGATCTAAGATCTTTATCAACTATTAATCAACTCTAAAACCGATAGTATTTATGGTCCAGATTTTTCTTTTTAACTTTAGTCAATTAATTTGTAGGTATCAGTGCCAAGGCTGGACTTAATAGTTTCAAATAAATTGAGCATTAGGTAGAAAGTTATGTATTTTTCGTTACATTCCAATGAGTAGAAAAATAGTATTTATGATGTTTCGTAACTTCAAGTAGGCCACCTCTTCAGAGTAAATAAATAACCGATCATTTATTTATTTTGAAAAAAACTGATCAAGAAACGTCAGAAATGCAATTTTTGTACACATTATTATTTAGTAAATTAACTGCACATATTATGACTTCCTATCAGAGTATAATCTGAAATTCATAACCTACCTAATTTTCATGGTATATTATATCATATATCGTGCCCCCAAATGCCTTGGTACGGCCGAGAGTGTGGAGAGTTCGCTCTCCCTCTCGAAGTGCTATCACATGGCCACGCGAATATATAGCCTCTGCCAGGGAAGTCCTACTCACTGCCTTCTCGCATCATGGGTGTTGTTTACGAAATTGAGAGGACGAAGAGCAAATATCCGGCTCTTTAACCGGGTTGGTGGACACGGATAGTCTACCTTGGGGAGTTGGGAAACCCTGATTCCAAACCGATGGTGCACATAAGCTCCAGTATCCCGAGAAAAAAATGCCGTATGAATCGATCGTCGATCATCGGTTACCATGGGACTGCATCTCCTCACTATGCTCGACTGTCTTGTGGATCAGACCTTTAGATTAAAGGCTCTGGATGTGGCCTCCTAAGAAGACCACTCGCTTCAGTTTGGACACCTGGACAGTATCACTGCTCTCACACAAATCGAATGAGATTGGTGTGGGGCATATATATCTGGTGCCCTTTTGTACCAATATTTATGTGTTTGAAAAAAATCATATATTGTAAATCATTCCTTAAAATATAATAGTTTATTTTTGAACACGTGTTTTGAAGAATGTTTCCTATTATAATCTTTACAATGTGTAATATTCAATTGATGATCTAGTTTAATAATCATTTCACTATGTACTTTTACACATTAAATGTCAATCGTAATACAATCGAAAACAATATTTGTGTTATTATATTCAACTGTTCCTTTTTTGTTCTGATTTTAAGAAACTTTTTATTTTCTATTTCCAAAGTTCTAATCGTATATCATCCACTCACCCTCAACTTTTTTCTCTTTAAAGTAAATATCTTGATTGTTTATTCGAAAAAAATTATGTACATATTCTTAATTTAAAAATATTCTAGAAGCTGTGGCTAATCGATCCAATGATTCTGGTTCCGATGATAATGGCGGTAATAATTCATCGTCGAATTCATTACTTTGGTTTTTTCGTAAAGGTTTTAGACCTTCGAAATTACAACAACAACAACAACAGCAACACCATCCATTATCAACTGCTCCTATACATACCATATCATTATCATCATGTTTTCCATTTACATTTCGTTTTCAGTTGAATCGTTTAGAGTTGGGATACATTTTTGATAAGTAAGAATTATATTTTCTTTTTTCTATTTTTCTCTGTTGTTGTTATTATCGTTGTGGAAGGTGTACTTTTTCAATTGATCATGTTAATAAAGTAGTTTTAATTAAAAATGAATTTACGGTTGTCATATTCTCCCCTCCCCCCACTCGTGTTTTAAAATTCTTATAGAAAAGGTACTTATGGTGTAAAATGGTTGGGAAAAATTGAAACAAATTTTCATTATTTTTCTAAAATGATAATTACTAGGTAAAAAGTTTATATAAATAAAATAAAAAACATAATTATTTTAGTTTAGTTTCAATTAAAAGCTTGTTTTATTGTAGCCAAGATTTGATTACACTCTTAATGTTAGTTTAATGGACGCTTAGTTTGTTTTTAAGTTACATTAAATTAGTAAATTAAACAAAATGTATTATGCATAAAAGCTTTTGTAAATGTTTTTCTATTTTGTTTGTAATTTTTGAACTTGTGCCAAAGATTTAAACTTGGTGTCATTTCAATATATTTATGATTTGTCCTGAGTTGTTAAGTGGTTGGAAGGTGGTCTATTGAACATTCTGAGCTTAGATATTCGATAGCACTGTGTGCTCACAATTTCAAGGTCCCTGAATTTCGCTGTATGATTTGAATCTCATGTCAACCAACTTAACTGTCTGAGAAGTTACTCATAGGATTAATATTTTTACAATTGATTGGTCACTAATTAATGACCATGGTTATATTTATATAATCATTTAATGCTGGTCGAATTCTATTGATCAAGTTACTATATGGACACTCATCTATGTATTTGAAATCAAAATTGTTATCAAGTGCGTTTTGGAATGCAAAATTTTCTTTTTCAGTGTCTTTAAAAGTTTCAGACTTTTAAAAAGACTAACATCAATTGGAGAACATTTGATAGTCAGCATGCACTGTATAGTCCGAGATTTCGTTTTAACACTTTACACACCAGACTTCACACAGAATCGAACTCATTACTTAATGGAAAATAATCGTCTATTTGGAGTTTCTTCCTCAACGTTGTTTCATCAGTGGTCGATGTAAAGTAAAATTGTTTAAAAATCCTATTTTATGCATTAAAACACAGTTATATGAATGTAGAGTATTTGCTTCCATCATATTGTGCGTTCAAATTAATGAATAAAATAAACAAAAATGGTTTTAGAACAAACTCATCTTATAAAGTACGGGATGTGAATATTGGATTGCCAGTCAGATGAGTTCATTAACTGGTCAGTCAGTCAGTCAGCTACAACGTAGGACCAGGCACATTTATGCATCGGTCCAAGTTGCCATACCTCGTTAGCACAACAAGATGAACACCGGATTCATAGAAGTAATTAGTTTACTGGTGGTAGTAGTATATAACTGGAGTTTGCAAGTGTTAAAATAATTCGTATGAAATCGATACTTGATTCAGTTCTTGCATCAATTGAGATTATGAAACGAATAATTGAAATAAATATAAGTAAAATTTGTGTAAGGGAAATAATAATGTCAGTACTACTCGAATCACATATTTTATCAAAACTTACATATTATTTGAAACGATAGCAATCTAGTGAAAAATTGTAAAGTAAGGGGGTGTGTATAACGCTCGAAATTTGATGAGCTCGCCAATTATGTAGAGCTTCGCATCTCACCTGAAGGTACTTTAAATTATGAGAGGGGCGTGCGGAGCAGTGTGCGTGAGGAATGCTGGAACCGATCACTCGGCAACACATAGAATGCACTTACACCTAGTAATGAAAGCAATCGATAATATTTAGTAATGACATGGGACTAAGACAAATATTTGTAAGCAAGAGACTTCGAATCTAATGAAAGTGTTAATTCAAAAAATATGTGATCAATAAATAGTTATTGTTAAATCAGGTAAACTGAACTTATGGAAATGTAACAAGCGAGACAAGCTGCTAATTAAGCAATTATGTTTGCTGACGTATTGGCTGAGTTAGAGCAAGCAGATGAATAAACCTATTGCCAACACTTAGCGTCGATTTATAGTTCTAGTGCTTATTTTTTCTGCTGTCTGAAAGACTAAAAATGCAATAGATTGTAACTAACACGATAGACTATTGACAAAGAATAATTCATTTTGACTGAAAAACTCGTTTAAATAAAATCCGTCAAAGTGGAACTTTTTATCATTTTAACTTTACCTTTGTATAGTCATTCTGGAAAATGTTTATGCATACAAAAATATAAAATATATCATAGTAAGAGTTGGAATGATAAATGCAGATGGAAGTGACCAGTTTAGATAGTTCGTCTTTTCTTAGTCCTGATTTCACTATCGGTTGGATCGATAATATTAGTTATAGCTTCCTTACACTGAATTCATTGAGATGTATAGTTATACTTAAATGTTGAATTTATTTCACTATTTTGGTTTTTATAAAACCGATTAGTACATTTGTACCCTTTCGTGAGACACTTGCGAATTAGACTTTACAACACACAGATCTACATTTTATCATATATATATATATATATATATATATATATATATATATATATATATATATATATACAGAGAGAGTTGTATTACATTTTCGTGTGTGCATAATTAGTTTTTTGAGATAAACATTTCAACAAATCATATATGTATATGTGATATATTTCTTTCTATTTACATCATAGAAGTTTTACTACCATGGAAATTATATTATGCTCTATTTTGGCGGCTTTAGTCAGTATTATTGGCTATTATACGTTACGTACTGCAAGTTTTCAAGATTATGGACCATTGGCATGTTTCACTATTGCTGGATGTCATTATTCACTTATGAAAAGTGTTCAACCTGATCCAGCTTCACCAAAACATGGATTCAATCGTTTGATCGTATTCACTCGTTCATTTTTCTTCTGTTCTTTTGCTTCTATCTATCTACTAGCTAATTACTTATATCAACCACAGAAATCTGTACCATTTTCAGGAGTAATGTCAAGTATGGAACATATAGGAGAATTACGTTTTGAATCAATTACAACAATATATCAATCGACTAGGCAAATGTTACCATTAGATATTAGTGAAACATCAAATGAATTAACAGCAGAGAAAATAAATTGGCGTATGCCTAATTTTTATCATCTATCTCAATCTTCTAAAATGATTGTTGAACCTGCTTCTCCATCTACTTTTAAATTCTATGGTGTTCATTTGTCAGTAGATCGTTTAACCTACATAATTAAATATTCATCTATATATGTTCTATTAATATTTCCTATATTGTTTTGTCTTGGCTTGATGCCTCAAATAAACACTGTACTTATCTATGCTTTAGAACAATTAGATATTCATGTTTTTGGAGCAAGTGGTAAGTAGAATATATATATATGCTGGTTGTCTGTGGGCAACACTTTACTGCTGTCACACCACAGTAGTCTTTAGTACGACTTTGCTCTCAGATCTTAAGTTTCCGCTTTTAGTCTTATTATTCTTCAACCGACCAGATTGATATGATAGTACTTAAAGGAACAAACGTTCTAGTCAAGATAGTTGAACAGGCTCATCACAATAGGAAATCTTGACTAGCACGTCTAAATAGCAGCTTCTATTGGGATGTATATGTATATATATAATTTAATTTGCCTACAGAAAATTATAACTTTACTGATATACAGATAGTGAAATTTCATTGACAGACGAAACTTTGAGAAAAGATTTCAATTATTTTTTTTAGTGTTAAGATCCATATACGAAATGACTTGTTAAGCTTTTTCATTCTAGATGCATAGAACACCACTATATAACTGTCGGAAATGCAGGAGTAAATTGAAATATAACAAATGAATATTCGATAATTACTTGCCTAATCACTTAACTTTGTTAAGAACACTTTATTGTGTTGTTTTTTTCTGAATCTTCCACTCTCTTGGAAATATCTATGAAATATAAGTTTTCTTGCTAAACATAAGAAACATTTTTGTTTGCTTATGAAATAAAATATCACTTTGTCATAAAATAAATTACTGAATAATATTTGATAATGACACATTTTTGTATTCGATCTTCGATCACACTGTATTTATTGAGGACCAATTATATATCATTTTGTATAGTTGAAATCATGAGTCAATTGAGGCTAGACCACCATGGAAAACCTGGAAGCACTGGACGGCCGTTTCGTCCTATTGTGAGACTCCTCAGTAGTGCGCATCCACGATCCCACCTCGCGAGATTCGGACCCAGGACCTATCAGTCTCGCACTCGAGCGCTTAACCACTAGACGACTGAGCCGGCATCCAATGGTGTTGACTCATGATTTCAACCATACAAAATTACTAAAATCTCCACAAAATCTTCTGATATTTCGTTTTGTTGTCTAAATTCAAGTAAGTAGAAAGCAGAATTTTAATCTTTTACCCTTGTAATCTAAAATTGGAGAGGTTAAAACACTAAACTATCTCATAATACAAAATATAAATGTAACATATTTCGATAGGGGACTAACAAATACACCGATCTGTATTATAATTCACTGATTATTTTTAATTCAGTATATCATATTTCCATTGGTTAATTTAGTTTCACATTTCAGCACCGCCTGAATTTCTAAAAAAGATCTAATTACATTGGTTTTTAATCTGCTAAACAATAAATTGTTGTTTGAATGTGTTAAGGTACTTGAAAGATCTACTATAATTATTGCATTTTATCACCAGTATAATTTGATTCATGAAATTGTTGTTACATTTTCTGCCCGAGTCAGAATATTTATAAACCTTATTTATTTAACACATGAATATTGGTACAAAGGGGTACCAGATATATATGCGCGGCACAAATCTCATTTGATTTGTGTGAGGGCTGTGATACTGCGCGGGTGCCCAAACTGAAGCAGGTGGTTTTCTTAGGGGACCACATCCGGAGCCTTTGACCTAAAGGTCTGATCCACAAGGTAGTGGAGCATAAACGTTAACAAAAAGCTCTCATTGAGCTTTCATCCATGAAATGAGTTAACTGTTATCTATATTATATAAGGGAATCGTTTAGTAAATGTCTTTATATCTTTCCTATAGTCGAAATTATCTACTTCAGAATTCATTTTTATGTTCTTTGTGTATTTAGGTACTACTGGACTTTTTTCAGTAATATTATCTATTTTTCGTACATTCATAGTGATTGGTTTGACGTTTGTTCCATGTTATTATTCAGTACAAGTAAGCAATTATTAATCATTAAACTGAACTGATACTGTTCAAAATTAAACACTGGGAAAATGTAATCCGTTTACGATCGTACAGTTGTTTAGTGTTTAAAGTACTTGACTTTCAACTATTGAGGTCGTCTGTTCAGATTCAGTTTAAACAATAAGATATCAGTTGAATACCTAACTTTTGTATCTTAATCATGATTCTAAGCTAAGTGTACAAGTCTGTATGTAGTGAAATGAGTCAAATCTGAATTTATTTTGTTAATATGTTACACTTAAATAAAGTAAACAACTTGTACTGAATAGTACTAATTTCTAACAGAGTTCTTATTTCATTTTACCGTGGAATTGTGTCGTTCGAAATAAATTTGTTAGATTCTATCATTGTTCTATTATAAATATTATTATCAAGTGTAAGTGTCTTTGAAGTTAGCTTCTTACTTTCCAATCAGTAATGTTATCAACTGCCTTTCATTGCATTGGTTAAATACTTCAAATATTTATTAAGTCAATAAACTATGACGCAAATATTTCATGATTCCTACAACTATCACTAAATTAAACATTTTCTCATGTTCATCATTACATTTAGTTATTACAGCTTTCCATTTTAATTCATTTTTGTACTGTTTGTTAAAATCTTCCCATTGGTGTGTAAGACTGCAAATGTTCGATCAGTCTTTTATCAATGGGAATATTCAAACCATACAAAAATGAATTGAAACTTCACCTCATTGCACAAGCTAGCGGCTGTCAGGACTCAGTAGCTAAGTGGATAACGCGAGAGCGTTTAAAGCGAACGGTACTGGGTTCGAGTCCTGGAGCGAACACTAATTCAGGGATGCAAATGCATCCAGCTGACGAGTCTCAAATAGGACGAAACGCGCGTCCTAGATTCCAATGCTAGCCATCATACATCTTGACTTGTTATTTTGTCTCTAATAAAAGTTTTGTATCATTAAAGTTTGATTGTTAAATTTAGTCATTAAGTCCTTCGATTACATAACAATAAGATTCATTTCGTTCAATATCGACTGATTCAGTTGTTCAACTTTTTCTACTGTTTTCGATAATGCAATGAAAAGACGAAGTTTATCAGAATTATGTGATATATTTGCGCAATACATTTCGAACAATCTGATCACATATACTTGTTAAGTCATTTTTATATGAAAATTAAAGGTCAACTAGACAGGTTACGGTAAGCCGTAACAAGAAAAAATAGATAAAGTACACAAAAACAATGCGATGACCACCCTGGATAATAAATCGGCATTACCAGGATAGGTTAAGGGTAAGAACAAATTGTTTTTGAACACATAAAGGGGTTTCAATTTCCGTATAGCCAAGGCTTCAATAAACCTTAGTATACGTCCTTGAAGGCTTTTGTACAACACTACAAGCGCTGACTTGATGTCAACCTTATGACCATTTTCAACCAAATGTTTCGCAATGGAGGAAGATGTTTGTCTATCCTGTGATCTTATTTGACCATTGGAATTCATTTGGTTCTGCAGCCATTTAGGTATTTGTTCCGCCACTGTTTTATGCATCATTTTGATAGGAAAACTTTTACATAACAATATGTTCTTACGTAAGGCTCTCACATACAGATAGATAAACCAAAAATAAATAACAAAGAATAAATTCCTTTGAAAAAATTTTATAAACAAAAGATGAACAACAGTTCATGGATCACAATTGCATATCAGTACAAGTTTTCAAACTTTATAATAAATTAATGAAAAGGAACAAAATATTACTGATTCAAACAGTAGTGCAGAAGTAAGCAAAAAGAACCAAACGGAAAGATAGAGTGAAAGAGATACAAATTAGACGATATTCTCAGTTCAAATTAAGATAGAGAGTAAATCCATAAGGATTTTTTCAACTGACTTTGGGTTATATCATATAAAGTCATCATCAGTTAATTTTATTTGTCATATGAGTCTCAACCTCAATAGTCTTATAAACTGACTCTATGTTTGGAGTTTGGTTACTCTTAACCTTTTTATTATGTATCTTGAGAATTACAAGCACAAGACATCCTAGCAGACGACACCAGGGTGTTCAATGGTTCCATCATAAAAGAATAGTTCTCCCAACATATATATGATTTCGCACCTGTAACCTACTCATGTTGTTAACCTTGAAGGGTAAGACGGAGTGAATTGATTTGCAGCATGTTCATTCTTTGATAGATGAATAAGTTTTAAATTGCTTATTCTATCGAAGATCAATCAATTATATGTTGATTCCATCCTACTGAGGCTGATACAATTCCTACTGTCTGATTATTCATGGTTGTAAACTATTCGTATCGAGATATTTTACATTCCACACAGCGAAGCTTATCCTTCCATATTTAAAATACTTTGTGTTACGTCTGATATCATCTCTTCACTCTAAGTCTATTAGATGATCTCTAGCAAAAGGTTACTTCTTGATAAGTTAATTCAAGGTGCATTCTCAATAGACATTTCCATGAAGAATTTGAATGAATAGGAATAATTATGATTGACTATATTCAACGTAGCTCTTTTCAATCTCTAGTACTGCCACAAGCGTTTCGGAAATAAACTTTTACCTATGTATTGTACTTGTTAGTCATCATATTTTACGTCTGTTATTTCGCTTCTTGTAATTGTTTGTTCCTGTCAAATATGAAGATTTTTCTTTATTATCATGAGGTTGATTTAAATGAACTATCTCCCTCATTATTTCCTTTTTTTTCTAGAAATCCGATCCCCAATGCATGTTATTTTCAATATTTTGGGGTATACAAATTGCATTGTGCTTTTTATTAAGTCGTTTACCATCGAATGCTATACTGTATGAGGCACTTTTTCCTTCTGAACGTCGTATGTACTATTGGTATCGTATTCGAATGTTTTTCTACAACGCTTGGCGTAAAATAACTGTAAAATGTAACTTAATTTTTCAATCGAAAGAGAAAAGGAAAAAAAAGAAAACACACAGATCTCAATTAACTTCTATCGATAATTCTAATTGGTGGAAACGATTACCTTTACTGTTTCCTAATCTTCGTATGAAATCTACAAATGCATCATTTAAGAAAACTGATGAAAATGTTGAAGAATTTCTCCTTACTCGTCTAACACATACAAAAGGATGTGTAGATGTTGAGAGTGGAGTACCAGGTCAGTCTAAATGATAATAATAATAATATCAGAAGGGGTATTATGGAGATTTTAGCAATTTTATATTTGAATTCATTAGTCAATTGAAGCTAGACCACCATGGAAAACCTGGAAGCACTGAACGGCCGTTTCGTTTTATTGTGGGGCTCATCAGCAGTGCGCCCCACGTTAAGACGAAACGGCCGTCCAGTGCTTCCAGGTTTTTCATGGTGGTCTAGCTTCAATTGACTCATCAATTCAACCACAAATCCCCTTAAACTGACAATTAGTTATTCACTGGTGTAAATGAATTTTCTGAATTATATTGGTATAACTAGTTTTTTTCATATTTCAATGGTCATTGAAGAATAGTTATATGATAATTTTAAAATGTAAGTGCTGAATGTGAACACCATAACGCTTTATTCATTTACATTTTGTTGTTACACATAAAATTAATTCTCTTATGGAACTCTATAACTATGTAAAGATTTTGAATAGTTATCCTTTTCAGTTACTAGTTTTTTGCGGCTTGTGGTGATAAAACTGTTTACACAAATCAAAGTAGGTAGACACAGATGATTTTAATTTTCTGCTCAACTGATTCAATATCAAGTGTATATAAATATTATATCCTTAAAATAACATCTTATTACCCCACAGCTTTGTTTGATATATTCTTTATCACTATGTGTTAATATCTCACAAGTAACGAAAATGAAATATAATAAATTCCAAAATTAATTATAATAGATGAAGTATAAATTGATAATTATTAGTATGGGGATGAATTTCCTGAAATTCTAGTGAAAATCCGTGACCAGTAGAACCCCAATCTGTGTCGGATGTGAGACAGCTATCCACTTCAGACAGTAGATCAGGGGTTGCGCAAGGTCATGGATCGATTAATGTGTTAGACATTAATACTGTTTGATATCAGCTCAGTAGTCTATACTTTAAGTGTTCGCGCGCGAGATCGAAGGTCCTGGCTTTAAGTCTCGCGTGCGAGACCTTTGATGCACACTGCTGAGCACTCCCACGCTAGGACGAAACGACCGTCCAATGTTTCCAGGTTTTCAATATTAGCGTAGCTTAGATCGACTCGTAAATTCAACTGCTAAAATATTTTGGTCAGTTAACTATTTTTAACAAAAATGGGAGATTTTTTTGAGACGAAAAACTCTAAGATCTAGTTTGAATTTTAATCGAAAAAATAATAATAATGGTAGTGTAGCGTGAATATATATCCTATTTTGTGAATCTTCTACTATCTGCCATCGATTAATAATAATTAGTCATTCATAAACAAAGTAGAACTTCTCAAATATTTATGGGTCAGTTAAAGTTGCCACACACTGTCAGCATAGGAAGATGAAATCATCAAGAAAGTTGTCAGAGTAGTAGAAGCAACAACGCTATCAGTAGTATTGTGGTGAACGAGAACACAAGTGCGACAATCGAATATCTTAGTAAAATCTGAAAACTATACAGTAAATACTTCATTTGCAAAATGTCAATCAATAGTCTCAGACTTTATTGTTCCTTCATTTCCACACCAATCATTCTCTGTTCTTCTTTTCTTTTCTTCGATCTTCTTAACCTTCTTGCTCCAGGCATTTCACTTTCTATTGATGATACATACCACTTATATCTGTCTACATAGCACATATCACAGCTAGTAGTGGCAGATATGATTATGTTTTGTAGACAATATAATTCAAGAAGGAACAGTAAATTCGTTTCTTGGATTGGCCATCTCCAACTTTCTTCCAACCTACTCTTACACTAGCCAGCTGCTCGTTGAAGTAGTCAATGGCTGAGTCTACGTAATTATTTTAAATAATAGATTTAAATTTTTTTTATAACTTCATAGGAATGTCTTGATTAAGGCTGGAGATAACATGAAGGTAGGCTTATTAAATAATAACAGTACGGATTTCTTTTTCTCGACTATATCAGGATGTATAGCATAAATACAATAGTACTACTATTCGTATTGTTGTTATTATTTGCTGAAAAATCTTCTGTTCTTTTTCCTTTTTATTTTTATTTTTCCAAAGTTCAAAGTCATAGTTTGCCATGTCGATTGATCAGTCGAGACAGTTTAACTCAGTCGGCTTCTACACCCGCTATTAAATACAACTTATCTCATTTTGAATCACCTTCAACAATTGTTGTACCATCCAGTTGGATCGAATCTCAAGATGTTAATAATTCTGAAAATAAGAAATTCTCTACACTTGATAAAATTAACAATAATACTAATAATAATGATAATAATAACAATAGTGATAATAATAATCGTACCAATACATTACCATCATTTGTAATTGATCAGAATCTATCAGCATCTGTGAATACTCTAACAATAAGTAAAGATAATTCAAGAGTGACCACTGAGCAATATCAAACTACCGATTCAAAAATAACACAATCACAATTTGAAAATAATGATCCTTTACCAAATTTAATTAGAATCTCATTATTGGCACGTTTTGAAAATGATTTACTCTCTTGTATTTTATGGTTCATTTTAGCATTTCTTAGTCATTTAACAATTACTATAATCACTACTACTAATACTACTATTAATTCTACAGATTTTCATTCTTATTATTACTGTTACATTTTAAATTGGATCAGTGTTGTACTTGGTTTTCTGTTGCATTATGTTTGGCCTAATTTTAGAAAGGTGGGTCATTTTTATATCTTCTAATAACTTGTTTAATAATATATTTTGGGCGGAGTAGGTATGTGGAGTTGTTCACTTTGTTGTACTACGTCAAGGACTGATTTAGGCTAGGGATAACTAATGAGAACTAATGATCACTGGGCACCTGTTGCGTCATATAGTATTATCTTTGATCAATGCTCTCATTTATACAAATTGACTTTCATTTTTCGTATGAGTAAAGTGCACTCGTATAAAACAGTTTTACATTTTTGGTGTATTTAGGATGAAATCATGTATTTTATTGGCTTAATAATAAGTTGCATAATAAGTAGCATACACCGCAATATCACTTTGTTACATTAGTTTAATTTTGATGGAAGTTGACAACTGAAATTGTATAGATGAAAGAATTATTACAATATCAGTTTTATCGAACACATTATTTTTACGTTGTCGGTTTTGAAATGTCATATGCTTGAGAGATAAATATGACATCTATATTTAGGTAAAAGTCACTCTATCGACATAAAAGATAACAAAACATTTTTAAGGATATTTTTTTAAAGTAGTGTCGTCTTAAAGCAGCATTTGTAGAATGTGATGAATTGATGTGATTCCTTATAAGGAAATTCCAACTCGTTAATATCTGACATAATGTGTAGTTTGTAAATGTGTTACATCTACAATAGAAGCTGGTGATTATTTTTTCTCTCGTTTTTATTAATTTATTAACCAAGTGCAAATTAATGTACCTAAATTAACAGGCTAGGAGTGCTACCCAGATGAGATGCCTGAATCGAAATAGGTGGGGGAAGGTTCAAACTTGAGGACAAGTGGCTAAAACTCTAACTCCTTTAACCGCTTTGTCATCGCTCCACTATTTCTATTCAAGTATTTTTTTTAAACTTGGTTTAAATACTTCCTCTTTTTGTAAAGTAATTAGTCTAAAATTTAATTGTATGATTCATAATTAATTTGTAAATTATTGATGGTAATAACATTGTAGATTAAGTAATTCTAATGGTAGTAGTCTCTTTAATCAATACAAATGATTCTTATGATCCATCATGTTGTTCCTGATGAAATTTTGAACTACATTTCTTTGTCATTGAAAGACAATATATGATTTATTATTTCTAAAACTTAGCACGTATTTCAATGGTATGTGTTACTCAGCATAATATTTATTGTAGCTTTCATTTGCTGTTTATTTATAGTAAAGTAATTGAAAATTGGTATTCTGTAATTCTATCTTAATTTAGATTCCTTCTCATTTACGTCAAAACAGTGGATGTGTTATCTTTTCGTTTAATCTACCAGCGTGTTTGACTAAGCATATGCCTACTCTTGTAATTAGCTAATTAAAAATATTTTCTTACCAAGGAATAATAGATCTGAATCTTGAGCTATATTGGTTGGTCTACAAGAAAATAACATAATTTAATTTGTTATATTTTGAGTTATCCAATTGCCGTTGTCACTGATTGAATTTGGATCGTTTTTAGCTGATAAACCTACATCTTATTTGGATTACCTTGACGTAACCATTTCGTCACATGTTTTATAGAGTAGATGGATTGTGGCTAACAGTGGAGTCCAAGACACGCATTTCATTCCTGAGTGAAAAAAGATGCAGCCAATGAGTCTCAAAGAGGACGAATCCCGTATCATGTAATCCACTGTCATCCACACTCAGTCTATTCTATAAACTAATCTAGTATTTTTATGGATTTATGAAATATGTAGTATGGGACGAAAATATCTTACCGTATTTAGTAATGCTTCTTGAGATAATTCTATCTCTGGCTTTTCAGGAATCAGTCTCTTGAGTGTATACCTATATTGCTAAAGTATTTACAATGCAGATATAAATTGCAAAAAAATATGATCATAGATTTTTTCTGAAGTGTTGGATTTGTCTGATTAAACCATCATTTGAGTAATACTGAGCTTAGGTGCACAGTTCTAGTTAGAAAAAGAACTACAAACTTTAATCGGCTAAAGTTGTTAGAACACGTATTATGCTTACATAATGACAAACTATTCCTCTACGCGTTATAACCGTTAGTATAGGAGTACATTGTAAGAAGGTGAGGAACTACTTATCCATGATCTATGAAGTCACCAACTGCCAGTTTAATTTGTAGGGAAATGTGTAGATTTCCTAGTTTTTAACATACTTTAATTATCGTCTATGGTTAAAACGTATATTTATCGTCTATTGGAAACAGCTGCAGTATAGCAGTTGCATTAATTCCACCTTTTTGTAAGTTTTTAATTTCAATGTTATTCCTTACTTCTTACTCATTGATTTCATCTGTTTTTTCATTCTATATTCTGCATGTTTAATTTCGCTATTATTCATACTACTGTCATCTCGATTACCTTGCTTTCCATGTTTTCTTATTGTACTGATGTAAGTTATGATAACCTGTGGTAAAACACATCTATCCTACATCGCAAGTTGTCTGTAAATAATAACCCAGTTGAACACTTATGTCTTCAGGTTCAAGGTTGCAAATTATCATATTTTGATAGGTTTACACTCTTACATAGAAAATGTTTATTATTTATTTAATATACCATTTTCGCTACTCTTTTTTCCAGCCGTATCCATGGTTACTGCTTGTGAAACCTGTTGTTGAACCCGATCTTCACGGAAGAATTATTCGCTGGGAAGTTGCTTATTTTTGGTTATGTTGGTTAGAAAGAAACTTGTTCTTGCCTGCCATTACTATGTGTACAGTCACTCAATCTTTTGATTCAATGGCAGTGAAGTTTGGACCGTTGTAAGTGTTATGAACATATTTATGATAATAGTCAGTATTTTGTTTATATCTTGTTATTTCTCCTCGAAAGATCATTTATCGCCCTAAGAATCTTCTTTCTAGTGCTTGGTTCACTGATTTAATGAGCTGGAGAAGTGATTATAAGTTGTCCCATGGACCGATAAGTGAAGTCATCAATGAAACAACAAGAAAAAGTGAAGTGCTTCAAAATTGTAGTGATATCACTAGTTAAAGTTAACTGTCCGTTCTCAGGTAAGAATTCAGTGCGGTTGTCCTACACTAGATCAGTCATGACCGAATACCTCAAGGGTATCGTCTCAGATTGTGAAGCTAGGTTCGAATACCATAGAGACTACGTGACCCCTCTATGTTGCGGCTACCCCGTGGTGACGTGTGCTACCCAGCTTAAAACCCAGGTCTAGAGTTTGCTGCCAACTACTTCCAATCACGTGATATGTCATTGGGTTACTTTTTTGTTTGCAATAAAGCAGTATCACTGAACTATAAATTATAACGACATGTTTACTTGAAACTCATTCCATCTACAAATTTAACATTTGGATAATATCATTAGTCTTTATTGAGAAGTATGGCTTGGAGTTGAGTGTACGAATAAGTGTTAAACTTCTGATTTGAATTCAAATTCAATGGATCTTTTTAATTGTACAATTCTAATTTATTCTTCTTTTCAGACTATCCACCTTCATAATTATTGTATGTAGTATGAAAATGTTACGGAATGGTTTTTGTTGTGCAAAACAAACTTATCTAAGTTTGTTTTTCACAAATTTATTATTTTCATTTGATTTCTACAATTTTAAAGAAGCATTCCCTATTAATTATTTCTTTGTATCACTTCTTGTTAGCAAGGTGAGTTGAATATTTTTTTCTTCTACGATTGTATGTATAGTTCCTGCTTATTTACTTTTCATGTCTCTATAACACTCATAATTAAAACTGTAAGATAGTAGGTAACAGTATTTTATCTTGTTCTGAGATTTATTGAATGTGTAGATCGATGAACTACCGAAAACTCGTTCGGTAAATCAGTTCACTCATCATGCTAGCCTCTCACCACTAATTATTCGAACTGGAAAAGTGTATGGATTTATTTTAGTAAAAAGTTACTGATTTTTTTTATTAAGCTATTTATAATCAACGTAGGGTTTGACATAAGTTTATGTTGGCTCAAATTGCCATACCATATTATCACAACGATATAACACTAAAAAGATGAAGAATCGAGTGGAAATAATGTAGTAGCAATGAAAATAAAAAAAAGGAATAACCATGAGGATGCGGCTCGAAAAAGCAGATTGGTAAAGTACGTATGGAAGAATACGGGAACTGAAGATCTGGAGTAAGATAAAGAATGAATACCTTTGTGCTGTTGTGACCAAGTAATGTTACATAGTCTCCAACCACTGACCGTGGTTATCGAGCGAACCCCGACCACGTCGTCTTCACCTACTGATATGGCCCATATTGGTAGTCAGTGGGTTTATACACTGATTTCATATCTTGGCTCGGTTACCCCGTAGCTTTCTTCTTATTCCCAAAGTAGAAAACGTTGCCCATCATGGTAAGCGATGGGTAGGTGTACGTAATAGAAATCCTAGTTATACAGTCAATGAAGGTTCACTATCTCACCAATCGATTTGCCATTTGTTTTTTTGCTATCAACAGGTATCATAGTTCAGTGGAGAAAGTTACTTCAATATGTTTGTATTACTATGGATGGGCGAACCAGTCCATCAAGTCACTAACACATAGATTTAGTCATGCTATTAGGTATTGGTTTCGTAGTTGGGGTCCACGTGTTTATCGTAATCAGCGGTTTGCAATGGCATAAGTGCATCTATTCTTTGTCTTCCCCCAAATTCTAATATTCTAACTTCCTCATGACATTTTTTTTGTTTTTATTTCATTAATTTATATTTTCAAGTTGAATCTTTGATCTCTAATCTTTCCCATTACCACTGATACTGTTATTGCCTCTACTATTCGGGAATTTGGTCTGACAACATCTCTGTGCAATGGGGTATGACAAACAGAACCAATGTACGTGCGTACAAGTTCTACGTTGTGTCTGACTAGTTGGTGTTTGTGTTGGAGAAAGTCTTTGAGACACATGCCCCACATACATTGATTTAGTTCCTTTATAGACTGGTGAATGACTTTTATACAGTGTGTGTTCATTGAATTCAGTCTATAGTCTTTATCACATTGTAGAGAATGTTTTCAAACAATAAGCAATTTAAAGATGAGGGATATTTAGACTTGTTTATTTACCGTTTTGATGTGTCATAATAACATTTATCTTGCATTGTGTATTATTGACGTTTTGGAATCGTGTCCCCTTTCATCTTACAGGGCATAAATGTGTAGTTACGGATGAAGTCGCAAATATTTCATGTATCTAATAAAAATTCTCACTTATCTTTCATTGCTTATATTACCTCATTGTATTTTCGATCGTAATTGGATTATTTGACCAAAGACGTTACTTGTTTTTTGTCAGGGTTTTGTAATTTACTATTGTCAATATTTAGCACGGTAATTGTACAGTTTCTATTTCCACGTGTGGATTTTGAGTGGTCTGCCTAGATACCAGATAATGTCGTCCCTTCTTCGTATATTTGGTATTAAGCTAGCAGTCAAATCCAGGACGCATTTCATCCTACGTGAAACGCGTCAGCCATTTACCTTCTTGCTTATCAGACAGGTTATTGATTACTTAGTGTCATAAGTCCGTTATATAATGTGTTGGGGTTTTAAAGCGAAAAGTACTAGGTTCAAGTTTCAGCGTTAACTCCAATAATTGATACAAATATATGCAGCTGAAGAACCGTAAATTGAATGGAACCTGCATCATGGATACCGTTAATAAACGTCTACCAAATTTTTTTCACGACTTATTTTCTGTTTAATCTTTTTGTTCGTTTCTAGTATCCTTACTGAACGTTCTGTTGCTTGTTTCTTATTGATTCTTTCAAACAAACCTTATTTCTATCAGAGTTGGGTAATGAATAGCAATGGAATCCAGAACCTAGGTTTCATCCTATTTGGGACTTTTCAACTGAACTTAAATCAATCATAGTGTTGGTGTTCACGTCGGGGTTCTAACACAGTACCTTTCGCTTAACACCTTATCCGTTTAGCTACTGAGTTCATATAGGTGTTTGCTTGTCCATTGATAATGAGCTTTAAATTATTTATAGGGGTTGTTTGAAACCTTTGTCCTTCATGTTCAGAATTGTGATTCATTAGTCCGTTGTTGGGATATATTCATCCATTTTGGATGAACTAAATATTGTCGTTAAGTTACAGAGATTTCAAAAACAACCGTACAGGTAGATAAAAAAAATTTATTTCTATGTGGCATGATGAAACGTGTTTATAATAATCTAACCAATCAAATATTTTCTCTTACTTCTTAGTTTATTGAATTATTCCGGAAATTGCATTTCATCTATGTATATTTGGCTCCATTCAATATTATTTGGGGTTCTGTTGCACATGCAATTGTGCAACTTGGCTCAATTCCTCGTATCCTTTCTCAAAAAAAACAATCAATTAAATATCGCGATGTTTTGCCCAACATTATTATAAAGTTTAATATGTAATCAGTGTAAAAAGTCACTATGTTTTCCGAAATTCAAATCATACAGCTCTTAAGATCGAAACTCAGTAACTGAGTTTAGGATTTGATATTTACTACCGTTTTTTCCTAGGCTACATCTTTATTTGGTTTGAAGGTCACTATGACTATCCGGTCAATAAGTCTAACAATTATAAATACTTTGGTACTGACTGTGTATGCACCACTTCAGGTTGGCATAATTCACATTTACATAACAAGAGGAGATTAATATGCTGTAAAACAAAATAATATTCTACGAATATTAGCAAGTAGGGAAACGTTTTCTTAAAGAAAAGAGAATATATTTTGTTATATATGCTACTTATGCTGACAGATAAAAGTAGTTCGTAGCATTAATCGAAAGTGGAATACCTGTCAACAGAAGATTGAAATGAAGAGAATAGGAAGAAAATCGAAGAGAAATCAAAATACCAGCAGAATTAGAGGAATAATGGAGTATGTGAAGGACAACGCAAAGAAGACGCGCAAATAATGTATTTAATGTGTGGTTTTCATATTTTAGCAAAACATTGTGTAATTTTGCAGGAAACAATGAACTGATTTTCCCCACCTGAGTTCTACTTCACTAAAATTTGTGCTAATAAGCACAAACCGTTTCTAAGTCACATAAGTATCTATCTAAGGTACTAACGATTTCAACAAAAATTTGGCAACCAATTAAACTCGGTCTACATCTGCTTACTTTCACGTCGACCGACCATGTCGAAGAAGAATCAAAATAACGGCAGAATTAGAGGAGTAATGGACTATGTGAAGGACAACGCAAAGAAGATATGCGAATAATGTATTCAATATATGATTTTAATATTTTACTAAGACACTGTATTTTTCTGTATGAAACAATAGGTTGATTTTCTTCATCTGTGTTCTACTTCACTACATTTGAAGTTGGATAGTATGTAGTAGTAGTAGTTTTCACGATACAAGTAGTTCCGTTCTACTTAGGACTCCGTTAGTTAAATTTACGTAGATCTTAGTTTTATTGATCATTAATCAGTCATGGTCCCTTAATATAAACAACAGAAATATAAATCATTACAAATAAGAAAAAAACTAAGTCAAAGGTAGTTCAAATAGAATAAATCAGATTCAGGAATTTAAACTTATAGAGTAGTATCAAAATTCAATACTTTGGAAAGAGATGAAGAAGTGAGTACATCTACATTACTGTGAATTTCTTCAAACGAAAACAGCTGAACTCATTTTCATTTGTTTATTTTTTTTTAAAACTTTCTTTCAAAGTACTCGAACGACTGTCTTCGTTTTTTTGTTTTTTTTAAAATATAATCTTGATCTTCTGAAAAATGTATACAGTTTATTCATTTCTAAGTTATATATTTATATATATATTTATATCACTTTCTCTCCATCTCTATGATCCTTAACAAAATTCATTTTAATGCTTTAATACAATTAATTTCTAGATTCTGTATTCCTATTCGCTAATTGCATTTTTTCTACAATTTTATCAGCACCATTGGAACCTTTTATGGCTAGTGCAATTTTTATTACATCTTATGTTAGACCGATTTGTTTTTGGGAGACTAATCATCGGTATGTTGTATATGTATTTTTATAGTTTAAAATATTATTTTGTATACTAGGTAGATAAATTTTAGAATACATCTTTATGATATTTTAAAAAAACTGTGTTGGCTTTTATAGTATACTGTTATATGTTTTAACTAATCTCATATTTTCACTGTTGAATTCACCAGTCCATCTAAGCTAGACCACCATTAAAAATCTGTAAGCTAAAGAATCCCATACTAAGATGAATCGGTCATCCAGTGCTTCCAGATTTTTAATCGTGGTCTAGCTTAGATCGACTAGTGAGTTCAACTGTTAAAATACTATACTCTCTACAAATCCTCTTACTGATAATCTCAAATCACTAAATACACATTTCCGTATTTGTTTTATAACCCATATTGTTTGTTTGATGATTAGTTCTGTATTCACCTACTTGTATCGTACTAAATGATACGGAGTTACGACCAGCAATCTGGTTAACAACTTACCGGATTAAACACTAAGCTGCCATTTTGCATAATATAATGTGTATATGCATGTATAATATACTGTGAGTCTTTTATGATTTAAAATATTCAGGACAATAAATTTGTCTATACTTTATATAATACAGGTCAGGTCAGTTTAATGTATACAGTTAATTTGATTGTTTTACATCTGTTTCAATTAAAAAAATTAATTTTGTGGTTATTATGATAATTACTTATTCCGTATGATACATTTGTTCTGTAACATATACAAATAAAAGTCTTGTCAGTTTGAATTTCATGACCTCAAGATTTTACTGGTACAAATAAAAACCTAGCTGTTAACATACTGGGTGTTTAATGGATACGCATATAATGCATGCTGTATTTTCTACAAGTATATCATTTATTTATATAGCGTGTAATGTAGACAGTATTAATAACTTGAAAAATTACTTCTTACATTTATATATAATGGGTATAACGCATTTTATTGTTTTGTTTATAAAACACCAACAGCAAATCCACAGATTTTCTAAATTTATTATAATGAGGAATGGATGGTGGCTAACATTACATTCCAAGACGCGCGTTTCGTCCTATTTGGGGTTCATCAACCTGCATGCCCATCGAGGAAATTCGCATAAGATGTACGCCTGCCAATCACAGACTGATCAATTTCAGTTCTAAACAATAATGAGACGATTCAAACAACCGATAAAAAAAGAGTTTCTAACTGTAGTTATCATATCGTTGCTAGAATTTATATCGATTGCGTGCGTTCTTGTCCAGTTGATATATATGATTGAGTGCGTATGTGTACGCTCCCTGTTTAATATATATTAACGTGCTGATTCTCGCCAATCAGAGAGGAGTGAATTATCGATTTGATCAATGATACACAAAAACCGTATAAACAGTATTGAGTACTTATCAGTCCTCCTAACTGCCTAACCAAGCCAGTTAAGTCCAGAACAACAATAACAGCCTCTGCAATATGAATCATTATTCTCAAACATACTGGGTCTATATACCAAACAAACTGACCATATCGTACCATAAAATAGAAAATAACATGTGTACAAGATTTGGTCAAATGTGGCTGTGAATAGGGGGAACAGTAATTAATGGGCTGGGGATAACTCAAGAATGGTAAATCGTATAATAATAGTCTATAAGTCAAAATAAAGCTTAAGATAAGAGGGACACGAATATGAATAATTTAGTTACTTAACAATTATACAATAGGAAATATACATATCACATTGATCCGTCATAGTTCTTAAAGCTACCATTCATAGTTTTCCACAGGATACAACACTAGACTATGCAGACGTTCCCATAACTCAATAGTACATCACAAAAGTTGACGTAATGTTACAAGTATTTTATGTGGTATGTGCACAATACAATACTACAACGTATCACAGTTTCTATCTGTCAATAGGTACATAACTAGGTGATTTAAAACACTAATCTGACTAGCGGCTAAATTTTTAATAATTAATAGACTGTAACTTATGAAATCTATAAAGGAATAAAGAACAGTCTATGGTTTTAAAAAAGCGGCTTACTAATATCAAGGTTTAAAAGTAACTTAAATTTAATAAATATTTCATAAAAATATGCTGGTAAATGTTATTAGCAAAATATATTCTGAATTTTAATTACTATGGTTATTTTTTTGAAGATGAATGTTATGACTTGAGCTAGCCGTCGCCAATTTGTTGTTTTTGACCTAGGCTGTATCCAAATGTTATGACTTGATCAAGGTCGTCACTGATTCGTTATGACCTTACGAATTTAACAAGGACGTAATTCGCGTAAATTATCCACCAATAGAATACACCTTCTACGACCTTCACACTGTGACAATGACGTTCGATTAGTATGAGTAATCTAGTGTCCTTATTGGTCCTTATCCGCCTAACCCGTCCACTTGAGTCCAAAAACACCAATAGCAGCCTCGGCAATACGAATCGTTTCAAGCATACTTTGTTTATATATCAGACAGACAGGCCACATCATATCATAAAATAGAAAATAATATTTGTACAAAACCAAACCAAATGAGGCTGTAAGCGTGGGAGACAATAATCAATAAACTGAGTATAACTTAGGAACAGTAAATCATACAATAATAATCAATACGTCAAAATGAAGCCTACAATAAGATGAGTATAGATATAGATAATCTAGTTACCGAATAGTTATACAATAAGAATGATAGTCCAATAGTAGGTCCTGCAAGTTACCCGTACTTATGTCTTCGCTACTACATAACAATGAATATATGAATACTACTTTTATTAAATTATAGTAACATAATGAGATACTTATTTCATTTAATTCATGAATTCTATGGGTACATAATACGTAAATACTCCGTTTGTGAATAATTTTTCAGTTGATAATATTGTGTAGGTAATGAAGATAGAAAAAAAAATTCTTATTTTACCGTTTTGTATTGTAGTTTGAAATTTTGTCTTTAATAATTAATATGGAGAAAATTATCACGAAACCATAGTAACTGCATAGAAATTATCAATGATCCTTACATATATAAGAGTAATTCTGTTTGTCGAAGTCTATCTGTTCTATTGGTTGTCATTCAAGTATGCAATTTTCTAATTTTATCTCATTGTTATTTTGTATGCAGTTTCTATGGTAGAATCCAGTTTTTTATTGCTTCTTCTTCGTTTATTTTTTTTCGGTTTTCTGTCTCTCTTTTCAACTTGTCGACAAGTTTAGAAAACACGGTTCTTTTTTTAGCTCAGTAAAAGATAATAATTCCGTAGTTTTGGTTGTAGTTCTACTTAATTATTTTATTGTTCTTTTTTACATATATAAAGTGATTGTATTTGTTATATAATTGAAGATGGTTAGCAGAAAAGCCTTAAAACTAGATGTTGTAACGATTAAAGTGAAAAGTATTGGATACACGTCTCAATGCGAATGCAAAAATTCAGATAGAAGTACATTTGTCCGACGATTCCCAACCAGGACGAAATCTCCATCATTGTTTTCACTGCTAATCCTTATCCACTTTACCGATAGTTGTGTTTCAATATCAAATACAGCAAGAAAAGACTATTTAACATCTGCAGGGAAAAGTCGAAACACGTACAAATACGGATGCTTGTAATTTACAAACTATAGTTGTCATCAGGTGTCGTAAAACAGTTGTACAAATTGTTATTAGATCACTGTATATATAAAGAGAGAGAGTTCATGTTTATTTTATGTTTAATTTTCAATTTCTTGAAGGACACAACGAATAGAAACTACTAATATGCCTATAGCAGCTCAATTAAAAGGAATTTCTAAACATCAGGTATCTGGTAATCTGGATGGCATATTTTATGAACATTTAACGAGGAAATTACAACGAACATTAGCTGGTGATTTACAACTTGGACGTATTGGTGGATTAACCGTTCAACATGGTGATGTATTTATTTTGTCAACTGATGATTTAAACCTGTTGATTCATATTATTGAAGTTGGCAATGGATTCGTTACTTATCAACTACGTGGTCTTGAATTTATCGGTAATGATTTGATAATGAAAGTTTTCTTAATTTACATAAGTTTTCGTTTTGATAAATTATATTTGTTTAGGAAAGTAAGCGTCAAAATATTTATTTTTTAAGTTCAGCATCACGTATAGGCTTTGATTAGATAGTCATCGGAAATTAGGAAGTGCTGAACAGCTACTGTGATATCGTATGACGCCCTTCTCCAGTGATCATTCATGATTAGATAGTCATCGGAAATTAGGAAGTGCTGAACAGCTACTGTGATATCGTATGACGCCCTTCTCCAGTGATCATTCATGACTTCATTAAGGGTCGAATCGATGACTTCCAGGTCTCGCATGCGAACTCTCAACCTTTGGGCTGCTGTAAAATTGATGAAAAGCTTTTAAAGGAAGCCATTCTATTAACAGAAATGGGTAATAATCTAAAATTTGCAGTACAGTGTGAGTTTGCTGCACTGTAATGTTAAGGATGTTAAATCTTTAGGAAACCAACATACTGAATATTTTATTGTTTTTATTTTGTAAATTTGGATTCCTTATTTTATTCTACACATTTCATAAAGGCTATTCTTCATTTTACTTACCTTGTCTACAGACACTTGATTCTTATCAGTTCATGTGGTCAAGTTTTTTCTTTATTTCTAAGATTATTTTATTTATATCTGTACCTATGTTGTTAGCTGGAATTCATTTTCTTTAGTCTTTACTAAATAAATCTTTCTTACAAGATTTATCTCCCAAAGTTAGGGCTTGTAAGAGAATCGTGATATCTCAGTATTAAATACTGTTAGTATCGATCGTCAGGGAGCACCAGTTTTCTTAAAATTACAGGTATACCTTGCTGACGAGTGCCAAGTTGCACTAAACCCAGGTCCAGGGTTTCCTTTTGACCACCTCCAACCACCATCTTATTTTAAAATAGTGCACGCAGTGTCGAGCCAAGTAGACTAGTGGTCAAATTACAACTTGATCAATGGCATTCAATCTGCACTAAGAAGGACTTGAGAAACATGACATTGATCGCCACCCAGTGATCAATTGTGAAATACTGTTAGTTCTGAACATATCATTTAATGAAGTCATTGAGTCATCTCAGATGCATCTCAGACCACTTTTTTTCTCACAAATCACATCAGATTAACAAGAGTGATTATATGAAATTCTAGAGAAAGCTAGTATCAAGAAATATACTGCAAAAATGTTATGTGATGTAAAATCTATAAAAATTAACCTTACAATACAAATATTAATTTTAAAATTACTTTTTATCTAGTTGACTATCAATGTAATTTTGTTTGTATTAATTAATTTATTGAGATTATTCATTCAATTAATATATGTTCAGTTGATAAGTCTCTTAATTAATAAATACTGAATACAATCATTATGTAATTATATCTATTCGATTATGAATTAATCTTATTTGGTTTCAATTAAGGGACGAGTATACTGCGCGACAATTTGCTCTGTTCTACTCTACGGCTGCGAAATGTGGCTATTAAGAGTAGAAGATACTCGTAGGTTACTAGTATTTGACAGAAGATGCCTTAGAAATATTGCTCGCATCTGCTGGGATCACCGGGTAAGTTTAGTGAGGTTAGACACAGGGTATTAGGGAATGATGGTAAATCAGTTGATGAGGTGATGAATCTTCATCGACTGAGATGGTTGAGCCACGTGTTATGTATGCCTGAACACTGATTACCACGACTCGCTATGCTGACTAGTATTGGAGATGGTGGGAAGAGAGTTTGGGGCGGCCAAACCAAAACGTGGCATCAAAGCTTGAAATCACTAACTTCTAATCTGAGCCATGTTGGTAAATTCAGACTACTTGGTTGGGGTCCGCGTGACTATCGTAATCAATGGTTGGAGACTCTAGGTGACATGGCTCAGAATCGACCACAATGGTGTAGGTGTATACACTTTTTATCTTCACTTAAACCTTAAGATTAAAATTGCTTCATAACGTTCTACTTTCCTATACTATATCCATATATACAACCTATCTCTTATATATTACCACCGCTAAGTTAACTACTTCTATGAATTCGGTGTCTATCTTGTTGTGCTAACGAGGTATGGCAACTTGGACCGATGCATATTTGTACCTGATCCTACGTTCTGACTGACTGGTTTCATTCATTTTTCTTAACATATTTTATATTTCTGAAGTGTCGAATGTATGAGAGGAAGTTGTTTTATCATGTTATCAAAGTGTAGTTATCGCTATATTGAGGTTTCTTATTGATTGTTACGTATCAATAAGGCGTAAATAGAGTTTTCATGACATAATTTTTCTTCATTCTTGTAAACTGTTTATTTAAAAAATGATCTCTTGTAAAAAACTAAGATAGTTACACGAATTAACCACTTAATAATAAATCATTTCATGTCATTGACCTCTTGAAGTTAAAGTCTGAATACCTAAACACTTACTATGCTAGGGCTCTTAACTTACATCCCGGTGACCTTTTTGATCATGAATCATGTTCAAAAAGTTTAATAGAATTACTGTAAATCATTATTTTTCGAATAGATATATTGGTTTGTCATCAGTTTGAATAGTTGATATTTTTCATTTGATTTTTAAGATTGGTTTGTTTGGTTCCCAATAATATAAAAACTGTTTAAATAAACGTTTGAATTTATAAATTAGTTGCACTTTTAATAGTAATCAACTGTGGATAACATTTTGATGTTTGAAGTAATGAGTATTATTTTCAAGTTCCAGTATGAAAATAAACAGTCAGCTTTATTAGTGTCTCAAAAACAGGGAAATATAGATGCATATTCTAAATTTCACTGTTATTCGCATTATGATATGTTTAATTTTTGAAAATAATATTTAATTGAATTCACTTAGTATTGTTTGTTTGGATCTTCCCATCGATGTGTTTAGGACTGCAACTGGTCAGTCTCTAATTGGCATATGTGCATACTGTGCGTATTGCCTCGATATACCTTAATTCACAAGCATGGTAAGCAGAGATGGATAGTGGCTAGCAGTGGTTTTTCCTTCCTGGTTTTTCCTTCTTAAGAAATAATCTTGTTCAACCATTATTTTTATTATTATTATTATTATTATTATTGTTGTTGTTGACTGTCAGGTACTTTGTGTCATGCTAGTGAATCAGAAGCATTACGTTCAGATCCGCATAAAAGTAAACGATTCTGTTGTTGTCATTCAAAAACTATTCATGGATTGTTAAGCTTCAACACGGCTGTTCGTTTGCGTTGTATGACATGGCAATTTGCATATACACCATACATAGTTGAGGGTTATGAAGTTACTGATCATAGTGCTGGATTAACATTTCAATTGACAGACTTACGGAAAGTATTGATCAGTCGGTTTGTTCATGTAAGTAATAATTCCATTTGTTTTTCTTTCATCATAGTATATCCTTTGTCAGAGGCGATAGTTTAATTCTCTTATCACTTCATATTTCGATGACCTAATATTTTACTCAGAATTCTGAAGTTAATTGCCCTTTGGATTTAGTTATCTTGCACTTATCAATTTCGATTCTCCGAACTGACAAAAATCGACAGTGTTAAGGTCTAGTTTTTTCCATTTATAATTGACATCAAACACATTTAACCATGGATTTTAATTGGCCATAGTCAATAAGCAAAAATGTTACGGATTAATGAATGTTGGTAATTTATTACAATTGGGAGTCGGATAATTAAACATCAATGTCTATGACTGTAGTCATGAAAAACCACTGTTATGCTTACTTTTAGTATTTATCAATCGGATGGTGCGTACAAAAATCATGAAGTCGATATTTAAAAATTTATTCTTTAACTTTCAGGTGGTCATAAATAGTTTGTCATGTTGATATAAATCCTTCCAATCACCTGTTGTGAACTGAGGTTATCGATTCTGTTAACGATAAACAAGCCTGCTATTAGTGAGCCTGAGCGGGTCCTTGAGTGTGAAGAAAGCATTTGTTAGCCAACCGAATCAAGAAGTAACTGTATACTCATATATATACATATTCTGGAAATTCAAGCCACAGTTTTCCATCAATTTGGTATGTCTCATCCGTTAGAAAAAGACATCATATCTTGGTTAATCGCAAGGCCTATCATTTCATTTACGTCTGATTAGCCTACCGAATCATCAACTTCAACTATTCAGCATTGAAACACAATGAACTTATTGTTGAGTCACTTAGGCTGGTGTTTACTTTTCAATTTTGTATGTAGTGTTTGATCAACATTAAACGAGTCGACAAAAAATGACGTTGTTCATTAGTGTATATAGTTCCTTTTTTGCGATAGAGATAAGTTACTTTCTAATCGAAACACTTTTACGTGATTGAGTATTATTAATATTATTACATAATCTAATAAGTTTAACATATACCTTTTATCTCGTATTTTTCCAGTGCATTATTTATTATGTTTGTAAATTGCCGAATTTGTCAAATCGATTAACACAACTAACACCATGTTTAGATTCCAATCGATTTTTATCACCAGATTACTTTGATTTGGATCCTGTATTTTTCAAAGCAATTGATGATGATTTTGATGAAGATGTTAGCGGTGTTACTAAACAACGTTTTATTCAAATTTATTCTGATTGGATAGCGTATTGTTTGAAAAAGCAAATTGGAAATTCAGTAAGACTAGCTATTTATGTATACCATATCAGGTTTTTGGTATTTGTTATATCTATCCATATGATGAGATTTTTTAAAATTATTATTTGGTTAGGTCCTTTGCCGTGTTCTGCTTTTCACTCCATTTGCTATAAACTCTTCCTTGGTACACCAAACTCACTAGGGAAAAACATAAACTGAAACGATTAAAATGCTTCAACTGCGGAACTGAATAAATATGTTTACAAATCATTAGTATGTATATGTTTGTAGGCTACTATGGGTTTTTTGATAGATAGTCTGGTCTCTTTATCTTTGCATCTCCCTACGATGCTCCACTGCCTTGTGGATCACACCTTCAGATCAAAGGCTCCGGGTGTCGCTCCCTAAGAAAATCACCTGTTTCGGTTTTGGCACCCGGGAAGTACCACAGCCCTCACACAAATCAAATGAGATCTGTGTGACGCATATTTATCTGGTGATTCCTTGTACCAATATTTATTTGTTCAAATAAATAAATAAATAAACTCGATTATACGTAGCAGTTGAAATATTTTTTTATCGCAAATCTTCATATCTTTAACTGTTGTGATATATTTATGCCATTTCATGTGGTACACAGTAAGTCTGTTCTTTGTCAAATGTGAAAATCAACAAGTCGATATGTAATTTTATCATTTATTCAAAATTGCACGGTTGACTCACAGCATACATCTCATGCAAAGTCTTTAAAAGTTGATATTTTCTTAACTGTAAACTCCCAATGTATACTCAGTTATTACTATTATTATAAATCTGATCTGATCTCTATTATCACTTGTACCTTTTTCGCAATATATTTGACTTGATCGTCGTTAATTTTGCTATCATTAGCTTATTTCTTACCCTAATTCATTTACTAAATGTGATAATTACACCAGTGTACATAGTAAGCTTTGTATAACTTAACAAATTCAATCGGTTTTCTTCCTTTAACGTTTAAAAATAAACTTTTAAATACAAGACAGTAATAATTTCTTCTAGATCAGATTTTACTTTTTATTTTTCAATAAAGATAAAGTAATAATAAAAAAATATCTTTTCTTCTTCCAGTCTGTACCGTGTGGTCCTGATTCACCTGTGGTGTCGTTATGTTTAGCCTTAAGTTTACTTGGTAGGCGATGTATGGGTGGTCAACAATCATCAAAGCCTATGTAAGTATTATGATTATATTAGATTATTTATAGATTTATTTACCAAAAACAATGATACTATATCCAGCTGTGTAATAGTCTTGTTTTACCTTCTAAAAAACAAAGTGAAGGGCAATTGTATCATATGTGTTCACGTTTTTTGGATTAAAATGAATCTGTTTTTTTATTATTTGCAATCATTACTATTAATATTCACTTTCTTTAGTTTGGATCAATTCTTGCATGGTGTCCACCAAGTATTTGCAGGAGATATTAATTTAGTCCCAAGAGATGATTGGGTTCTGGTGGATCTTGATCTTCTTCAAACTGTTGTTACTCCTAGTGTTCGTATTGCATTGAAACTGTATCAAGTTAGTAATTTTGTGTGTTTATTCGTCTTTCAATTCCTTATTCTCTTTTTCTGTTTTGTTTAGTCCTGGTTATTGTTAATTTTATCGCTTTCATATCTAATCATTTATAATTAAATTAAGGGTGACATTTCATTTGTTATGCTCACAATGAATATTAAGTACAGTACTTACGTTATTATTATCGAAATACACTAAAATTATTATAAATTCGATTCTCTGACATATTGTCAATAGATAATTGATAATATTTTAATGAGGAATATCTATAACGTGTTTCGACTTAGCTTCAGATTCCTTACTAGTGTTCATCCATAATCACATTGACGATTCATCCCCAGACCCTTCAGATCTCATGCCTAGCCTGCATCTTTAGATTATTGAGAATGAATGAACTACTAAAACTCTCGATTTGTGATAAATATCTATTATCTTTCAACATAATGAATAACTTAACAACTTGATGAACTTCTTTTATCAAAGTATTGCGTAATATTATTAAAATCACAAACCTACCTAAGTCAGATTGCTGTTTCACATTTTGGCAATAAAGACTACCTTCAAAATATATGACTTTTTGCATAGAACCGTTTTTTTAGTTGATTGTTTTATCTTTATTGTGTTTTTTTACATTCATTTATGATTTGATTTTCTCGCAGGACACATTTACATGGTCATCAGGTAATACACATAGTGAATTATACAAGAAAATTGTTTATACAGAGAAAAATGTTGTGATTTGTCCAGAAACTGATCCAAAATGGCGATTTGCTGTTTTAAATGATGCTGATTGTTTATTCTCATTTCGTTGGGTATCTGGTCGTACATCAATGGATGTTTATCGTATTGTTCAGCTAACTAAGAGAAGACTAGAATTTAGAGCTATCAAAGTTAGTGTTTTACTAAACGTAAAAAAGTTCTCATTTTTACCTCGTTTTTTTACGACAGTTATGACTTTAAATGTTATTGCCATAGATAAATGTCACTTTTGGTATCAGCAAGCATGAATGACCCTTGAAATTTTTATTATCTTTCCTGAGCTTCATTAATTAAATATTGCTATGGCATTTAAGTGCTTTCGGTGCCTCATTTTGTCGTGTATTTGTGTATTATTACCATCAAATCAGCTATTGTTAGCTCTGTCCTGTTGTATACATAGAAATCGACTTTAATCACATCATTAAGTCGTAGAGAAGATTTTAATGTTGTTGAGTTGTCCATGGTAAATGGTTTAATCGCGGAGTTCTCATTCTCGTTCTTGACAACATCAGCACTTTATTTTGAAGTTATCTACATAGTTATTCCGTGAGCTTTCTGTTGTTCATGTTGGTGAGACTAAAGAACATGGACGAGCCAATCAGAAGCTTTCGCAGGTTTTCAAGGTCACGGCGCTAAGTTCGATACCTGACGCTTACGTACGGTCGGTTTACAACGGATATTAGAGAAAACGTTATAATTAAGCGTCTACAAGATAAGTTATCATAAGATTTTGGCGCAAAATTCAATTATGCATTTGGATAGAGTTGTGGCATTACAGCTGATGTCAATTCGTGATGAAAACCCTAAGTATAATTCCTAACCTTAACTATGAACTGTAAATCATAATTTGAATTCTTCACACGGGTTTATAACCCTCATTTAGTCTTAGTTATTACGTTGACACTCTCATATTCACTTTGGCGTCGCTCAAATGTCGTCCATAATTTATAGTCTCATCTTTAACCCTAAACCGTAAACCTAAACCTTAACCCCAATCCCAAACCATACCAACATACCGACAACACTGAAACTATGTGGTCGAGGCTGAAAAAATTTTCGGAACTTTATCATGGTTCCAGAGGTCGACTACTATGGAGCCACAGGGATGAGTTCCTGTGCCGGATGCACTATGATTTTAGAACTTCTGAACCTATATCTGACCTTGATAAGTTTTTGAGTCATGTAAAAGAACAGTGTCCCCTTTAATTTTTGAGTTTCGTATAAAATATTTTTACTGTATACTGACTGTCTTCTGATTGGCTAATATTTCTCAAGATCATTAAAGATTCGTTCAAAGGTCGTCCATGTTCTTTAGTCTCGCCTTCATGTTTATAACTATTTGTTGTCTAAGGTTTCGTGATTCAGTCTAGTGGTAGATTAGTATATGGATTGTCTACGTTAATGGCAGTCAGAAACGAAACGAGCCTCTAGTATTATGGAAAAAAGTATTAATGAGTCTGATCTATTGTACTGCTTAACCATAAACAATACTAGAAAAAGCGGTAACTATTGTTATTTGTATTTAGTTTTTCCACATCCTTTGTCTTCAGTTATATTTTTTAGAATTTTTTGTTGATAATAGTTAAATCCTGAATGTGTTCGAGGTTTATGGGCTGGTCAACAACGTGAACAAATATTTTTACGTAATAATAATGAAGAACGTGGTAGTATACAAAGTGCTAATCCAGTCCTACGGAATTTAGTCAATTCTAGTTGCGATCCACCAATTGGTTATCCAATTTATGTTAGTCCTTTAATTACTAGTTTTGCTGGTGATAATGATGATTATATTAATGTATCTGGTGGAGAATTATCGTTTGTTAGTATACTATTACGTATATGTGATTGTTGGAGACGTTTTCGTCAATTATGTGGTTGTAAAAAAGAAAAATGTGATGGTATGTGATAGTAAATATGATTTTTTGTCGAAATATTCATTCGTTCTTATTAATATCTTAATAGATATATTTGAAATAATTTGAAAATGGTTATCATTGAAGTCAGCTTACATTCTTTTTTAATATCAGTGTGTGTGTATAATTATCAAGTATGTGTATCACTTAAGAGTATCGTTTACAATTTCGATACATTCACTGAAACGTGCATTTATATGTATATTGTGTTATATCATATGGATCGCGTATATGATATCAAAGAATCAGAAGAATGCAGTCAGGAATAAATGTCGTACTCGTTGTGTTGTTAACGAAAACTTGGTGAGGAAAAGCAATTTATTGTTTTATGCAAAAATACGCAGTATATTTGTGAAATATAAAAATCATACATTAAATACATAATTTTCATATATTCCTTCAGTTGTTTTCTACATACTTCATCATTCTCCAGATCCTGTTGTTATTCCAGTTGCTCTGCTTTTTACTTCCTCTTCTCTTTCACTCTTCTCCTGGTAAGCTTTCTACTTGCTACTTATTTCTATCACAAGCAGCACCCACCACGGTTGCACAACTGTGTGATTATCTGAAATCAGTAGCTACGATGAACAATTCGTTAGACGTTTGAAGCGAAAGGTAATTGATCCAACTCGCAGTGTATAGTTCAACACTGAGATGCAGCTGATTGATTCCAAATTAGATGAAATGTATATTTTGAATTTCATTGCTAATCACAGTTTATCTATTCTTTATCAAATGTATATTTAGTTTATCTTATTTTAAACATATCAACGTATTAATGGAAACAACTCACCAATGGTCACAGTTAATTTATTTAATACCATGTACATTTTTGCAACAAAGAATTCTCTGCTTAAAAATATGCAATGTTACAGTGTCTCATAGCCATTCCAGTTGTAAATATTGAAAAAACTGTCTGTGAAAATATTTTTACTAGTGATTTGTTTTTTTAACCCTCTTTCTCCACAAATATTTATGTCTATTTGGTATTTTCCTCATTCTATTTCGTTATAATCATCTGTAAAAATACGAATAAAAGGTGAAAATATCATTTACTCTGCTAGTCCTATTTGAATTTCACAATCATCAGCTCCACAATAGGTTATACGATTTTGTTGTAACTGTCAAGATATTTGGTCACGTTGTATAAATTAATCAAAAAGAAATAAATCGAAAATAGGAATATTTATTGCATTATTTAGAATAGTTGGAAATTGTGTATTTATTTTATTTTATTTAAACATAAATATTGGTAGAAAGGGTCACCAGATATATATATACACCTCACAAATCTCTTTTGATTTGTGTGAGGGCTGTGATACTGCCCGGGTGCCCAGACCGAAACATGTGGTTTGCTTAGGGGGCCACACCCGGAGCCTCTGATCTAAAGATCTGATCCACAAGGCAGTGGAGCATTGTAAGGAGATGCAGTACCATGGTAGCCGGTGACCAACGATTGATTCATACGCTATTTGTTCCCTCAGCATACTGGAGCCCATGTGCATCATCGGTTTGGAATGAAGATATCCCAACTCTCTTAGGTGGACTTTCAGTGTCCGCCAACCCGGTTAAAGTGCTGGACATTCGCTTTTCGTCCTCTCAATTTCGTAAACAACAGTGATACCACGAGAAGGCATTGAGTAGGACTTCCCTGGGAGAGGCTGTATATGCGTGGGCGTGTGAGAGCATTTCGAGAGGGAGAGTAGACTCTTCCGACTCTCGGCCGTACCAGGGCTTTTGGGAGCAGAAGTTTTCAACTAACTGTTAGAATAAAGTTTTAGTCAAAATCATTTCATTTCAAAATCTCTTATTAGCTGCAAATAGTATAGCAAAATATTTGCATGTTAACTTTGACTCACATTATTTGAAATTAATTTGGTTACAATATTGAAATCCATTGGTTTATTGCCATTTTTTGAAAAGAATTAATCAATTTACAATACATTAAATTCTGAAAAATTATTTTTCAATATTCTTTCAAACGTATTCAGCTTATCGAGGTTATACTTCAGTGAATGTGTTGATAGATTTATCATTTCTGCTACTTAATATCTATTAGTGAATACTTACAATTCAACACACATACGTGGTAACGTTATTAATACAAACTGAGATGTCTAATTTAAATGGACTTGTGTCTTTATTGAATAACTGCATGATAGCTAAAACTCGATTTAATGGAGTTAAATTTTAATAGTTGAATTCGTGAGTCAATCTAGGCATCCAACATCCCTCACGCGAGACTCGAAGCTAGGACCTTCGATCTCGCGTGCCAACGCTTAACCTCTAGACCACTGAACTGACATCGAACATTTTTAATGCTTAACTTCAATCGATTCATGATCTTACTCAACCCTTCATCTATTGTCTGACATGAATTGGATTCCACTAGTCACGGCTTCTCACTGCTGAGAAGTCCCATACTAGGACGAAACGGCCATCTGGTGATTTCAGGTTTTCAGTGATCGCACAGATTAGATCGACTGGTTAATTCAACTGTTAAAATTTCCACAAATCCCCATTCCGAATTAATTTTTTTTTAAACCTTTTCATTCCATCTAACCAAGTGTCATTCCTAAAATGAGTAATCTGAAACTGTAGATTCAGTTGCTTTCTTGATTTCTTATAGTGGATTACTGTTATATCCCGTGTAGATTTATGAATGGTAACTTTGAGAACTATTTATGGACCAATATGATTTGTATAGTTCCTATTGTATTGTTAAGTAACTAAACTATTCATATTCGTGTCCCTCTTATCTTAAGCTTTATTTTGACCTATAGACTATTTTTATATGACTTACCATTCTTGAGTTATCCCTAGCCCATTAATTACTGTTCCCCCTATTCACAGCCACATTTGACCAAATCTTGTACACATGTTATTTTCTATTTTATGGTACGATATGGTCAGTTTGTTTGGTATATAGACCCAGTATGTTTGAGAATAATGATTCATATTGCAGAGGCTGTTATTGTTGTTCTGGACTTAACTGGCTGGGTTAGGCAGTTAGGAGGACTGATAAGTACTCAATACTGTTTATACGGTTTTTGTGTATCATTGGTTGATCAATAAATCCACTGTTCTCTAATAGGCGAGCCAATCGATATAACAATTACATAATATATACTATAAATTTGATGACGATAAGGTATCATTACCAAGTTTTGATTTGATAATTTTGAATAAATTGAGCATTGGGTTGATTGTTATAAATAAATTAATTTATTTGTAATATCCCAATGAATAGAAAAATTAGATTTTTTGACGTCTCGTGACTCAGTGTAAGCCACTTCTTCAGAGAATAAATAGCCAAATTAACATTAATCCAAGTTTAAATAGTACAACGGAACAATCCAAGAATATTAGGTGATCAATCAAAAACAGGTCTGAATAAATCAATGTCACGTCATTTCATTGCGGTCAAGGTGATTCATAAGTGACTTGTGAGTAATTTTGTGTTAATAATGACAAATATGTGACCTCTATAATGAAAAAGGATAGAGTTTAATTTGTAATGTAATGGTGTGAAATTGTAAATAATATTAAACTGGTTGACTAGGATAGATAGTCCTTTCTTTCTATTGAGGGCAGTGGGATTAAGCTTAATCCTAGTCAACCAGTCTAATAATTCCTTGAAAAAGCTTGGACCAGATTGCCAGGCGAAACGTTCGATTTAATTAAAATTCATTCGCTGAGATTTTACAAATATCTTATTTATCAGAAGGGGTTTTATGGAGATTTAGTATTTTTTATAGTAGAAAGCATGAGTCAATTGAAGCTAGACACCATGGAAAACCTGGAAACACTGGACGGCCGTTTTGTCCTATTATAGGACTCCTCAGCAGTGCGCATCCACGAACCCGCTCGCGCGAGATTCGAACCCAGGACCTGCCAGTCTCGAGCCGAAGCCCTTAACCGATAGACCACTGAGCTGGCATCCAGCGGTGTTAATGTCTAACTTCAACTGATCCACGAAGTTGAGCAACCATTCACCAATTGTCTTCAGTGAGTTCCTATCTCACAACAGACGTGGTTTTGAACTCCACTGGTCACTGCTTCTCACTAGAGCTCCTAGTTATACTTCTCGAAGTCACTAGTGAGCATATTATTATATTAATTATAGAAGGGGTTTTGTGGAGATTTAGTATTTATCATTGTTGAAAGCGTGAGTCAATTGAAGCTAGACCACCATGGAAAACCTGGAAACACTGGACGGCCGTTTCGTCCTATTATGGGACTCCTCAGCAGTGCGCATCCACGAACCTGCTCTCGCGAGCGAGATTCGAACCCAGGACCTACCAGTCTCGAGCCGAAGCCCTTAACCGATAGACCACTGAGCTGGCATCCAACGGTGTTAATGTCTAACTTCAACTGATCCACGAAGTTGAGCAACCATTCACCAATTGTCTTCAGTGAGTTCCTATCTCACAACAGACGTGGTTTTGAACTCCACTGGTCACTGCTTCTCACTAGAGCTCCTAGTTATACTTCTCGAAGTCACTAGTGAGCATATTATTATATTAATTATAGAAGGGGTTTTGTGGAGATTTAGTATTTTTTATAGTAGAAAACTTCGTGGATCATTTGAAATATATTATTCCTATTTAATGTCAGTCTAATATTATTTACAATTTCACACCATTACATTACAAATTAACTCTATCCTTTGTCACTATAATGGTCACATATATTTCATCATTAACAGTGGACACATACACACAAAATTACATCCATGTCACTTATGAATCACCTTGACCGCAATGAAATGACGTGACATTTTCGTGCTCGTGAACACATCCCAGCGTGTCTAAGCAAAGGTCTGATGAGGAAAGTAAACAGCTCGATTTTGGCCCATTTAGTACAAACCGGTCATAGTGCCAGTAGAAATGAATCTTTTTCAATTATTTATAGGGTCAGTAACTTTTTGCCTAAGCTTGTCAGACTTAAAGTCCTTCAAACGGCGGAGGCAGTAGCCATCAGGATGAAGAAACCGGAGCAATGCGTACAGAAGAAATATCTCCAACCCCTGCTCCTCCCTTGGCCAACCACAAGGCCAATTAATCGATAGTAATCTTAGCTATTGGATGACCTAATTTGACCATGTGCTTACGACCTTTCGTAGTCAAATGTAATTGTCTCTGTTACCTTTATTCATAATCTCCCCTATACATGATTCATTCACTTCGCATTGATCCCTCCTTATTACTTCTTATTAATTTTTCACACAGTTTAGTATTCCACTTGATCAAATTGTAATTGCACTATCAAATCTTTCACCCTATCTGGTCCAATTTTCACTTAACACATAAGTTGATTCAAGTTAACTTTTCATGAGTCATATCAACATTAACAATTTTATTCTATTTGATTTGACATTCCTAAATTTACATGCTTTAAACGATGTACTTTGCCTTTAACCTGGCCATTTTTCGGATTATTAATTAATTTGGATATATAATTGTAGAACCTGAAGAGAATTTATCGAAAAGAATATTCTTCGTCCAAATATTAGTCTTTTAATATGATTGGGATTTTTAAACGATTACAACTTAATCATTCATTAAATAGTTTAACTTAAAATGTTTAATTATATGGTTCGGAAAATATTTGCGTTTCACTGGTTAAGTAAAGTATTTTGGATTTTTAATAATCTTAATGGATACTACTATTATTAACAATATGATGTGAATATAAGTAATATTTTAAATGATTGTATTCATCTTCCTTTAAGGTATTGAGGTTATACGATTTCAATATGTTTCGTAAATATATAAGTAACTCATTATATATGAAAAATTATATTTGAAATAGTCTCAGCGATTGAAATATAAATAATTCCCACGTTTCGTCCAGCTAACTTGTCTGGACTTCTTCAGGGAGATAATCAAAATCATCAAAGAAATATATAGTGTTTTTTTTAACAATCATATCAAAAACTCTACTACTTTTTAATCCAATCATATTTAGATGCCGAATTTTTGTAAACATGATAATATGAGTCAGTTGAATGAGAATCAAGTGAAAAGTTCAGCGATGTGAATTAAAGGAGACTGCATAAATTGTGTGTATGTATGTATGTGTAAAATGAGTTATTAGTGAATGATATTCAGTATTGATATGTTTCTAGGTGAAGTAAAAATAAGAATAAAAGTGCAAAATGAAGGTTGAAAAGTTTTTTCTGAATCATCGAAATTGCAATTAAATGAGAATCATCAAGTACATAATTGTAATGCTAAACATAACTCATATTGATTTCAGTCATAATAACGATTCATGTGAAGTAGACAGGTTGAATAAAAGAAAAGGTCAAATTACTTGTTGATGAATATTTGCCAAGTGGTAGCTAGCTGAATACCATCCTTTCTGTTTAGGCTATTCTTATTCGCCCATATATACAGCGCTTCTGCTGTCAATCTTTCTTTATGAGTGTTGAATCCTTTCTGAAGTATTGTGGCCCCTTCAAAATTAATCATGTGTCCCGTTTTCAACGCCTGTAACGCTATTGCAGACTTATTCTCAAGTTCCCTTAAGTCAACCGAAGTTTTGGGAACATTTTTTAAACATTGTTTGTGTTCCTTCAACCTTGCCTTCAATTGTCTGGATGTTTCTCCAATATAAGCCGCATTACAATCATGACAATTTATCTCATAGACAATATTTTGTTGTTCTTCCTTTGGTAACCTATCTTTAACCTTCACCAATGACGATCTTATAGTGTCACATGTTCTAAAATACACTCTTATATCATGCTTGTTTAAGATCCGTTTGATTTCTTCCGATATTTCACTACGGTATGGTATGACTACAGTGGACTTCCAATCTTTCTGTACACATTGTAGTTTAGCTTTTCATTCCTTTCTAACAATCTTCTTTAAAAACTCTTTTGGGTAATTGTTATCCCTAAGTGTAGATAAAATCCTCTTCAATACACGGAATATATAAGTAACTCTTTCTTCAAATCTACATTTGATTCAATATATATTAAAGATTATACTGTAAAACTTGATTGAACTTCAATTATCTGAGGATATTGAAAATGTTTAAGTTGGCGTCATTAGTGTTCGCTTTGATGTATGGTGAAAAGAACAACATTCTTGTGCTTATGTAAACTAAAAAGGTTGTTAATTGATGGGAATTTTTCTCGTGTTTTAGTAATATTGTATTTTCTTCCGTTCTCTTACTAGTTTAATAATTCAATACACTGAGTAGTTGTTAATTAGCTCATAGCACTAATTTATGAAATCATTGACAGTTGAACTGAGCCATATAGATAGGTTCAAGCTATTTTATTCTAGTCGTTGAATTCTTCGTGAATAATAGTTGGAGTAACTAGTCTTAAAATCAGTCAAACTGATGCAGATGTAGTCATTCTTTGTCTTCTCTATGATCTTGAGTTTCACAATCATATTATACGCTTTATTACGCAAATTCATTCTTTCTACAATTATATTGTTTACATCTAGTCTTTTCGAACACTGATACCAATATTTCTTCTACCTTTATGTAACTTGTCCTGTTAATTACGTTTTGCTGTGATAAAGTTATGTTCTAATTTGAACTGATGCACATATATGCCAAGTTCTAAGTTGAATATAACTAAGTATGAATTCATTGACTCCAATCTCAATACACGGAAATCATAAGTGTTTTCTTTTAAATTCCCCAATTTAGTTGTTGTTATTGACGAATTTACGAAATAATTATGAACGTTTCGACATATATCGATAGAAATAACTCCTGGTTCTTATAGATTTTCGACTGACTGAACATTTATATCTGTGATTTATTTTTACAGTGACATTAGTCATTATATTGACAATACTTGATATTTTTCACATACCATTTATGATTCGTCATTTGTTTACTCCAAAATTTTGAGTAGCAGAACAGAAGTGAACCAGTCAATGCAAAATATATTAACGTTCAAACACTTGTTTGAGATGCATATTTTCATTCAGAATATTTAATCTATGTATTGTGTTGTTTTCTCATTTTAATTTTTCAAACTGAGTTGATATATTAAAAGCTCAAATCTCAATCATATTCATTAGAAAATTTCTAACCGAATACATTTAGGATTATAGTTGCAGAAATAGACAGTAGACAGGAGAAATTTATTTTTATTGCAAGAGGTTGCATAGTATTTACATAACACATATACATATCGTTCATTCGCATCTTCTTGTGTGCTCTGCAAATCTGAACTGTCTTTTTTCTTAGTCTCTAAGTGTTCTGTCAACGCTAGGCTTTTGAAGCACTGAAACGTTTCACTCTGTCTGACAACTGTTGCAACTTCGATGTCATTTTTCTCCAAATACTACTTACAAATAATCTTCACAGTAGCGTCCAGTAAATATTCATCTGAATTGAAGTTTTAACCAAATTTCTAATTTATTTCTTTTACAATCATCGATGTTTATTTTTTTATCTTTAAATTTTTATTATTTCAGGTCAAATTGAGTCTACAACTAATCCATCATTATTTACACGTTGTAATACAAGTCAACAGCTGAAAACTAATGTGTCAAGTACCACTTATAATAAATCAAGTACTCAATTGGCATTGTCTACTTATCCATCAACTAGCAATGATAATGATAATCTTGGTAAATGGTCTTCTAAACAAGTAGACTGTAATGAGGAAACAACTTTAATTGCATTAATTCATCAACAAAATGATTTAGATAATATAACTGGAGGTATTTTGTCTGCTACGACAAATAAGTTTCGTGAAAATTGTCATTTTGATCATATTTGTTGTTCCATTGACCAATTGTATAAAAATAGACAACAAGTTATAGTATGTTTATTTTTGATATTATTTCTCTCTCACACACATACAGTCTTATTATTGATTGTAGAATTCTATTTTTCATGATTTCATTTACTTAAACTGTACAATCATATTTATTGTTAATTTTATTTACTAAACCAAAACGTGGCACAAATCCATGAAGTCATTGACAAGTGGACTGAGTTATGTTGATAGGTGTAGACTACCTGGTTGGGATGCGCCAGATGATAACAACCGATGGTTAGAAACCTTGAATGATATGGCTCAAAATCGCTTGCAATGGCGAAGGTGCATCCACTTTTTGTGTTCTCTCAAATTCTAATCCTCTGAATTCTTCATGTCTCTATCTTTTTCTCTCTTTCAAAATTTAATTCACCAGATTATACTCCTTCAATAACATCTTCAAACCCTAATCTTTCGGAATACTGCTTATACTCTTACTACTTCTACCACTATGGGATTTGAATGGACAACTGCATCTCTGTGCTAATGTGGTATGGCAATTCGAACTGATGTATGTACGTACGAAGTTCTACGTTGTGACTGACTGACTTATTTACTAATAATAGTGGTCTTTAGTAGTGTAGAATAGTGTTGAATAATTAAAACAATCTGAAGTGGTATCGTATCTTGCAGTATTTCTCTGCCCAACTATCTAAATGATGACTACAATCAGTTAAAAACCTAATTTTAAAAAGTTTTGAATAATTCTGGTCACTTCACTTCACTAGAACCCTCGTTCAAAATAATCGACACAGTCAGAAGAACCGGCTTGAGAGGAATGAAATTGATAAGATTCATGTACAGTAGAGGCTATAGCCATTCATCAATTCACACGTTACTTCTGTGTTTAATCTTTCATTCTTTCATGGTTTTAACCTCCATTTCTATCCCATAATATATTACCTTATTCTCTAGTCCTTTTTAATTATTTCTTACAACTAGTAATTAGTCATTATTCCACATTTTAATTATTCTATTCTGAATTTCAGTCAAGTGAACAGAGAGTTATCTTCATCTAAAGATTTTCCAATAACCGATTATTGTATAACCATGTTTTAATATCTAATTTTCGTGAACGATTCATGACACTATATCGTTTGAGGTATTTTAAATCATTCAACAACATTCATTTTAAATATAAACTATTTTGGGTAATAAATTAGCTATAAACACACATGTAAAGCTTAAATAGGAGAAATTGTCCAAAAGAAAATTGTCTTCGACAAATTATCGTTATTTGTTTCCAATGAAACAATTGGTTGTACGTTAAATCTGTGTTCCATTAGTTGGAAGGAAGTATACAATAATCTTGTAAATTTTTGCCTGAGAATGACTTTTTGATCTTGAGTACTCCGGTAAGATTGTCTTACTGTGCAATGATAAACCAGCTTTGTAGTTGACAATAAGTGTCCATAAGTACGACGTATACTTTTCACTGTGTCATTTTAAAGTTTTTCTTCAACGCTGGTAGTACCTTGAGTTTTCATTCACTTTTCTCGATAAATCTTAGTAGTTTTGTGGTTGCTGGTCAGATTTAAAATACATCAGTGAAAGAAATTCCACATTATGATTGTAAAATCTAGAAGCTCTAATATGAGTATATTCGGTGACTCTGCGTTCTATCATCGTTGGCTCAGAAAGATTGCTAACACTCGGTAACAGTAATACGTTGGTAATACCGTGGTTCGATAGTAGATATTCACAATTTCATCTCTTTGTGTAATATCCACCTTTTTCATTGTTGCTCAGTTGTTCCAGGATGTATGTGTGTTTGGAAAAATGAATTAAGTTTTTTTTTAGAAAAATGCAAATCTATCAATTTGTATGATTTTAATATGGTGTAGAATATTTGTTTGTCAGAATGTGAATTTTGGAGTACTGCTTTTTGATAATATTGTTCGAAAGAACAATTAAAGTTTCATAACCAGTCTTTTCAGTTCAGAGATCACAAAATCATCAACACCAGTCAGTGTTGATAACCCGAACTTTTTTGTTATGGTTCAGAATATTACCTAGTACAAACATTTTTCATTGAATTTTTGTTTTTTCCCAAATAAAAGATTTTGCAGATTTAGTGCTGTGTAATTTGAATGAATTAGGCAATGACAATTATCAACATATATTTTGTTGGCTTTAACTACTCTTCCTTTGATATGAGTTCGACTTAAGAGTTAGGTTTGAATTAGAGTGACCTGCAAACTGACTTCCTCCAGTGGTCTATGAGATTTATACATGTTATACCTGGCTAGAAAAAGCCTATTCTTCAGGCTAATGACGTTGTAGTTGATTATTCTGGAGCTTTAAGCTAATAGTTCCTTCTTGTAAGCTAGTATCACGCAGTCACCTATCCTATCATTGTATATCATCTATTTATCAACATCGTTTTTCACTCCACAATTCTAACATAAAAAATGAATTTCTCTTTCATAAAATTCTCAAACTTGAAGTTCCGTATAAGGGCTACTGATATTTCACTTGTTTGTTTAGAGGGTTGTAAATTGAACAGTGTTCTTAAACTTACAACCAATTGAATGGCAATATTCTGCTTACATTCGATACTTAAAAATATATGAATTAATCTTTTTTATATCATCCATTTCAGATTGTTGATACTTGTCAAATATTAAACGGACATTTAAACAAGTTACAGTGGCCATTTAAAGGTTGGTATCTACGTAGTTTAACTTATTCAGCTTGTCGTTCATCTGTATACTCCGGTCTTGGAGCTTATCGTATCCACAGATGGACTCCAAATAATCCTGATCCGAATTCACGATCGTTTTGTCATCGAACGATAGCTTTACTTGCATTTCCAGAAGGACCACCACTTCTTGACGGATATTATGTAGCTATCTGGGAAGATAAAGGTCTCATTGAAGTCAAAGATTCAGATAAGGATATTAATACTACTATTACTACTACTACTAATAATGATAATGATAATAACAACAATAATAGTGATAATAATAATAGTCATGATCAATTTCTCATGAATTGTTTATTTACCAACAGAAACTGATTTCCAACATGACAACAGTGATTCTCTACTTATCTCTTTCTTCTCTTTCTATTATCATCCTTATACCAACGAAAATCTTTAATCCCACAATAATGCATCTAAATTATACTTGTATCTATGTAACAATGTTTCAGGTTCTGTATAAAGTATAGCGTTTACGATCATATATGTATACATAATCAACTTTATTTAAAGATATATTTAGGGGTTATATTATTTACTAGAATTTCATCTTGTTGACATCAACTTCTTGACAAATTACAGATTATTTCGTTCATTTCTTTTTGTGTACATATAATTTTTTTTCTTTCCAGTCATATGATTATTTATTATTACACCAAAGAGTAATACATACAATAGTCAGCGCCACTATGTGCCTACTGGTGGCCTCCAAAAAGAATCGTTCTTTTTTTTTCTTTCATTTTGACAAATTAATTTTATTGTCGCTATTATCATTTATGATTTCATTATAGTGTTAAATATTTATTTTATATAAATAATTAGTTGCATATTGTTTACTTAATCACATCTGAATGTTCTTTCATATTAGAAAAGAATTTACATTCGTGGGATCATTGAATAATGGTTGTTATTGTTTGATTTTGTTTCCTATTCTAATGTATATTCACTAGCCTAACTTACTTTACATCTCATATATGTTTTAGGTGATCAGCTCTAGTCGTCTAATATTTCGTCTATTTTCACAAGGTGGTTTTGTGAAGATTTTAGTAATTTTATATAGTTAAGATCATGTGTCAGTTGAAGCTAGACCACCATGGAAAACCTGGAAGCACTGGACGGCCGTTTCATCCTATTGTGTGACTCAGTAGTGCGCATCCACGATCCCGCCTCTCAGGATTCTAACCCAGGACCTACGAGTCCCGCGAGGCGGAGTCGTGGATGCGCACTGCTGAGGAGTCCCACAATAGGACGAAACGGCCGTCTATGTTTTCCATGGTGATCTAGCTTCAGCTAACTCATTATCTTAACTATATAAAATGTCGTCTATTTATTGGATTTTAATACCAATAACTTTGGTCAATTGTAAATAGCAATATTAGGTTACAGGTTAGATTTTAGGATTCTTTGCTAAATCTGATTAGATTCCTACGTTACCTACAATTCAACTGACGCCATTCAATTTCTTAAATAATCTTTGAGAATAAAGCTTTTGTATCTGATATATTTTGTTTTATTTTTTTCTATAATGCTTGTCCATTTGAATAAAACATTGCACAAACAAAGCATATAGTTTGCAAGAATTATCATAATGCCTCTTTGATTGATTAAAACTACAATTATCAGATTATAATATTGTAAGTTGAATAATTCTCTCGCTTGATACATAAATTGTATATCCCTATTATCTGTTAAAAATCAAAATGAGTGACGTTTTTAAACTGTATCATTAATGCATCTTAATTTTGGGAGATTTATAGGTTTTATAACTTATAATTGTTTCAATGAAATATGAAATGATGAAGAACATTTGTAGCTGAGGATGTGAATATGATCTTTTTGAAGTACGTGTTAATTATGTTGTTCAGTAGAACAATGTAAGCTTCACAACCAAGCTATCCAGTTGAGAGACCAAAGCATCTTCAAAATCAAGTGTATTGATAATGAATAAATGTATTTGTCTAAACCAGATGTAGATATTAGTACGGTAAAATGAAATGTAGTTGAAGGGATTAGATATAAAAGTTTACTCATGGTGATTGATCACTTTCTGATCTATGGAATTTAATCATAAAATTATTAATAACATAATAAACTATTTGTAGACGGTAATGATCAATTCTTTACACTTTTGTAGACGGGATTTTCTTATGACTGATTTTTATTTGTCCGTTAACAGTGCATCCGTTGATAAGTATTTTCATTAACATTTAAGTGTTAAACAGTTGAAAAATAATTTTTAAGGACTCTTCAGTTTCGATCTATATTGTCATATATGATTGTTTTCGGTGGTTATTCGGGTATCCATTATAAACGTAATACGTGATCTTGGATACAGCTTTAAGCCAAATGGGGAATTGTGTGCGATCAGTCGCCTGATACTATGACAATTAGTCTCAAATGAGAATAAATAACACACGTCCACAATGAGCGGATGTCAGAAGACAGAATGATATACTTGTTTATGCGCAAACTGTTTAACATTAAATACTCTTACTTTCCGCTTACTTAAAATTTAAATAATTATTGGATTAGGGTTTTGTAGATCATGGCCTCTTCCAGGTCTTACAATCAAGCTCATCTGATACTAGTCACATCAGGTGTGTAATAACTAATATGGTGAAGGGGAACACAAGTAGGGACAATCAAATGAACTTGGATATAAAATTACGGGATATCTTAGTAAAATCTCAAGACCAAACAGTAAATACTTCATTTGCAAAATATCAGTCAATCGTCTCGTAATTCATTGTTCTTTCGTTTCCATACCAACCATTATTTACTCGCGTTCTCCTTTTCTTCGATCTGCTAAACTTTCTGCCTGCAAGTACTTCACTTTTGATTGATGATACATACTACTTATATCTGTCGACATCAGTAGTACACACCACACATAAATCTAAGGAGATGAAATGTTAACATATACAACCTAGTGTTTAAATCACTAAACCATTATGTTTTGGGTACTAGGTTAATAATATTTTGTTGTTTTCAATAATTTTATCTGCTAAAATTTAATCACTAGAAAATACATCACTCTTCGTGACAATGCATTTATTCTATTTATAAATCAAAATAATATGATATTGAAATTGTAAAGTCAAGTGAAAGCAACTTGTAAAATAGAAAGGATAAACAGGATGTATTAAATACTAATAATAATCATTAATATTATGAATAACAGACTAATCGACAAACGTGTCGAAACTGTCAATTTTATTACCTCATTTCTCAACGTGTACTGTTATTTTGACTGAGACTATTGGTTGATCGATGTTAGACTACCATAGGAAACCTGGAAGCACTGGACGGCCATTTCGTCCTAGTATGAGACTCCTAGTCAGTACGCATCCACGATCCCCTTTTCAGGATTCGAACCCAGGACCTTCGGTCTCGCTCTCGTGTACTGCTATTACTCATCGTACGTTTTTACATATGTACTATTTCGTTTAACTTAACTGTTACTAACCTAAGTTCTGTTTTAGTGAATTCATTTGCATATAAGTTATTGTGTTTCAAGATATCTTTGATTAAATATACCTCAGCTTTATTATGAAGTCTATATTTTTCTATGTTTTTCAGCTGAAGATAAGTTGTAACATAGTTAATCGTTTCTTTCCATAATGTGATAATACAGTTACAACCAAATCTTGTGTACATAATCAACATGTGGGACCTCTTGGCTTACTTTAGCCTTAAACTTCTCTTTTTTTGTGTTCATTAATCTATCGTTATTACTACAAATAAATAATATATTTGTAATATCCCAATTAGTAGAAAAATGAGATTTTCTGACGTTTCGTGACTCAGTGTAAGCCACTTCTTCAGAGAATAAATAGCCAAATTAACATTAATCCAAGTTTAAATAGTACAACGGAATAATCCAAGAATATTAGGTGATTAATCAAAAACAGGTCTGAATAAATCAATGTCACGTCATTTCATTGCGGTCAAGGTGATTCATAAGTGACTTGTGAATAATTTTGTGTTAATAATGACAAATGTGTGACCTCTATAATGAAAAAGGATAGAGTTTAATTTGTAATGTAATGGTGTGAAATTGTAAATAATATCAGACTAAGTGACTAGGACATATAGTCCAGATAGGATGTATGGTAAGGCCTTCCTTTCTATTGAGAGCTGTGGGATTAATCATTATATGGAAAGCTTCAGCTACTCTTCTTTCTTTGTAGTTGGAAAAACCATTTTGTAGTATTTTGATATTTTTGAAGTCAATTTGATGATTGTTGAAAATGGCGTGAACTGCTATCGCCGATTTAATTTGAAGTCTATCTAATTCTACAGGATTATTAGGAGGTTTCTTTGTGTACCTAATATGTTCTTTGGCGCGTGTCAAGATTTCGCGAGATGACTCTCCAATATAGAAGGCATCACAATCGATACAACCTAATTTGTAGACGCACTTCTGTGTCGACATGAAAGAGATTTTTTTCTTTTAACCGGACTAAAGTATTTCGAAGTGTGTTCGTTGTTTTGTAATATACTTTAATTCTGTGTTGTCTTAAGATCCTTTGGAGTTCTTCAGTTGTGCCAGGACGGTAAGGTAAAACTGCAGTACCAATCCACGGCATTTCATTCGAGTTTTTATTATTATTACGTGATAAACTGTCTTGTTTTAATAAACTTCTAATAATCTTCATAGGAAAATTATTAGATTGTAAGATGCTGATTACATTATTTTGTTCTTTTTGTTTGTCCTCTTCTGAGGTGATGATCTTGTTGGCTCTTCTAAAAAGATTTATGGCTAACGAGATTTTCGCACTGAACGGATGTGCTGAAATGGAAGTCAATATAACGATTCGAATGTGTGTGCTTTCGGTAGATGGATAGATTTAGAACTCCATTTTCATTCCTTTTTACTAAGCAATGTAAGAACGGCAGCTCACCATGTTCATTTCCATTCTCATTCGTGAATTTGATGTGAGATGAAAGTGTATTTATCCGTTTTGAAAACGATCTTAGATGAGTCTTTTTTTATCACTACAAAGGTATCATCTACATATCTAAGCCAAATTCGTGGTTTGATGTCGTTGGTGAAGGTACTTGATTCTGTGTGTGTCATGAAGAGGTTGGCCACAATCGGGGACACGGGGGAACCCATTGCTACACCATTTGTTTGTCTATATAACACTCCGTTGAAGGTGAATAGAGTCGAATTTAAGCAGAGTTTCAATGATCTCATGATTAAAGTGATGCTTAAAGGACATCTGTCAGATAGAGTATTGTCATTCTCTAGTAAGCTACTAATGAAATCTAAGCATTTATCAATAGGAATACTAGTATATAACGAGACAACATCAAAGCCTCTTTAATTGTCGAACAACATAAAGTTAATAATAACGTTATTACTTATAATGAAAATTAAGTAATCTAACGATTGAATATAGTCTAATACAATTTTGTGTACTATATTTTACAGAATAGTTACAGATACTCTATTAATGTAAATAACCTTGTTCTACACAGTATAATAACATATTATGTAACTGATATTCACCGAAATCAGGTTTTTTTCAAAAAAATCTTATATTTAGTTTATTCTTCTGGATAATTCCACTTACTGTTTGTTCAAAAAGTGAGTCCAAACTATAAGTTTAATAAATTAAATTGATGTACATGTATTTCACGGTGAATAGATTACAATGTTGGCGGCCTGCTTAAACATCTGGGCTACCTGTTCCTGTCATCTGTATATTTCAACAAGCTATCTAATTTTGTTTGTTTTAATACATCATTATGGCTAATAATCGCACAACCTATTCAGGTGCGTTTCTGAAAAGTGTACAACCTTTCTGTGCAAAGGTTACAAAAGGCCTAATCAGAGGTATCGTTGTTGCTGACAATATGCAACGAAAAGAATGTGCATTATTCATATGTCGATTGAATGAACTGTTGACTTCTAACTGGCGATCACTGAATATTTATCGTCAGGATCGACGAAGAATCAAGAAACGGAAACTTGTTGAAATACTTTATGCTGAGAATTCTATATTGTAACGAAAAATGTAATATTGAATAAAGTTAATACTAATAAACTAAACAATAATTCAATATTTATATTAAATAAGAACAATAAAATCGACATATTTCCTCTCTGTAACAACAAAATCTGTTTGGAAATGAAAAATTATCTTATTTCATATGTAATAGACAAAAAAGAAGGACAAAGAATTCTCATTGAAATAAAGTATATTCAACAAACATTAAAAATTGATCTCGTCATATTTATATGTGCTTATGAAGTTTAGGAATCTCTTGAAAATGTCGTCATTAATTCACTTAGTATTGTTTGTTTGGATCTTCCCATCGATGTGTTTAGGACTGCAACTGATCAGTCTCTAATTGGCATATGTGCATACTGTGCGTATTGCCTCGATATACCTTAATTCACAAGCATGGTAAGCAGAGATGGATAGTGGCTAGCAGTGGAAACAAGGACGCGCGTTTCTGCAATACGCACAGTATGCACATATGCCAATTAGAGACTGACCAGTTGCAGTCCTAAACACATCGATGGGAAGATCCAAACAAACAATAGTAAGTGAATTCAAACTTCACCCCATCGCACAAGCAAGTGGCTATCAGGACTCAGTGGCCGAGTGGATAACGCGATGGCGTTTGAAGCGAGGGTACTGGGTTCGAGTCCCAGAGTGAACATCAACTCTGAGATGCAGGTATATCCAGCTGACGAGTCCCAAATAGGACGAAACGTGCGTCAAACTGGATTCAACTGCTAGCCACTATCCATCCTTGTCGTCATTAATTGTTTATTATCCTTTTATGATGTTTTGGAGTTAGCCACTCTCTTGAGAAATAAATATTTCATGGTTTTCTTTTATTATGCATTTTGTGAAGATTTTTTCATTAGTCTTATCCATTTTAAAACATATCTATCGATAAAGACGTTCGTCTACTTGATTGATCTTCAGAGATACTTTATGTGGAACCTAGATAACCATTGAAGACTAATGATTGTTAGAGTTTTTGTTGTAGTTTTTGATTTGTTGAAGTTTTTACCTAGTGAGTGTTTTCAAATAACTTTGTTGTTAATGAAATTTCGCATTTACTGTGTTCTGATTAAATTTAAACCTTTTCCATAGTGGTATAGCTTCAATTGACTCATGATCTCAACTATTAAGATTACTATATTTATTTGTTCATTTTCTTGTAATTTCTTTCGTAAATCGATGACAAAAATAACTTGAAAAGGAGAGCCAATCAGAGTGGTATATGTATTAATGAGTATTCGTGCATTTTATTCGATAGTCTAATACTCTTTCTCACTCTTATGTTCTTGCTCAAGTAGTCAGTTGGGGGGTTGGCGCGTAGCACACTGTGTGCCAGTATCAGATTTTGGACACCTCCCGTCGCAACATAACTATTTGGCAACGTCAATCTGTCTTGTTCTCATTGCTACTAATCCTCCTCATACTCATTGGTTTTTCTAAATATGATATGGTTTGTACTAATACAGTTGGGAGTACTCATGTCTAATATTATCCAGCTCTTTACGATAAAATGATATTAATAAGCTCCACAAACCTGCAAGCATAGTTTGTTTATTAAAATATGTGGCATCTTACCACGTAATCAACTACAGATAACATACAGAAGATATTATCAACAGTGTACATTTATTTCTAAAACTGGATTGAAATTTTAAATAAATAAATGAATTAACCATAATGATAATTTCGGAACTAATTGTATTAATAGGAAATTAAGGCGACATGACAATAGAACACGGGTATGAAAATTTGAGCGATTCATGTGATAGCAGGTCTACATTTTTCCACATTACTAAAAATAATTACACTTATCAATGTATGGCTTTGTGAAGATCGTAAACCTTTCATTGTTTAAACCCACGACAATGCGCACTGATGAGGGGTCTCAGGCAAGGAAGAATCAGCATTTCGGCACTACCTAACTTTCAGTTCTGATTTCGCTAAGATCAGTACGTAATATAATTTATGGAAATTTTACAATCTTCATGAAACTCTTCACTGATAATAAACGTATCCTCATTAGTTACTAATTTCAAGGTGCGATTCACTCAACGCTAGCTAGCTATGACTAGTGGAATTCAACTATTCTGGGTGTCAGAGAACGAAAAGTAACCACGCAATGTCGTGAAATGATTAAAATTAAACATATGTACTACTGGATGGCAGTGCAAGGCTCTAGGAGCTAAGCGTTCTTAAGCAAAAAGGAATGTCTTTGGCTCGGCCTTCAGTGGTGAGGTCGTAGGTCCACAGCTATCCAAAGCTTTATGGTTTCCCACTGTGATATAGCTGAAGATTAATTATGATTTCAAACTATAAAAATAGAGCTTTCTTTATAACAGTAAGATAAAAATCATACCACATTGTTATATACAACTATGTAAAAACGGTTGGATGATGAAAAGGGTTTTTAAAAAATATTAGTGAAGAAGAGAGGATGAAATATTGAAAAGCACCATAGAGTAACTTAGACCAGCAATACAAGGTCTATGACAAGCGTTTCTTAAATATGTAGGCTAAATTAGAGAAGACTAAATATGTCTAGTCCTACAAAACACAATAATTCGACCAACTTGTTACTGTCATTGGTGTATTTGGACACAGTAAGAAAGTATTTTAGTGATAATATCTTGTAATGACACTTTCGAACAAACCAGGATCATCCCTTGATGTGGGGTTAAATTCTGTTATACATAATTCACCCAATTTTCTCACTCACATCGTACTGCAAGTGCAGGTATATAGTCAAACTCAAATGTAGGTAGCTAAACCTGAGAGCTCGTTTAAAATAAAAGCATTTTTATTGTACCACGTGAGATAAACTATGTGGGAAAAGTAAAAGCTAGTGAACTTTTAAGTATCAATGAACAAGTGTACTAAGAACTCATTTAGTAAAAAATTTGACAAATCTGATTCACTTATGGGAGCAATGATTTTAAAAGTGTTTCCTACACCTTTCGTTTCAGTGTTAAATAAATCATTAAAAGCCACTAAATAAAAGGTTACTAAGAAACTCATCTTGAATGAGATACAACCGAAACTGTTGAAATGGAAACATAAACGTGTTCAAAAGATTTTACGGTTTAAAGCATGGATGAAATTTTTTATAAGTTCAGTCAAATGTTGATGGCCTACAGTATGTCATATAATAATGTGAATTCTATATTTGATTAGTCTGGATTAATGCAACTGAGCAATTTGTAAGCATACTATCTGTTTTTAATTATAATAGAATTTTCGATAAACTTTTTTAGTAATATATCACCTGACGACTGTGGTGTGCAATTATAGGTGAATATCTTGGAGATGTAATTTCAGAGTATCAGAGGGAAGCCATGATCACTAGAGCTCAATATTGTTAAGTGTGAGATTCATGTTATTATCATGTAAATCTCACGAATATAGAAGTAGATGCTTAGGTTTTATACTTCTGTAACTTATTCGAATAATACTCATCTATTCAAGTAATTGAGTAAGAACTTAGTTTCATCTCAGCTTAATGTGGGATATATTTATCATTCTCTTAACAGAAAAACATCCCAAATATTTTTTTAAAAGAATATATGTATTTTGAAAACAAAATTATGTGCGATGCAGGTGAGATGCAGGTACATCCAGCTGATGAGTCCCAAATAGGAAGAAACGCGCGTCCTCCATTCCACTGTTAGCCACTATCCATCTTTACTTACCATGCTTGTGAATTTAGGCTATATCGAGACAGTACGCACAGTATGCACATGTGGCCAATAACAGACTGACCAGTTGCAGTTCAAACAAATCGATGGGACGATTCAAACAAACAAAACTAAATGAATCTGCATACTTAATTTCAAACACATGTGGAAATGTTCATTTATATGTTGACGGGGTTTCATAGATCTCAGTGGTCTAGAGGTTAAGAGTTAGCGCGCGAGACCGATAGGTCCTGGGTTAGATGGTGGATGCGCGCTGCCTCGAAGTCCCATCCTAGGATGAAACGAATGTTTAGTGCTTCAAGGTTTTTTTTATCATGGTCTAGCTTTAATCGATTTATGAATTCAACGATTAAATTTATAAATTTGTCAAAACTACATCAGATGTTTAGAATTAGTAAGTGGAAATGTGGAACATTAGACATTGACAGTTACCGAAACTAACATTAACAATAAACATACTATATATAGTTGAAAGCGTGAGTCAATTGAAGCTAGACCATCATGGAAAACCTGGAAGCACTGGACGGCCGTTTCGTTCTATTGTGGGACTCCTCAGCAGTGGGCATCCATGATCCCGCCTCACGAGATTCGAACCCAGGACCTACCAGTCTCGCACCAGAGCACTTAACCGCTAGACTACTGAGCTGCCCGGCATTCAGCGGTATTAATGTCTAGCTTCAACCAACATTTTAATAAAAAAACCTATGGTAAAGTACTTATTCAAATTTGATGTTCACTTTTTTCTTTGAATTGATCATTCTGATTTCAACATTTTCATTTTACATTAATGAATGCTTATACACAAAAAAATATAAACTAGCAAATATTATGTCATATATAAGACAGTTCCCTTATATCTATGTACCATTCTACAATTTTCACTGTATAAATGTTACATTACTCATCATACATATATAAAAAAAGGATACATTCTTTAAAGCTTTCACATTGGTTTTCCTAAATTTACTATATGAACCAATAGCAATTCAGTAAATTTTAACACATTAATCTGATTGGTTTGTAATATATTGAGAAGATATTTATCATTGATCAACAAATGTAACATTTAAGGGCTAAATAAGTACAATGTAATAAAAAATATATACTCATATGAGTGGATAATGATGATGCATGAATAGTACAAACCATAGTTTAACTTATATCTTATTCTTATATCATCATTTAAAGTTCATTGAATGAATGTGAATATGGGTATACCAATTGATCGTTTTGTAAATCCAGTTGATGAAAATTTAATTTGTGGTATTTGTCATGGTGTATTTATTATACCCGTAGTAACAGAATGTGGTCATACATTTTGTGCTAATTGTTTAAAAATATGGTTAAATTCAAAATTGGAACATTTAAATCATTTAACAATAAATGATAATGATCGACAACGTTTACAATTTACATGTCCAACTTGTCGAACAAGACTGAATGTTAATAATCATCAACAAACGAATGTTATCAATTCAGTAGTAAGCACAACAAATAATAATTATTGTTGTCATGATAAACCAAATATTAATTTATTATCAGTAGCTAGACCAGTAATTGCATTAAAGAATTTTTTAAATTCATTACAAATTTATTGTGAATATGCTAAACGTGGATGTACTACAATTGGTAGTGTAGAATTAATACATTTTGGTAATCATCGACATGTATGCGCTTATGTACCAGTTGATTGTGCTGGTTGTGGTAGAACATTAAATAGAATTGAATTAGCTGCACATCAATTAAGTTGTTTTGGTATACAGGTAAGCATGATATACAGGGTTTTTTTCATAAATTAATCTTGTCATTGAATTAACACATTGTTTAATATTAATTAGTTGATCTCAACTATACTACCATTGAAAACCTAAAAACACTGAACGGTCGCTTACTCCTGGTATGGGATTTCTCAGCAGTGAACATCCACATTATTTAGTGTTCTGATTTTGTTTTAACTTAATTTTGAGTAGTATTTAAAAAGAGATTTAACAATATGTATTTCAATCTATTTGAAATTTAGAAAATGAGTGCCAATAGTTGATAAACATTAATATATATTCAACAAGGATTACAGTCTACTAAGGTAATCTTAAAAGACTAATATTTGAACGAAGAACATTCTTATATATAAATTCTCTTCAAGTTCTACAATTAGATATCCAAATTAATAATCTGAAAAATGGCCTGGTTAAAGGCAAAGTACATCGTTTAAAGCATGTAACTTCAGGATTGTCAAAACAAATAGAATAAAATTGTTGATATAACTCATATAGAATGTTAACTTGAATCTGTATATATGTTAAGTGAAAATTTAAGATCTGTGATCAGAATAAATATGGGTCAGATAGGGTGAGAGAGATATATGATAGTGCAATTACAATTCGATCAAGTGGAAGACTAAATGTGTGAAAAATTAGTGAGACGTAATAAGGAGGGATGAATGCGATGTGAATGAATCATGTTTAGGGGGGATTAATAATGATATTTAACCAATAATAATAATAATAAAATACAAAGATTTGTGAATAAAGATAAGAGAGACAATTACACTTGACTACGAAAGGTCGTAAGTACATAGTCAAATTAGGTCATCCAATAGCTAAGATTACTAATGATGAATTGGCCTTATGGTTGGCCAAGGGAGGAGCAGTGGTTGGAGATATTTCTTCTGTACGCTTAGCTCTGGTTTCTTCATCCGGATGGCTACTGCCTCAGCCGCAATAAAATTTTTACCTTTAAAGTAAATTGTTATTTATAAGTATCTTTATCTACATGTATTCAACTTTAGAACAACATATATAAGCGAACAATATTGTTTTTGATTGGATCCTCATCAGGCTTTACTATAATATACAGTAATATTTATAAGTATATGCGAAATTATTAAGTATGCTTATAAATATCACTGTATATTAGAGTAAAGCCTGATGAGGATCTAATCAAAAACAATATTGTTCGCTTATATATGTTGTTCTAAATCACAATATAGAAATTTTTCAAATTATTGAACTTTGACTACACCGAAAATTGAAAGGAATGTTAGTTATATTCAACTTAGTATTGTTTGTTTGAATCTTCCCATCGATTTGTTAGGACTGCAACTGGTCAGGGAAGATTCAAACAAACAATACTAAGTTGAATTTAAACTTCACCCCATCGCACAAGCAGGTGGCTATCAGGACTCAGTGGCCGAGTGGATAACGCGATGGCGTTCGAAGCGAGGGTACTGGGTTCGAGTCCCAGAGTGAACATCAACTCTGAGATGCAGGTACATCCAGCTGACGAGTCCCAAATAGGACGAAACGCGCGTCCTGGATTCCACTGCTAGCCACTATCCATCTCTGCTAAGAATGTTAGTTATATTTGCATAAAATTAGTGTATTCACATGAATCCTGGAAATACATACAATTCTAATTACTTAGTTGGAAAGATTATCATTGATTCATTATAGGCCTTTAGAGTCTTTGTATGTAAACTAAAAACCTCCAGATTTTTAATGATAGAGACGGTTGGAAATCTAAGATTGTTAACATAACAAATTTTATCTTAATAAATTTCGAGTATATCGAATTATCTTATATAGTTGAAATCATAAGTCAGTTGAAGCTAGACTACCATGGAAAATCTGGAAGCACTGGATGTCTGTTTCGTTCTGTTGTGAGACTCCTCGTCAGTGCGCATCCACGATCTCACCTCGCGAGATCCAAACCCAGGACCTACCAGTCTTGAGCGCGAGCGCTTAACCACTAGACCACTAAGTCAGCGTCCAAGTTTTCCATGTTGGTCTTTTGGTATATACTTAAATAATTGAGCAAAGATGGATAGTGGCTAGCAGTGGAATCCAGGACGCGCGTTTCGTCCTATTTGGGACTCGTTAGCTGGACGTACCTGGATGTACCTCAGTGGCCGAGTGGATAACGCGATGGCGTTGAAAGCGAGGGTACTGGGTTCGAGTCCCAGAGTGAACATCAACTCTGAAATGCAGGTACATCCAGCTGACGAGTCCCAAATAGGACGAAACGCGCGTCAAGATTATCAAAACTATGTTATATATTAACGCAATACATTTCAAACAATCTGATCACACATACACTTGTTAAGAACATAATTCATTCAAAACCTAAAAGACATGAAAACGATTGTGTCACATCCCACTGTGTTTACCAATTTAAATGTCTGTTTGGTCACACATACATAAGGAGGAGCAATCGTGATCTGAACATTAGGGTAGGTGAACATGTACCAAAATGGTTGCAAAAACAATTAGAGTCGAATGACTGAATAAGAGTAGAGGATAAACATCCATCATCCTCTATTGCTAAACATATAATCGAAACAGGTCATAAACTCAGCTTTTGTGGTGTTGCATAAAAGTGTAAAAGGGCGTATACTAGGGTGTATTGAAGCCTTAGCCATACGAAAATTCAAACCCCCTTTCTGTATATTAATATCAGCTTATTAACCACAGTGATTAGGTTTCAAATTGTTTTCACATTATTATTATTATTATTATTATTATCCTTGTCTCCTCTTAGCCCCCATTTCCAGTCCTGTTGGCCTTTTATTTTTATATATAAATGTTATTAACAAGTATATATGTGATCAGATTGTTTTAAATGTATTGCGCTAATATATCACACAGTTCTGACAATCTTCGTCCTCTTATTTCACCATCGAAATTTATCAAAGGGACTAATTGCTTTAAATAATAATACTGTTTACATTCAAAGACAATTCGTTGCAAGGAAATTTGTCACAAACAATAATGAAACCAACATGGAAGACGTGTATAGTCATTGTATTACTTTGGGATCTACTCAATTTTTCTGTCACGAAGCAACAGTAAAATTGATTACAGTGACTATATGACCACACCTGCAGTCAATTAATAGAAGCTAAAGCTGCTTTCAATGGTTACCTTCTGTCTCTGGGAAATAGTATGACTGATATAAACTTATCGTTGACTTGATCACAATTAAACTTATTGTTCAGATAGTAGCTAAAGGCATTATTGAGTTTTATTAACTGTGTTATTTTTATAATCTAATTTAGTTATATTTCAATAGCCAGTGGTCAAACTACCTGTTTCTAGATTTCATTTTAAGTCCAATAACTAACGGTTAGTATCCTTTCAACTCGATTTCATATTTAACTATGATAACTACCTATTTCTTCTTCTTGTCTTCATCTATATTGTTTTGTTCAGTATTGTTAAAATATTGTCTTCGTGATGTTAAATTGATGAGTTTTCTATCTTAAACCATCAATTATGGTGAAAGGTGTGGTAAATAAATGTTTTCAAAACTGAGGCTTCTTTTCTGTTCCATTTATTTACATTTACTTCGTTTCATCTAAGCCTTTAGTCTTTCACAGTTATTCTTTCAATCATTATGAATTGCTCCTTTCAATAGTAATAAATAATTATTATTATTGTGTTCATGATGAATAGTTTAATTGAATAGAATCAATAAAAATCATGCCCTTTACTTTGTTCTAATCAATTATGTATTCCAACGTTTTCTCTAATAAATATGTGGCGAATATTTATGACATGTTTGTCTTAGAATTTTCCAAAACTACTTTTGAGTCTATACCACTAATCCCGTGATTCCTAGTTTAAGTTGGTTTTCTAACTAAGGGAATTCCATGATGAAAACCATCCACATTGTGGAAATCATTTAGGATAATAGCTGAGTAGTACTGGGCAGTGGTCTTTTTCTAGCTGAACTTCTTTAAAAGTGTATGTCTATAATCTTAATTAAGTATTTGATATTTGTCAGCATAGACACATTTGGTGTGAATTTATAGTATTTTCATTATAATGGTAGTTGTACTTAAGTAATTATTCACTAGTTCATACACTATAGTGTAAGTCACAACGTATACGATATGAACGAATAATGTGAAGTGCTTACCTTAGGAAAATAATTAGTGGAGGAAACTGCGATGTAGAGTGTGGTTGCAATTAATAAAGACTGTGATAATTTATATTGAGGCATTCAGTTGCTTTCTTGTAAAAATGTATAATGCATAATGTATAATCAAACTGTATTAATTGACCTGGTTCTCTTACATGCATGTACTAAAAAGTTCTATATCATCCATTCTGAGTGAATCTTATAAATCGTGCTACACTGTAAAACATATTTATTTTCATGTATTACGTTAGTCTGTATATAACTGACTGAACACTCATATCATATGTACTGATGATGAAAAACAGAAAATTTGTGGAAAATGGTAAGTGAAAAGTGGCAGCATTTCTAATTACAGCATAACTGATGAAATAGGAATGGTAATAATAATCGTAATGATAATGATCACAATTATAATCTTAATTTGTTTTTGTATTGTTTACTTGAACCTTCCCATTGATGTTTAGGATTGCAATTGATCAGTCACTTGTTGATATATATGCATCATGTGCACATCGCCTCGTTATTGCCTTAAGTCCCAAGCATTATAGGCAAAGATGGATGTTGACTGGCAATGGAATCCACGATGCACGTTTCATCCAATTTGGGACTCGTTAGTTGGGTGCACCTACATCTCAGAGTTGATGTTCACTCTGAGACTTGAACCCAGTAGCCTTTGATTTAAACTCCATCATGTTAACCACTTAGCTACTGAGTCTTGACAGTCACTAGCTTGTGTGATGGGGGGAGTTTTAATTCATTTCCGTATTGTTTGTTTGAATCTTCCTATTGATGCTCAGAAAATGAATTACAACTTCACCCCATCGCACAAGCCAGTGACTGTCAA